TCGATTGATAGTGATTTCTGCGTCAACACATTTTTCAAAATGAGTAGTTTTAAACTCATCATTCTCTGGATACTTTTTGGCTTTTCGTTTTGCCCTTCTCCTCTCTCTGACAGCAATTTGACATTTATTATCCCAAAAATCAGACTTTTCAGCAGTAAATCGTTTCGTAATAAGTGGGGCATGTTTTGTACACATAATTGTCACAATGACCCTATATAATAATATAAAAACAACCGTTCAAAAATAAATATATTCCCTATCTCCAATATTGGGAGAAAAATTTGAATATCAACCTTTGCCTTGTGGCTCCAAATGCAAATCTAAACTGTTTATATCAATTCATATTTGGTTCAAATATCTAAAGTCAAAATAACCATTTCACAATAACCATTTCACAGATGTGGGGACATCAGGCTTTTATGTTCATAAACATAATAGAGATTAGGCGGAATGACAGGCTGAGCGCGGCCCAGTAACCTGCTGGCAACCCGCCGAAAAAGCGTCCCCCCTGTTGGCGCCCCCTTCCCTTTTTGGGCCCCTTCTTAAAATTGGACAAATTATAAGATTTTATCAAATAATAAATATCTTTATCTCTAATAATAATATTAATATATAATCATATCATGTATTAATATTATATTATCCACAAGTATTAAAAGAAATTTGTAATATTGGTAATGGTCATGAAAGCTCATAAATATATATTTTATTATTATATTCACATAGCCATGAGTCTAGACGCGTACTGCATGACACGCTTGTTTTACAAGTAGAATAGACTTTCGTGCGCTACTGCAAGCGAGAGGCTCTAGTTAGATCAAATTTATTCATATATTCACTTGTCGCGCGATGTACTACTGGGTCGCGCGCGCGCATCCAATAGTGCTTCTCGCAACCACCGATCGCAACCACCGATTTTATGCAAATCGGCGAGATGCGAAGGATTGACATCGTGAATCAATATATTTACATATTAAACTTCATGCAATGTATATTTATTAATTAATTTTTTAGCATGAATGAATTAAAATAAATATAATACAACTTTTTTTGCTGAGCCCTTTGGCTAGAGAATACTTTCTTAGATATTTTGGACAGTTTTTAATATTGGTAATGTTAATGAATTGTAATTGATTGATATGTAATATTTAGGTCCGTGGCCAGTTTTCACACTTTTTACCATTGACACATTTGATTTATGTTTTACTGTTCATTCAAATAAATTTCCTGAAATGTCTAGGGTAAAGCACATAATTTTGTCATTTTTTGGCAATTTTCCGACTGCCTGATATAAACCATGGGTTTTAACCTCTTCTGAAATTCCGATTTAGATGAAACCTCCACCATGTTATAGTAGACAGTCTAGGCAAGTTCTAACACAAAAATGATAGAAATTGCTGGGGTTGAAGATGTTCAAAAAAATTATTTTGAAAAAATGACAAAATTAGGTGACTTTACTTAATTTTGTCACCCCGAACCTAATTTTGTCACTTGAAGATTGTGCAAAAAGTAACCGTTTCTTGGTATTTTATACTACCTGGATGCATCATTCGAGCGCTTTTTTACCAACATTGACCTCAAAAATCCCAAAGATATGATGTTTTCATAGTTTTGTAGCTTGATGAAAAGATGACACTTTTTGGGTATCTAATCTTAGAAAATAGCCCCCAAATGCCCCTGAAACCACTGGCATCTTAAAAAACGATTGGTTCTAGGTCTAGGTTGAAATTTTCATGTCTGTAGATAGATCACTTGCTTAGTAATTTCATCAAATATTTTTTTAGTCATTTTAGATTGAAAAAATCAGATTAGATCATCTATATTTCTCGGCGAAAATATGCTATTATAAGTGTTATGCTATTATAAGTGCCTTATACATATCCTATGGCCAAAAAAACTTCAGAATAGTTGTATAAGGCCATTTTCAACACAATCTGTGATTTACAAGAAATTTGAAAAAGGTCGATTTTTTTGACAAAATTAGGTACTTTTGGCAAAATCGAACCTAATTTTGTCACCCTCTGTAACTTGAACAATAATTGCGCTAGAGAATTGAAAATTTGTACGTATACTTCTGCTGTAGAAGATATTTGAAATATGCAATGGCATGAAGCTAGCTCAATTACTTTTGAAATAGCAATAAATCAAAATTTTGAAAATTCCTTAAGAAAACCTTAAGGATCTTCTTTATTTTTCGGGTTAACAGTTTCGCCTTCATTTTTGACACAGATGCAAAAGAGCTAGAAACTTAAACTTTGTAGGAGCAGTTTCAGCAAAGTCTAAGCTTTCTTTTTATACACAAACCTTTTCTTTCAAGCTGAAATTCCGAGCCGAGGCAGTTTTTCAGAGCAAAATGACAAAATTAGGTACCCTGACAAAATTACGTGCCTTACCCTATTATGAAATCGTAAACGATTTATTAATGATGCAAAAGGGGTGGGTATGTATCTCTCCGCCACAATTCATTGAGAGATGTGATAGCAGAGCTATTAGAAACTGCTGGCTGTAAAGATGTTATCACTGAACCTCTCCTCATTCCTGTCAACGGGAGAGAACTTCCTGCAGGGGCCAACAAAGCAGATGGAGCTAGATTAGATGTTAGTGCTAGGAGTGTATGGAACCCATTGGAAAGGGCATTTTTAGATGTAAGAGTATTTCATGCTCAAGCTCCTTCCAATAAGGCTCTTGGATCTCCAACCACTATGTACAATAGCCACGAGAGACAGAAAAAGAATTTATACAATAAAAGGATTGTAGAAGTCGAACATGGGACGTTTACACCGATAGTCCTATCAACTACTGGGGGTATGGGAAGGGAAGCTAATAAGTTCTTCAAGAAGTTAGCGGATAAACTATCTAGGAAATCAGGCCAACGATATAGTGAGGCAATGACATTTATTAGGAAGAGAGTAAGAGTTGACCTATTGAGAACAACGATCATAGCTCTTAGAGGAGAGAGAGGGTTTAAAAGTAGTAGTGCAGTAAAAATAGCAGAATTAGACATAAATTTGGAGCCAGTTCTTTAAACCGGCTTACTTATACTACTTAAAGGGTGTTCAAGGGTTTTCTATTGAATTTATATTGAATTTTATATAGGGTAATTGTTATATTATGTGTATATTGTTTGAATAATTTCTCGATTAAGACCTGAAAAAAAAAAATTTATTAATGATTAGACGATTAAATGGATCATCAGCCTTTATAGTATGAAAAAGGCCAAAGGTATTGCTATGCATTGTAATGTACTTTATCAGTCGCAGACTGCGATCCGATCTGCCCACAACTTGTATTAGTTCTATCAGGAGTTAGGTGGATACGTTTGCTTGCACCACAATGCCATTAGAGACACTGCAGCCTTCTTCCTACAAGAAGCAAAGTGCAAGGATGTAAGGATAGAACCTCCACTCCTGCCTGTCCAACCAACTTCATTCTCCAGGAATACCAACACCCAGGATGAAGCCCGTCTGGATGTAGCAGCTGTTGGACTGTATGCACCATTCGAAAGAACATTCTTTGACATCAGGGTCACTCATCAAATTGCGACTCAAATACATTTAAGCCACTAGATAAAATCTACAGTACGCATGAGAAAGAGAAGAAAGATCTCTATGAAGAGAGAGTATTTCAGTCAGAGAAAGGGTCCTTTGTCCAACTAGTCTTTACAACATCTGGAGGTATGGGTCCACTTTGCACTGTGTTAGTAGATCGTTTCTCTGAAAGGATAGCTGACCACAATAAAGAAGCTAAGAGCCAGGTCAACAAGAAATGCGGCCCGTTCGCTAACCCTTGTCCTTGACTCTTTTGTGCCTTCGGCACTTTGAGTCATGGATCGGGAAAAAATCACATCAAAATTGTTATCGAGAGTTACAGAGGTGAAACAATTTTGCCAACCACTACAATAATTGATCTTTACCTTAACCTGATAAAAACTTCAAGATCATAAAACGTCACCAAGTGTTTGTTAAATTTTACTTCTACATGGAAAGATGAAAGTTTACCATCGAAATTGTGGTATTCTATATTAGTGACGGCTTTATTTATTATTTTTGGTCTTATATAATGATAATCTAGCAGTCAGAAAACCATAAAAATGCTATTTTCAAGAGTTATCTAGTTTATTTACAATTTTGTTATTTATTTTGTCAAAAGTTTTTATTTGACCTAGTTTGTATGCATTTATAAAGTTAGAACTGAAATATGGTGGTTCTTTTATAGATGACATTTTATTTTGCAAAGTTAATACACAAAATACTCTCCATCATAATTTATTATATATTATATGTATTATTCATTAAAGTAGGAGACACGGCTATTCAGCAAGTCAGCAACTTCACTTACCTTGGGTCGATTATATCAAGTGATGGGACTATTGACCGGGACTTGTCTGCACGGATCCAGAAAGCCTCAGGAGCATTCAATCAGCTCGGTAATATTTGGAAGAATCGCAATATCCAAACTAACACCAAAATACGGATATATGTTGCAGCGGTTCTAACAATATTACTTTATGGAAGCGAAGTCTGGAACACTACCTCAAAGCAACTACATCGCTTCGAAGTTTTCCATCAAAACTGTTTGAGGAGAATCCTTCGAATTAAGTGGTTCCACCGGACGAGCAATGTTCAAGTGTTGGAGCGGGCAAGAATAAACCCGGTTATAACCTACATCAGTGCCAACCGTCTTCGCTGGTTTGGACATGTTTCTAGAATGCCGGACACCAGGCTACCAAAGTATCTACTTGACTGGACACCTGCTCACGGCCGAAGATCACGTGGGCGGCCAAGAAAGAATTGGCGAACCTGTGTCCTGGAAGACGCAGTAACATTTACAGGAGATTCAGACATTGTATTTGATAAGGTCCGTGAGTTGGCAGGAAATCGCAAGCACTGGAGAGAGATGATACGACATAAGCAGCAATTCCTTGGTGCAGGCCACTCGAATGATTGAGGAGACCTTATCAAGTATCAAGTAAGTATTATTCAATTATACGCAACTTCTTATTTAATATGAAATTCAACACAACATTTACATACCATCTGAATATTGAAATAATTCAAGAATAAAGGGATAACATTTAGCAACTCATCAATTCTGTCAATAAAAAGTCTTTGATGGCTCATCAAAGATGTTAAATTTTAGAAACCCTATAAGCAAACTTTTTGTCTGTGGCTGTTTTCAAAGGTTGTGAATCGAGGTCTATCATCTCATAGCTCTGTCTTAATATTGGTTTCACTATATTGGTCGGTAAACACCTTTTCTGACATGCTTCTTCAGTCCTTGAAACACAACTGTTTCCATTGCTATCCCTCCTCACAGTCTCCCTTAAAATTGAAGGATCTTGTTCTGTCTTGGAGGAGTTAATTTTCTTCTGGGCTAAAAAAATGTCTTCCATCGAAAAACAGATATTTTGATATGGTGTTATATTAAGTCCATCTAAGATATCATTCTCAGAAGCTGCTTCTAAATCTGCCATTGAGCTGTACATCTTTATGTTGTTGTAATAAGTTGTGTCTTGTAATGAATCGTCAAAGAAGTCTCCATCTGTTGTGTCTGCCCAAGGGTCTAGTAAAAATAAATTTGTTAAATAACTTTAGTCATAGTAGTTTCAGAGCAAAATTTTATTAACTTTAGATAAGATGGGTTGTTTAATCACAACTTTATATACAATCTTCTGGAAGGTAAGATGCTACTTTACTGCTACTTTTCATGAATGTGTCAACTTTTATACTGTTAGTCTGATTAATTAACCAGTTATAGCAAAAATCAGTTGTTTAATCACAACTTTATATACTGCAATGTACCTGACGAATGAAATGTTGGATGGTTGGCTTGTTTATATCCACTTGACAGTGAATTGAAAATGGAATTGGCCTGGTTTAATCCAGCGCACATTATACATATTGCCTCGTAGTTTGTTGGCTTGTGTTTAACTATGAAGAGCACGCTGCATCCATACTGCTTACAATAACCTATGTCCTGACAAATGGAAGGAAATCAGATTTAGAAGAAATGGGAAAAAATTAATGCAACATTTTATTTACTTGGCTGCTCTCATTTAAATAGTTATCAAAATATTCTCCCGGCCATATTACTCAATTCAACTATCTGGTGGATTCGTGTAGTGTTATTGAGTCTCATGATTTGATAGTTCTTTCATTTAAATTTCTGATTATTTCTGATAGACTCAGTGAAGACAGATTCTAATGGAAATAATTGTATTTATTTATTTCCATTAGAATCTGTCTTCACTGAGTCTATTCAGAAACAATCAGAAATTTGAATGAAAGAATCCTAATAATGGAATAATCATTCTAATAATGGAAATAAATTTTATTTATTTATTTCCATTAGAATCTGTCTTCACTGACTCTATTCAGAAACAATCAGAAATTTGAATGAAAGAACTATCAATTCAACAATGTGTTATTTCTGGCCCAACCTATATTTTATGATACTCAATACATTTCGGAACTGGTATGATGAGTATCATAATTTGCATAGAATTCTATCAATTGCATGCTATAAAGTGATAAAAATTGATACAAAGATTGAGTTTTTAAACTCACCTGCATTGATATCTTTTCGTTTCTAAAGCAAACGTAATCCCCAGTTAGTTTGACCTTCGTTCGTCTCTTCACCAAAGCCATATGGGGCAAATTTTGAATGATTCGGTTATGACACTCAAAAGACAACTCCTGCAGAAACTTATTTTCCCACTGCTGTAGTGAACATCTCCCTGAGGATTTGTTTAGGTATCAGCTGATCAATATTGTAGGGTAATATACCTTAGTTCATGGTTTTACATTAATAGAATAGTAATTGAATGACCATGTTTTAAATAAAATGAAAACTCACCAATATGATAAAGACTGTATGAGGACTTGAGCTTGCCTCCATTTTCTTTTCGTTTAACCATCTTTCGTTCCCTTATGACATCATAAACCTGTTCAGTTATTATAAATAAATCTGACCAGCACATGTTTCTCAATGTTTTTTAATGGGTTGACATTCTACTGAATGACTTAAGAAAGAAGTTTGATCTGAAAAATTCGAACTGTATGGTTATGGCCATTCTACTGTTTAACTACTCACGTCTTGTTTATGTCACAAGTTTTCTCATTTATATAATATACACTGGTAAAGAAATGTAACGAAAAGTGGGCTGTCGTCTGTAAATACAAACCTCTGTGTAAGATAATTATTATAACAGTACTATTGCAATCATTAAGGCATTCTTAACACATCTTTGGCAAATACAATTTGAACTCCAGCTCCCAGTTTAGGAGTATTCAGTATCTGAATGGCACATAAGTCATAAGCTGCAGCAAAATCGACAATCAACAAAAACAGCAGTAACTTCGTGCAGCATCATGATATCCTGAAGCATGTCAAAAAAATTCAGGATAAAATCTAACTCGATAGCTACAAGATACACAAAAGAAGTTGAAGAAGTATAACCTTAGTCCAGTTCCCCACATCTAATGGGCCTAACTAATAACGTTTAGGGGGCTATTACTCTCCCCTGTTGGGCACCAAAACTTGCTTCCCTACGTTTAAATAACAATGACTATTCCAGTACAGAGGGCATCCTCTATTGTCTATTTGGACTGCCTTTTGAATATATGTAAAATTTGGGTTGAGTCGGGGAGCTTTATGGAGTAAGTTAAAGCCAGCACATTAGAGGTAATCGTTTCAGCTATCTTTTATTCTAACTATCAGAATGTACAAACTTGGGACCCACACATGTTCACCTACCTACAAAATTTGACCTTTGTCAGCTGCTGATTTTGCGTGATGTTTTAGATATTGATTTCGGTGCTTGATTAATTGTCTCTGGCGGTTGATTTTGTAAAGTAAGTATTATAAGTAACTCTGACTGTTTAATCTTACTGCAATTAGTCATAAAGCAATAACTTCTGTGCAATTCAAACGAAATTCACGTCAGCTGATTGAATTGTCTCCTGAAATTCAATGAACAAAGTACTGAATACTGTAAATAATAAATATGCATAATGGAGTATATATTGCTGCTTTCAGTCATTTATAATTGCACGATGGAGACCTACTGAGTAACCGAGTAACTTATTTTATATATCATTAGCGAGGAGAGCTTAATTCCAATGTTATTTGCCTCTTCTTTATATTTGTATATTTCTTAGTTATACTTATAAATATCAGATAAGCTTGTACTCCGAGGATTATTTACCGACAAGTACGGGGCTCTCTTCTAATTGCGATGTTTTATAGCTAAATTCCTCCCAGCTGTGTTACAAAGATTTCGTGTATCACATGGAGCTGAGCTGAATGTTGGTGGTACCAGGTGAGGACCAGGTGGAGCTTATATCATCTAGGTGGAACTCAGTAATCTGGCCGCACAGTTTTTTAGGTGTAGATAATTGGTTCATTCACTGAGCTACACCACAAAATGTAATGTCTTTTATCTTAAGCGGCACACACGATATAAAACACGTTTTAAAAAACGCGAACAGTTATAGAGAAGTAATTTGTTCAGTAATGATATCTGGTGCGGTTTATTAGATTTGGTCTTCAACCAAATGCCGCTGGTCCTAATATTGCTGAGTTCGTTTCGAGTGGTAAAAATATAATGCCGGCCAAGAAAAAGGATGCCAAATAACCATCAGTAATTTTAAAAATCAGATAAGTGCAGTATCGATTCACCATTTTAATGAGCCGTTGAAAGATAAGAGTATGTAGTCAGCAAATAAAATACCAGCTGAAGTCCATCAAACCTTTTTTCCGGTATCCAGTATTTTTCAGCGAGTACAACAATGTTCAAGTACATATTACTAAGATCTTAATGAAATATTACCCCTTCTGTAAAATTTTACGTGAAAGAAAACACGATTGCAAAACTACGTTACTGAAGCATATATAACAAGCTTGCTAATATTATGTGCATTACGTATTTTTATTATATTATAAAACAATTCTGAGCCCTCAATTGGCAACTGCCTGAATTTAACGATAATCCTCAGGTTAATAATATAAATATACATGTTATGTTCAAGATTCATATTCTGTTACGTTATTCTTCTCATATGTTGTAGGATCGAAACACAGATAATATGTTATATTTAAAGCACAATGAAGTCATCGAACAGAAGTAATATTAAGTTACTTGTAACTTTGTTAAGGTAAAAGATGCATCAGAATGTGCCACTTAGAAAATAACACTAAGTTCCGTACGAGGAAAAAGAAACAACTATCAAACCGCCTTCCTATTGTGAGCACGATATAACTTATTTGGTAAAATTAGATCAGGAGTATTGGTAAAGTGTTTATTATTAGAAGGACAAGTAGTACTGTATAATAAAGGTAGCCGCAATTAGCACCATCGCCACAAAGAAGTAGTGTCAATAAAAACACGGGTAAAATACTACATTTCCTGCAGACGTCAACTGCAAAAATAGTTACAAAACGTCAGTCATCAACCGCAGATAGATTGCCACAAACAACCGTGGCGATCGTCGAAGTAACAAGAAATGCGGCCGCCTTTCTTTTGTGGATGGCCGCTAGCCCGGTTCATAAAACAAAAATATTATCCAATAATTACGGCGATAGGCTTATCTGTTGTTCCTTAGGCCAAATAACTACCAAAAAAATTTTGAAGCTTCAACTCCAACCGGAAACACCCCCACATGCCACGCCCATTTTTTTCATCAATTTTTAACAGGTAAAAATCTTCATATCATCAATTTAGGCATGAAGGAGTGCTTTTAGTGCTCCAACAGTTTGGGGTCTAATAGTAATGGTAGAAAAAGGTTAACTTTAGTCAAAGTCTCAAGTCTCCACGGCGCTTGGTTTAGGCGCACCGGATCTCGCGTCTCGCGCCTCCGCCGCGAGATTTGTTGCGCCAAAACTAAAGGTCGTAGAGACATGAGACTTCGACTAAAGTTAACCTTTTTCTACCATTACTATTTGAGTATCACAGTTTCAGAGCTCTAAACACATTCCTTCATCCTTAAAACAACAATCATATGGATTTTGCCTGTAAAAGTGGAACTGATCCTTTAAAATCGTTAAAAGAAGTCAGCAGGTTATAATCTAGGTACCCTGGCTTTCGGATGCCTTCGCAAGCAAGCTGTCTAATCTTCGTTGCCAGAGGAATATTTTCGTCAAACTATGATTTAAATGAGGTTCTTATTTCTTCATAACTCGTCACTGATAGGATCAGCATCGATGAGGTCCAATAATTCCTTCATAGCTCGTCACTGACAGGGTAACCGATCACTTTTAATAAGGTCTGATGATTTCTTCGAGACTAACGACTAACGAGGATACGTCAAGACAAAGTATATATTTGGTTTGCTAATAGATTAAATATGACAGTTTATGTTTAAGAATAAAATAAAATCAATATCAAACAACATTTACACATAAAATCTAATAAAGCTTCCTAAGATCGTCCTTGGTCTCCAGTCCAAATCTCTTCCTGTGAGACTCCACCGCTTGGACCAGCTCCTGAAAGGACTCCTCGTCTCTCGTCATGTGTGAGTTGAGTCTTGTTGCTAAGGCTAGTGCCCGTTCTGATGAGTCATTCAGAGGAGTTAGTTTCTGAAGTAAACTACGTGATTTGCTGTAAGAAGGGGTAGATATCCAATCCTCAGCATCCAAGAATGTGTGTGGAACTTCAAGTAGGCTGAATATCAAGGTTGAACGAGGACCGACGAAATCAATCAGGGAAGATTCCTTAGCGAGGGCTGGAAGAGTCAGTTTTCTGATTTCAGGGAGGACTGATGGAAGTTGACCAATCTTCTTTGCGATCAGGTTCCTCGTCTCCAAAGGTAAGGATTCGTCAAACACAGCCAGAGGGACGAGATCTTCAGTTAGGTACCAAGTGTGCCTGTTGATAACACTAGCTGTGGAACAGGATACCTTCTTGTTCACCTTCGAGAACTTCTGGATTCTCCTGTGCAGCTTGAGGTCGTTGGAAGCAGCAAAGAAGAGTGATCCAGAGGTGAACCATGCTTCCAGCCCTGGACGAGTGGGAGTTGACGGATAAGATCATAGCTTGTGGTTTCGATACCACATCCTCCAATACCGGGATACGAAATGGGAGCTGTGTCCTTCTTCAGCAACTCCTTTCCCGTCAACTCCTCGTTGTATCCTCGTTAGTCGTTAGTCTCGAAGAAATCATCAGACCTTATTAAAAGTGATCGGTTACCCTGTCAGTGACGAGCTATGAAGGAATTATTGGACCTCATCGATGCTGATCCTATCAGTGACGAGTTATGAAGAAATAAGAACCTCATTTAAATCATAGTTTGACGAAAATATTCCTCTGGCAACGAAGATTAGACAGCTTGCTTGCGAAGGCATCCGAAAGCCAGGGTACCTAGATTATAACCTGCTGACTTCTTTTAACGATTTTAAAGGATCAGGTCCACTTTTACAGGCAAAATCCATATGATTGTTGTTTTAAGGATGAAGGAATGTGTTTAGAGCTCTGAAACTGTGATACTCAAATAGTAATGGTAGAAAAAGGTTAACTTTAGTCGAAGTCTCATGTCTCTACGACCTTTAGTTTTGGCGCAACAAATCTCGCGGCGGAGGCGCGAGACGCGAGATCCGGTGCGCCTAAACCAAGCGCCGTGGAGACTTGAGACTTTGACTAAAGTTAACCTTTTTCTACCATTACTATTAGACCCCAAACTGTTGGAGCACTAAAAGCACTCCTTCATGCCTAAATTGATGATATGAAGATTTTTACCTGTTAAAAATTGATGAAAAAAATGGGCGTGGCATGTGGGGGTGTTTCCGGTTGGAGTTGAAGCTTCAAAATTTTTTTGGTAGTTATTTGGCCTAAGGAACAACAGATAAGCCTATCGCCGTAATTATTGGATAATATTTTTGTTTTATGAACCGGGCTAATGGCCGCTCAATTTCCCGATCCGTGATTGAGTATTTGATCATATTCCATACCACCTGGGGACCCCAGTCTTTACTGTTTATAAGCATGCAGATATGGCGGAGTGACAGGCCGAGCGCCGCCCAGTTGATATAATTCCGTATTTAATTTGAAAATCGTGTATATTTCTATGTAACCATATGTTTATTGTTTATGCAACCTGACACGGATATGTGCAAAATAGTAATACTAACTCAAAATAATAAATTTACTATGCTATCAATTAGTCCTTAGCGGGATGCGTACATGGTGAAATTAACAATGTACTTGAACATTTCAGCACCGCGCGCCAACAAATGTTTAATTCAGATTTTCGCGCAAAATAACTTTGCACAGGCAGACACGTGGGCGACACCTACGGTCGCAGGCAGGCACGCAGGTACGGTCGCACGGACGAAAGCTACCATATACAAAAAAAACTCGTTCGCTAACCCTTGTCCTTGACTCTTTTGTGCCTTCGGCACTTTGAGTCATGGATCGGGAAAAAATACGACGTTTAATCCTGGTATGCAGACATGCAGTCAAACATTGATCTGAGCTGAATTATAATACAAATATTGCTTAGACGTGGGAAGTTTATTACTTTCACTAACTTTTCTAATCTAAACACTAGCAACATTCTACTAAGTTCTTAAATAATGGGTTGAATTGTCAGCACTTATCTTACATCGACTATTATCGCTTTCAATAATCAACCTTCTATCTAAACAGCAAAAATTCCATGACAATATTCTCAAAGTAACCTGGTTAGCCTCGAAAAGTCTATTGAACGAGCTCTCATCTTCTTCGTAAAAGCAACGGGATTTGTAATGTTAAGGCTTTTTCTCACTGTAAAGGTAGATATAACAAATTTGACATAACAAAACAGAGGGGGCCAATCAAAGAAACGGATTATACCGGTAACACGTACATTAGTACCCACGATAAGCTGAAACTTGATGCCCATTACGATGGGAAACTCCTTTATTGGCAGAGCGGATGGTAGTCTAAGATTTAAGGTATACAATTGTTGGCTAGACCACCACTGTAAAACTGACACCTCTCATGTTACAAAGAGTGGTGGAATGTTGTTCTTGAGGAAGCATTAGAGAACGGCTGGGAATGTTGTTGCTTGCATGCTTGACGTGAAGGTGTGATTGTAATCTAATTATTGATAACAACCCTGATTATCCTAATTATCCTAATTATCATGATTATTGCTCGACCATCTCCTTTCAAATGTTTGTAAGGTAACCGGGTAATTTAGCGTGCCAATATTATCGGGTGCATTGCTTAATAAAAATAACAGCTGTAAACTTAGGATAAGCTATCTCTAGTACGTGAAATTTCTTAGACGTAAACAAAGCAAGGGTAAGATTAAGATAAAAATAAACTTCACAAGTTCTCTTAAAGACTGGCTCATAAAATATCGCAAAATATAAAATAAAAAACACCGTGCTAAGCAGCCAAGATAAAATAAATATTCCAGCGAATAAAAAAGAATTCCTAAAGTTCTCATCAGAGTGCCAACTACATACTACCGTAAACTAGACGTCCCAGTAAGTGGCTATTAAACTTAACTAACCTGCTCCAACACTAGAAGCACGATTATTAAACAAGAATGATGTAACTGCTCCTCCTCAGCCTGGCTCTGGCTCATGCTGTTGTATGACATGCTCTTGATATGCAACGACAGTGCTGTATTATGTGATCAGTGCGTATTAAACGTCTTGTCATTATTATCAGATATGATTTGAAGATTAGTTGAAAACACTGCATGATGCATTTCACCCCACCCCAAAAAGCGTGTTGTCATTCTGAAAACTCATTCTGTCTGTCAAGGTAGATATATTGCCAATTAAACGACAGTGGACACAACTAGCTGTTTTATCTGGTTCCAAGTCAGAGAATTTGCCGTGATCTCACATAACGAGCGGTTATGGTACCGGCTATGGGAGTAGTTAATGTTATGGGGGTGGTTAATGTTATGGGAGTGGTTAATGTTATGAGAGTAGTTAATATTATGGGAGTAGCTATGCCAAATATTTCACATATTGTAAAAAAAGGGTATTAGGAAAGCAAAAAAAAAAACACATTTTATGGTAGGTATAATCTTAAGAAAGCGGCGAATTCTGTTTAAAAACAACAGCAGTTCGTAGGAGTCTAGCATAAGTTAAACTATAGGCGTCTTAACTGTTGAACCGTTGAACTGTTGAACCTCTAAATGCTCTAAATAATGCCGACAGTAAACATTGTATTATTTATACTGTAATAGCCTTTCTATCAGACAAGGGAAGCAGGCGACGCGACGGTGGAAGGAAGTATTTAAGTATAATATTGATTTATTGGGTATCCAGGGATTTGATTGCTTTATGTGCCTGGAAACGGAAAGTTATGAGGAAATAGGAAACTGCTGGTGAATAGAACTTCTTGGCTGATTGGTTCTCGTGTTTTTTCAAGCAAGGCGTGCTGACCACCAGCTATGCTTGTCGCTTGAACACCTCTATTTTAACACAGCGGCTCATAAGGCTAAGTGGTTAATATTATTAGTAATAAGTAATAATCACATATTTTAGTGGCTTATACCTGCTGATACTCAATATCTCTCAAATACTGTTCGATTTCTGAGAGGACTTAGAACGAGATATAGTATGTGAGCTCATGTTATCATTTAATTAGTCATATTTTAAGAGGTGTTTTTTTTCTGCGTTTTTATACGTTTTACTTTTTAACTGTCTAATATTATGATTATGAGTGTTAACTTAAAATAGTTTTCTGGTGGTTCATTACGCTTTCATTATTATATTGTTATATTTTTCCATCATAACACATATTTAATTACATATTATTATTATCATAATGTGACACTACGTTATGATATTGTGTCAAATTTTAAATATTTATCTCAATGGGATCAATATTATGTAAGTTAGTGATATATTATTATATTACCATATTGCTAAATGATATTTATACCATTGGTAATATTAAGTACTTTACAAGTGGACGAATTTAGCATATGATTAAGTTTTTATTGTTTACAATATTATGTGACCAGTTCTCTTATAACTAACGTTGTGAAGATGATAAAGTTTTTCAATGTTACATTTTCATTCATTCGCAATTTGACTTAATGATGAAGTTGTTATTATACTGATGATGATGTAAAGATAAAAAACGTTGTGCAAGTTTCGAATCTTGCTGTTCTTTCCGGTCTAGACCTTTACACGCTCGGGATCCAGACTCTAGATCACACGTTTAATTGGTTCCCCTAAACACTGTATCCAACCGTATCCTGGGTAAAATGCTGTCCAGCTGTATTTAACAGTACAAGTCGTGTCTGTGTATACTAACTGTATTTACTACACATTCTACAGCACATTCTCCTGCAATGAATATAATTCTCGTGAAATAAAGCGGGCTGCTTTATCTACTCAGAGTGCTTTTTAATCAATTCTCTCTCCTGCTGTAGGTTTGTATGATGTCTATCAGATAGTACTACTCTCCCTAATGTAGCATGTTTCCTGTGAATGATGAAAAGTGAGGGTGTTCATTTTCCCGTCGAGACAATCAGATCAGCACTAAGCAAGTTTAATAAGAAGAATGACAACAGCGACTCCAGCAAAAAGGTTATTTTTGTGCCAGTCTAGGGCAGGTCGTTTATTAATATCTCACAATACTTGCTTACAAATCTTGCTGCCAGCTTAGCAGCCAACCTTGAGGATAATAATAATAACCTCACTCACTCAGTTCACTAACTTATAATTATAATTAACAACACACTACTAACACCACTCAGGTAGCCCTGTTATCACACGATGACTCAGCTGACTCGGGAGATGAGTCCTACTGTGAAAAGAAGAACCTGCTGCTCCGTGACGTCACTCTTGGAGACTTGTCAGATAAGGAAGTGAGGCCGTGTTATCAGGAGGACACTGATAGTGATGTTTCTGATGATATCTTCAATGAGCGGGTTAGATACATTCTTTATCATGAATAGTGACATGGCACTTTGCCAAGTTTCTGTTCATTTTGGGATTATGAGTTCTTTGCTACCTGGAATATTCCCACGCATTGGAATTTCCCCCCGTCTTATTGCCGTTTAATCCAAAACACTAGACACTTAATGAGTTAATGGTAAAAATGCTTTGATCTTTTAAGAGTTACTAAACTTGATTGATAAATTTCGGGGGAAAATAGCAAAGAACACTTAATGCTTTAATAGTAAAAATGCGTTGATTTTTTAAGTGGTTACTAAACTTGATTGATAACTTTCGGGGGAAAATAGCGAAGAATTTAAATAAATTAAATCTGCAAATACAAGCTGGTAGAAATCGTTTAGCGTAAGTATTTTTCTCAGTATCATACTGTTAACTTGAGGAGGCCGGAGTTTTTTACCTTGTTCCTTGTGCGTCACAGATACCGGTTAGTTAGGCCACATACCATATTCTTATTTCACTCCAGCCCTGATGATATCTTGTTACAGGACAATGTTACCGCCCTGAGGGACTACTGCAAGACAGCTACAGATATATCACACGTAAGTCCGCACCGGTTCCATACTTCCATACATCATGTCATGTTGTATTACTTATTAGAACAGAATATGTAAGTTCACTTTACTGTCACATGTAATTTTTGAAGATCATTTCTGAGAATCGCAAGTTGCTCTTTCATAAATTAATCCACAGATGTTTAAACTGTGTCAATGTTTCGTTAACAACCTGCTGAACCAGAGTGTTTAATGTTGACTGTCTCGGGCTCTGATACTACCGGTATCTGAGAGCCAGTATCTGAGAGCCAGTATCTGAGAGCCAGTATCTGAGAGCCAGTATCTAAGAGCCGGTATCTGAGAGCCAGTATCTGAGAGCCAGTATCTGAGAGCCAGTATCTAAGAGCCAGTATCTGAGAGCCAGTATCTAAGAGCCGTTATCTGAGAGCCAGTATCTGAGAGCCAGTATCTGAGAGCCGGTATCTGAGAGCCAGTATCTGAGAGCCAGTATCTGAGAGCCAGTATCTGAGAGCCAGTATCTGAGAGCCGGTATCCAGCTCTCTATGCACATGGTACTTACCATGTAGTGTGTATTATACTGCTCAGCTACAACTTATATGCATATTAGAATTTGTATTCTTCTCGCAATCAAGCTTAGCGTATTATACAGACTCTCAGCCAGGAGTCCTCATTATGATTATGTTTACTGTCATTTACTTGAGCTCTCTTTTCTCCTGGTAAGCTTGTTACATGTAGTTATGATACATGTTCTATACAGACTTGCGCTTTCCTCGAGCCCTACTGTATCAAAATTACCTATTAAAACTGGATTGTACTTGCGTCATGCTGGCCCAGTTTTGGAGCACTAGTTTTATCCGCTTTTTGTTTGTAGTGTCGCCGTTGTTCGATAAGTAGACTGGTCACGCCATCAAGCAGGAAAAACTGCCAATACACGTTTGTTTACATTTTCAGCTCTCGACTGAAAACATTTCACTGTGTGGAGATATACAAGTGTGTACTCTCTCTCTCTCTCTGTATTTATTGATAGCCTACTTTAAGTTATGAGGCAGTTGTTTGTTTCGTGATTCTTGGTGACGTGGCTACTTTATTGGCTATTCGAGGAGGACACTTTTAAATGAACGAGGAGGATTTTAATGAGGAAATCGCAGCGCTCCTCCCTCGAGAACTCGATACTTATTCGGTAAGAATAGATCTGTACGATCTGCCAATATTTGAATATTGGATTTTGATCTGGATCTGGCACACGGCCAGCATGTGTGCTCTAATTTATAGCATCCTCTCACTTTAGCTTTTTTGTTTGACTGAAGTGATACTTATGGGTTGAATGCGATCAAAGGCAGCATATAGGTGCGGTGGGTGCGAAATCGCATTATTGACCTAATACCGCGTTTTTTTGCACAATCGGCCGCTATTCGTTCTATCAGATTTGTGCAGTATGTGCACTTGGTACTGCTGTCAGCTACGTACATTGTACAATGTACAATGAGATAAGATTGACATTGAAACTTCTATATACCGGGACTCTCGGGGGAAACGAAAGTGCATGGTATAGGAAAAACCCTGTATACCCTGTATACCCTGTATACCCAGTATACCCTGTATACCCTGTATACCTTGTATACTGTTTAGCATGGCTCACAATCCCTCACTCAATCTGTAGCTCTCTGAATAAGTTGAGGTACGTGATGATTACAAATATATCTTCAACGGCCAGGTAGCGCAGTTGGTTAGCCAGCTTTGCAATCGTGAGGTTGCGGGTTCAAATCCCACTGCCTGCCTGGTCGTGGGGTGAGTGTCGTTGACATTCAGCTAAGGATCGTGAGTGGTCTATGCAGCCCCCCGGTCTACTCAGCCGAATACTCGAGAAATCGGGTGTGAGGGTTAAATGAGGAGCTGCACATTGCAGCAAAGTCTCGGGCGAAGAAAGTATGGTACACACTACCTTAACCGTCACTGGCTAAAAACAAATCCTTCGGCTTCCTGTAATTGGCTGGTTGCACTTGTGTAACAATATGGCTGTTGGAATACTCCGAAGTAAAATAAGTGTCTAGATTGTGAGATGAAGCGTTCTGAATCCAGAAAGACCCGAGAATTCAACATTCTCAGTTTAGAGACAAGACACCCAAACAGTTGATCAGTTATAGTATGATGATGATGAAAATCTAAAATATATATATGGCTACAATGAGCATTTTAACAACAATATTAATTTCATCCTAAAATGTGGCATGTACTAATGTTAAATCCGTTATAAGTAGAGGACGTACTTAACAAACTTCTTATCGGCCATGAAACCCGGAAAACTGTGTTGCTGTTAAAAGATAAGCAGCGTTATCACTCAGAAATCAACCCAGTTATAAACAAATTTGATAAAGGAGTGAGAGGGGGCCAAGTTTAAATTGTCTATTCATCACAATTTGATGGATCAGTTGTTACTGGTGTCTGGTGAATGGTGATACGTATCCTAGTAGTTTTAGTCGTCGATAACCCGCTATATGATGCGGTGAAAGTGATATGGATTTCTTTACCTTTTTCTTAGTAAGTCCTGTACCGCTACTTTTGATTGCTGAACCTGTCGAGACATTGTTCGTGTCTTCTACTGATTTAGCTTGACTGTAAACTTAAACATTCTTGATCATTTATAACCATATATATTATAACAATAATTGTGGGTGGCGTCGTCTGCTTACAGTGCTCAATCGGCAAGCTGAGAGCTAGATACAAAATGAAACGACCGGTTGAGTCAGACAAATGTTTCAATCATGATACAAAATCATGATATCATCAGTGACAACTGAGGTATAGGAACTAAAATTGAAATTACAAAGCTAAATATTAACATAAACATTCACTCGTGAAACAATACTAGGGGTTAGATATATGAGTCATTAGATAATGACTTTCATTTCATTTTGTATATTATAACAATATATAATAAGTGAATGTAATTGATTTGATGTGAACGCTGGCTAAGGCACCACGACATGGAATTGAATATTCTAAGCACCGTATTCATAATCTTTAGTTGGACAATACTCTGGTATAGTGGTATCATTCCACAAAGGCCACAAGATATTGATTCACATTTCACAGTCAACAGTACCTCTTTAGACCAAATTTGCTCTTGATCTGCAGCCCGAATTACCCAAGTCAGTATACCTTAGTGCAAGAAATATAGGCGGCAAGAATATAAGGCGCTAGAAATTAAGGCGGCAAGAAATTAAGGCGATATTTTTTTCGGAAAAAATACGATTTTTGATCGCAAATTTGGTTATAGTTTTGGTCGAAATAGTGTCAATTTTATTCTTTTATCAGTCTATAAAGCATAGAAATCTGTTTAAAAATACGATATATTGGACATTGGTCACATAAAAACTAAATGGTGCATGCACATTATATTTATAGTGATTGCTGTTCTGTCGTCTAAGTTTATAATTTTAAATTAGGTAGACATCCACTACATCAGCAAACTGCAAGTCAATTGGTATATTCATTGCATTTGACAAAATGATAGTGCACATTCTGTACGCGGCAAGGAATTTTTATGTATGTATACTACATATCATCATTAAAATTAAAAATTTCTTATGAAAAAATCGCAAGAAAAAAAATTAAGGCGGTTAGAAATTACGGTGGTCAGATATTAAGGCGGCAAGAAATTAAGGCGATTTTGTCAGAATCGCCTTAATTTCTTGCCGCCTATATTTCTTGCACTAAGGTAATTACAAAGTAACCTGTTCTGCGTCTGACCACTGATTTGATAACTATTATCAATCCACGCAATCCATAATCAAATAACCATCTCTCTCACCTGTACCATCAGCTGCACCACGTGTCACGTGAACAGTAAGCTAGAGCACGTGTCACGTGAACAGTAAGCCAGAGCACGTGTCACGTGAACAGTAAGCTAGAGCACGTGTCACGTGAACAGTAAGCTAGAGCACGTGTCACGTGAACAGTAAGCTAGAGCACGTGTCACGTGAACAGTAAGCTAGAGCACGTGTCACGTGAACAGTAAGCTAGAGCACGTGTCACGTGAACAGTAAGCTAGAGCACGTGTCACGTGAACAGTAAGCTAGAGCACGTGTCACGTGAACAGTAAGCTAGAGCACGTGTCACGTGAACAGTAAGCTAGAGCACGTGTCACGTGAACAGTAAGCTAGAGCACGTGTCACGTGAACGGTAAGCTAGAGCACGTGTCACGTGAACAGTAAGCTAGAGCACGTGTCACGTGAACAGAAAGAAGCCACCAGGTACTGAGATAGTCAGCCCTTGTTTTATGCAATGGAGCTCAGGCTAAATTTATTTATGTCTACCGCAGCGGTTTTCATATTTTAGTCCGTGTTGCATGAACAGGTGCGAATTCTACTTACTCTACGTAAGGATGGTGCTATCCATTCAACATAATGTACCAGTCTTCATTGGGTATGCCTGGACTGTGCTAGTTTTAGCTCTGTAGTGCATCATCTTCAATCTTCATAACTTATGATTTAACGAGAAAAGCGACACAAAATCTCCGAAAGTTTTTTGATATCACGTGTCAATGCTTCTTGTATCAGAAATTGAGCAAAGAGCAATACATTTTGATTATATTATTATTATATTATTACTAGATGAATAACTACTCATCACTTTAGCACTCAAATATCTATATAAAGTGTGCATTGTCGTTGTAGGATTATTCAAGACCTTGATTTTTGGCAAAATCCAAGAACTATGGGTGAAAAACTAAACGTTTAACTTTGACAAACATACTTCACTAGTAACCCTATTTCGACAGAATAATTTAGAGACAGTAGCTTTGACCTTATTTGGCAGATGTGTCATTGTGTCATGTCCAAACTTGATTCAGATTACATACAACCAACTTTACAACCTTTGCGAGATGATTTGATGACTATCATAGTATTGTAGATGATATAACGTGATGTGTTAAGTGACAGATTGGAAGTCCCTCAGTCCCTGTCGTCATGAAACGGTATATATTATACTGGTCAGAGAGTAGATAATGCCATACATAATAATATAATCTATTATAATATATCATTATCTATAGTTAGAATCAAAGACTGCACCACACAACACGTCCCATTACTCTAGAACCTTGTGTACTGTAGTGTGTGTGACCCAATACGTGACCCAATACGTGACCCAAAACGTGACCCAATACGTGACCCAATACGTAGCCCAATACGTGACCCAATACGTGACCCAATACGTGACCCAATTATGCCTGATCCTCAGATCTTGTGATCCATGACCCAATCGCTGGTGGTATTAAATAGACTCGCAAAGCGTTACATACTGTCTACGTATCAGCTGGGGTCTCAATCACAAATAAAACAAAGAGATTTGGCTATATTAGCTGTATTAGGTCCCCCTCAGCCCTCCATGAGGCTCTTTACACGTACATGTTGTGCAAAGGTTACACTAGCGTAAACATCTTCAAACTTTCTCAGTCCCCTAGGCTAGCTTACATAATGATACGACTATTATATGTTATTTATGAGTTATAACAAATGAAAGATTTTATAAAATAACTACTTTATAAAATAACTACTTTAATCAGGACGTTTGTGATTCGCCTGGAGGAAGCTGTCGAGACGAGGAAGCAGAGAGGGTATCAAACAGATCGGAGACACCGGAGACACTGTCCTCAAACCAGGTCAGTTGTATTAGAGACACTTTCCTCAAACCAGGTTAGTTGTATTAGAGACACTGTCCTCAAACCAGGTTTGTTGTATTAGAGACATTGTCCTCAGACCAGGTAAATTGTATTAGAAACACTGTCCTCAAACCAGGTTCGTTGTAATAGAGAGTTCTCAAACCAGTTTATTTGTATCAGAGACCCTGTCCTCAAACCAAGTTAGTTGTATTAGAGACACTGTCCTCAAACCAGGTTAGTTGTATTAGAGACACTGTCCTCAAACCAGGTTAGTTGTATTAGAGACACTGTCCTCAAACCAGGTTTGTTTTCCTTAGATACACTGTCTAACCAGGTAATCTTTGTGCAGCGTCTAGCATTATTGATCATCCGCTTTGTTTAGAATAAATCTGAGATGGCGTCTTTAAACAATTTCCAACTATTAGAAAATTAAAGCTCCATATTTTAAACTCAGTAATCTTCTCTGTGTGCAGTACGGCCTAAGCTGTATTTTAAGAAGTTGTTTATGAACAAAATTTCTCTCGATTTTTCCAATTCCTAATAGAATCTTGCCTGCAGTACGTGTACCACTTTGTGTGTAATTTATGGGAAGTATATTACATAGTAACACAATTATATCCAGGATGATAGCATGGCTCTTAAACACAGGTATAATTAGGTTATTGTGTGCGACGTGATAATCATGAGATTTGGGAAAATTACCTGATTTCGTGGCTTGCTTTATCTAGGACCCGATTTTATACTTGCATATAATATACTCGTTTCCTTGGAACACTGTATCGTTAAATCTGACAACTTTTTCTCCTTGATACCCTAATCTACCACTGCTTAAATGAATTGCTGCATTGCTTGCTCTGCAATTGTTAAATATCTAAACTGCTCAGTTTTATCATGGTTATACTAGTTCCTTCCTGTTTATTCTATTTCTACCTCTAATCTACTTATAATATATTATATCGTATTAATACAATAGTAAGTGTGAGTTGGCGCGTGTTCACACCACCTTTTGTTATGTTCGCTGTTCCGGTTTGAACTATAAAACTAACATATGCTTTGAAGTGTGTATCTCAGCCAGTTGAACAGTGTTAGTTACTGTACTGTTTGTATTTTTTGCTGAAGTTTTGGGTCTCCTGTTTTGAAGTAGCTCTTATCTGGATTGTTAGTGGGTCCGGATAGATTTCGAGACACTAACATTAATCTATACTGAAGTATGAAGTACAATAATATTAATCTATACTGAAGTATGAAGTACAATAATATTAATCTATACTGAAGTATGAAGTACAATAATATTAATCTATACTGAAGTATGAAGTACAATAACATTAATCTATACTGAAGTATGAAGTACAATAACATTAATCTATACTGAAGTATGAAGTACAATAATATTAATCTATACTGAAGTATGAAGTACAATAATATTAATCTATACTGAAGTATGAAGTACAATAACATTAATATACTGAAGTATGAAGTACAATAATATTAATCTATACTGAAGTATGAAGTACAATAACATTAATCTATACTGAAGTATGAAGTACAATAATATTAATCTATACTGAAGTATGAAGTACAATAATATTAATCTATACTGAAGTATGAAGTACAATAATATTAATCTATACTGAAGTATGAAGTACAATAATATTAATCTATACTGAAGTATGAAGTACAATAACATTAATCTATACTGAAGTATGAAGTACAATAATATTAATCTATACTGAAGTATGAAGTACAATAATATTAATCTATACTGAAGTATGAAGTACAATAATATTAATCTATACTGAAGTATGAAGTACAATAATATTAATCTATACTGAAGTATGAAGTACAATAATATTAATCTATACTGAAGTATGAAGTACAATAATATTAATCTATACTGAAGTATGAAGTACAATAATATTAATTTATTCAAGTATGAAGTTATATAATATTAATTTATGCAAGTTCCACCCTGCTTCACTACTGAAACCTCGCTTTGTATGGTTTTGATATATCATCCCATGTTAGGATTCCTTTCTAAGCAGATAACGATAAAACCTCCCCAACACACCATACGCCATTAAATGTGATTCAGAGTATTACTTTGTTTAAAATATTTCTCTATTTCCGGTATATAGAGGTGCCCAAAAATACAGTACACACCGTTATATTAAATACAGTACACACCACACTGTAATATTAAATTTGATCTCATCGTCTTGTTATTTGTTTTGGTTATGAAATTGCAGCGTCCTATTGAGCACATGTTGCGTTGATTGCATATATGCGATTTCAAAACAATTGTGTTTAACTAGGATATATTAGGATGCTCTCTGAGATTTCAGTAGATCCCGAACGGTCTAGATGGTTTTATTCGGTGTTTTGGTTTATATATACGGATACTCAAACGGGGGATGCTGTTCTATTTTTAAATCAGCGCTTTCTGTTTTTAACTTTTTTGGTGTTGCTATGCTTCTTTTTTCGTATAATTTAATTCAAGAACAAAGTTTTCAGCACCGAGATGACCATAAAAGTATTGATTGCCCACCCTCAGTATCTTATCAATCATATTATTGCTGACGATACATTTCACTAGACACGCACACTTTATTAACCCAAACAAGGACGAACACCATTACAGCACCAATTCTCGTGTCGGGTTGACTTCAACAAGAGCTGCTATGAGGGCTGCAGCTAGTTCAACAATATTTTAATACAAAGATTGGACGACCAAGCTAGCGGCTTTATAATATGAATTTATTCCTTCAGAAATAAGAGCGCAGCTAGTTGCCAGTTTAATGTTTATATATTTAGTGTTCCTTTGTTTCTTCAGACAGCCCAAAAAAAGGTATATTTTTGATCAATAAGTCTTTCTTTTAGGACACACCTTTTCAATAAGACAAATTAGTTCCAAGAAAATAAGAACAATAGGGCACGTGGTCTGACCTATTATTAAAGTTGGGTCGTATCAAAAATCCACATTTATATTTAAACATTTTCGATTAAACTAAGAAATTAGTCAGTTCTCTACGTTAGTTTTACGTGAACTCCCTCTCACACATGCAAGATAACTGGTCGAGACAGTCAGTTTTGTGAAGTACTCAATTTCTGAGTCCTGTCAATTCTAGCTGCCAATATTTCTGAGATGTCTAACTTAAATCAGTAGCATTATCCCTTTACACGGCATGTCATGTAGCACTCACCATTGAAACACTAGCAAAACAGTAGGTTCTTCTGTACGGAGCCAGGCACAGAGGGGAGTTTTGCAAATGTTGTTTTGCAACCTTGTAACCAGAGAGATGCCCCGGCACCCTCATAAATGTTACAGTGTTTTGAAATCTTGTAACCGGAGAGATCCCCCCTCACAAATGTTACAGTGTTTTGAAATCTGGTTACTGGAGAGATGCCCCCACGTTATAACGGGAGAGATGCCCCCCAAAAACTCTCAGATCATCCTTTAGGTACTCAAACAGCTGAGTAGATCTCAGGTTATGGGCAGTAACAATACTCGTGACTTTATGATCCGACGGAAGTTTTAAGTCAAGATAACTTTCTGCTGTTTTCTGACAAATATGCATAAAGACCATTTAACAAATTCTAAATTCATTTACCCAAATTTATTTGTTGGGTCAAGAACTATTCCTGAAAAAATCAGAAAACATTAGAATTAATTGCCGGCTCCCAGAAATCCCTTTTTGGAACCCTCTAAAATGCAAAAATTTGTCAAAAATGTGTCAAAAATGTGTCAAAAATGTGTCCTAAGATAAGTGTCATAAGTGCTTTGTCAGAAAACGCCAGTTCTAATATAGCCAACAGTCATCAGTCAATCATTCTGTGTTGTAGATATATGTTCATGATATAAATTTAATCATATTATAGGGCGAGCGAAAGCCCCGCTCCACTTTACATGTTATTTCTAGTTGTTTCCTTGACTCTGTAACATAATTTGCTGTTGTTATGATATTGAGCGCATAACATGCACCTTCGACACACAATAGTTGAATAGTTCGTACAGTACAGTTTCCTGCAACTTCTCAGTTCTCAATATACCTCAAATACACTAGCTAGTAGCTACAATATGTACAGGCTTTGACCTAGTGCAAATGTTACGAAATAGCTGTATAATTTACAGATTAGGAGGTGATTGAATATTCATAAGAGTCCTCCGCAATCAATCCGTTACTATTTAAGATCTCTGAAGACAACGAATCGCAGATTGTTCTCGAGTTGTGGCACTAGGCTACATGTAGCTTACACAAATGTAAGCCACAGAATTCAATCACTAGCTGTAACAATTAGTCAGCTATTTCGGCAACCAATCGTATAATAGTTTCGATTACGATACATATATATATATATGTATTTATAGCATTTATTTGTGAGCGATTCTTTTGTTTCGGATGCTTCAGGGTTGGTGGTTTCGTGAAAATAGTAATGCGGGTACGAGATGCAGGAAGTATGTGTTGATGGATAGGGTTCATAATATAGGCCTTTTAGATATCCTTAAGTCAAAATGAACCCTCCCAAATTATTTTACCCTCGCTGTCATTTCTAATCGACAAGTTTCTCAATTTTCTTTTGAATAAAATTTATTATTAAAACATCTTATGACGTAGGTTTTGCTATCTTGAAGATGTAAAATATTCGACCAAATACATTAATGATTGAATATAAGTATTAACATGTTAATACTTGGTATTTTATAAAGTATTATTGCCGGTCGTTGACATTTCCACGTAAAATTTTAAGTACTTCATGGAAAAATAAGATGTTCAATCAGTTACTGTTATCTCTGAAAATCTTGAACTCTTACTTTCTGAACGAATGGTAAATGCAGTGCCGTATCATCACTTATTTTTCATCCATCGCCATAGTATATCGTAACCTTGGTGCTCCAATCTTCCGCAAGTCTGCTCTTCGATCTCTAAATGTTATATAAATATTCTCTCTTTATGGTCCTCTCATCATCAAAGAACATCAAGATACTAAATAAAGTTTCTAAAGAAAACTGCTCACCCTATAGATAGTAGATACACGTTGATCTTGAGACAACGCCCGCACGCGTCGTCTCTGCTACTAGTGTCCTTTATCATTTTACTGCAATATAAATTTTACTGCAATACACAATATTATATAATATAAATATATAATCTCATACCATCCATCAGCTGGCAACAATCGGAATCACTGTACTTAAAGTTTCTAGGTTACGCAATGCATCACACTCGTCCCTGAGTCTATAACTTTGAGTGTATAGCTGCTACTGCACCCAGCTTGATGCAGAGCTGCTAGTGCACCCAGCTTGTTGAAGAGCTGCAAATTATATGTAATAATGGTAACGTGGAGCTAACACAAATTGAATATTAAAGTGGCAGTATATTATAATATTCATTTTAAATGATATAAAACGATATTCGTGATCATTACATTAGTGGAGTGGAGCTCTGGAATAACGGCATATCTACTGAGAGACCGAGAGACAGGGGTGCAGGGATACTGGATAGTTAACAACTGATTATGTGGCGCCTACTTTTTGTGCTATTATAGTGGTAAATGTTAAGTGGTCCACTTCGAGACTGAGAGAGAGAGAGAGAGAGAGAGAGAGAGAGAGAGAGAGAGAGAGAGAGAGAGAGAGAGAGAGAGAGAGAGAGAGAGAGAGAGAGAGAGAGAGAGAGAGAGAGAGAGAGAGAGAGAGAGAGAGAGAGAGAGAGAGAGAGAGAGAGAGAGAGAGAGAGAGAGAGAGAGAGAGAGAGAGAGAGAGAGAGAGAGAGAGAGAGAGAGAGAGAGAGAGAGAGAGAGAGAGAGAGAGAGAGAGAGAGAGAGAGAGAGAGAGAGAGAGAGAGAGAGAGAGAGAGAGAGAGCACTATTACTAATAGTAGTGTAAAGCTACTGTTCGTTTGAATTGTAAAATACTTAAATGGAGTGCTGTAAATTCTATTATTATATATTGTGTCATAACCGAATATTATAACTCTTAATATAAGTAACTCATTAATATATAACAATAACATGTATAAGTAATGGTTGTAGATTCAATATTGTAAAAGTAATATTCATCTGATCCGTAAAATACTGGAGTAGTTGATAAAGGGTTGCAATATCTCCAATGTAGAAATATTGATTGTAGATTCAATATTGTAGAATTAATCTTAGTAAAGTCTAGAGAGGATGAGAGAGCAGAAGTATTCCGATCGGAGACAAATTAGAAGATTTGATATTAGCCTGGGTGTGACATAATATCTTGATTATAATATATCGATAGAGCAACTCCGTTACTCCGCTTTACTTTAAGAATATCTCCTGAAATGAGTGATGTATACGGTATACTGTAGAGTCAGAGAGTTATGTGAAGTGAAGAGAGTGATGATAAGTGTAGGAGAAAGCGCGTATATTTAGAGGGCACCGGAACAATGAACATTGAAGGGTAATTGACGCTCCAAAAGTTAAACACTCTGACAACAGCGGGGCCCATGACAACAGCGGGGCCCATGACAAACCTGTGGAGGTGTTGTAGAGTTTTAACACCCGGTATACGTCCAAAACAGTGCTGTAATTACCCTTGAAATACCACAGTTTAACATGTTAACTTCGCAGGGTTACTTTGAGTGGCCAGCTGATTCCCTCTGTTTGTAAAGTCAGGACAGTGTTTGACAATACCATTAGTCCTGGACTCATGCCAAAATATTGTCAGTAGGCCACATGTTGTCGCGGTTCATATGTTCAAGTTAATGAAGTCCCAATAGTTCATTAGTGAGGGGAGACTGGAGATGTAATGAACTTTCGCAAACTACCTTCACTCTTCACAACATTAATGATTGAGAGCGGCCCCATAAGTAATGAAGTGTCTCAAACTAATTTCACAGGAAGGCCTTCAGCACCTGCTCATTCATCACCGTGTGGTAGATTACGGGTAGATTACGGGTAGATTACGGGTAGATTACGGGTAGATTACGGGTAGATTACGGGTAGATTACGGGTAGATTACGGGTAGATTACGGGTAGATTACGGGTAGATTACGGGTAGATTACGGGTAGATTACGGGTAGATTACGGGTAGATTACGGGTAGATTACGGGTAGATTACGGGTAGATTACGGGTAGATTACGGGTAGATTACGGGTAGATTACGGGTAGATTACGGGTAGATTACGGGTAGATTACGGGTAGATTACGGGTAGATTACGGGTAGATTACGGGTAGATTACGGGTAGATTACGGGTAGATTACGGGTAGATTACGGGTAGATTACGGGTAGATTACGGGTAGATTACGGGTAGTACGGTAGATTAAGCACACTGGTAGTAGTGTGGTAGTACGGTAGATTAAGCACACTGGAACCACACGCTAGGTTCATGCACCAGGTCCCAGTAATTACACCTCTACTGAAGTACCGTATTCCAGCATGTGCTCCACTTTTTCTGGTGAATATTTTATGGAATATTATAAGGAATCAGTCCCTTAATCTACCTTACAGATTACAGCTGGGTGATCCTGACGCACACAGAGGGATAGTTTATTATTATAATAGTGGGATAAATGTTAAAATGTTTTCCGATCTCACAGTCGTTTAAGCAAGGTTTCAGCTGGGACAGTGGACACGTACACTGTTATTATGATGGACTAATACAATAAACTATTATCATAGCCTGATATTGTAATAAATCACGAGATTTGGTAATTATAGTTAACCGACCATTAATTCTTCTCACATCATTATCCGAATACTCAGCCATGTGTCATGAAATAAAGATGACTGGGAGAGCTCTACAGAGGATTGGCATAAATTATAATCCTAATTTAATTATACAAGGCCTGGCAAGAGAGTGGTGTCGTCTGCTACGGTACTGTCTCGGATTAATATAGAGATTCTCTCGGCACATTCAAATTCAGATTTCGCTACGAATAATTAGTTTGGTGAGTGGGTGGTTCCATTATGTATTATCATAATTACTGGGTGTTATATTGAGTACTAGCATAGGGTAAGATCTACAGTGGGGTGACATATGTTTATATATATATTTATGAAGGAGTAAGATCTATGAATTATATCGTCTATGCCGATTCACAGATCTGAACCTTAATATTGTTGATTCATCAGTCATCATTCTGGAAACTTCTTATCCCATTTCATTTCCTAGGTTAAACACTGAGGTTTTTATCTTAGTTATGTTGGTCGAGACACCATCTACAAATATTATTTTACTACTTATTTCATGGTGTCACCAACATTTAGACTGTAAAAATACAGTCAAATTAATTTCACCGAGTTACTTTCGCAACTACGCAGTTTAAGCAAATGCCAAAAGATGCGTGTATTTGAATGTCCCAAAAACATGAAGATGAGATGACTTTTACAGATTTCACTTTGCCCAATGTAAGTCCGGTTTCACATTACGTTTACACACTTATAATTATATCTACATTATATCTACATTCTATCTACATTCTATCTACATTCTATCTACATTCTATCTACATTCTATCTACATTCTATCTATATACGTATATAGGACAGGTATCTTCATGAAGCTTTTTTTCATGCGGTTATGTGTGGAAAGAGTACTAGTCATTGTGGAATGTGATAAAATCTAAGACAATTACAGCCGTTGAATATGAATGTGACTGTCTGTTGTGTCACTGAGCTTGAAAAAGGTTGCGCTGATCGTAGAATTAATCAAGTTGGAGGAACACATCATATTCAAACATATTTTGACATGTGATTGATATCAGACTGGAGATATGTAACACAGATTCGACCTATCATCATTAATAACCGTCCTCACGTGTCACTTGACAATTTCATCTCCCAGGCCCAGAAACTTTCATTAAGATTATCCGAGATTTCAGTCAAATTTGGTATCTGTTATAACTCTAAACGTCTGGGACTTGCCAATCCAACGCTTCTTTATCTTTTTATTAAAGATTATGCAGGTCTACGCCCCTTGATTTTGGTAAGTGACATATGACACGTAGTAATGTTCTCAAAGTAATCTAGCTATTGTTACAGGTTATATTGTACCAATCTATCGAGGATGGATCAATTGCTCTGAAGGCAGACGATGACATTCATGAGGACAAGGGCTATTACAAAGACTTTTATACTGACACAGAAATTCTCAGCGGTGTCTCTTTTAAAATGAAGTGAGTTAATTTTCTGATTTCTGGCAACATTGCGATCCGCATGGATTGACCATAAACAGCTTAAGTTGTTTTGGTCTTTGGATAGTTAACCGTGGTCCTAGTGGCTATTCTAGGAATCGAAAACTATTGGTTGCGGTTTAAAAGTCTGATCTTTACAAAAACGGTCTACTAGATAATGAAAATGGAACGCGCGTTGTCGTTTGTTGTGAGCTGAGATACAGGCAGTGCGCGTAAAACATGTGATTTTAAAGAAATAACATGATGTTCGTTACGAAATTAGATTTTATACGAACCATGTAAACATGGTAAACACATCAAATTCAATTGGCGTTTTAAATGAATTTATTTTCACTTCTTCACATTCAGGTATTTAGGCTCGACCCCGATAACTCCCGTGAAATACCAAGTTGATGACGTCAGAGGTCATCAAGCGCAGGAAGCTGTGAATACTATAGTGGGAACAGGGAACTCTAAAAAACGGCCCTCCAACCCAGTAAGCTACTAGTTACAATATGGATTGGAAGATATTTTCATTGTCGTGATCTTTTAATTCCTTAAATTCACGTCAACGGCTATATTTTGAGCAATTTACTCGAATATTTACACTTTTGCGGCTCTGTAGACAGGTTTTAAAGAGATGGTTAAGCAATGACGCAGTTTTCTTTCGGTGGGAATCGTGAAACACAAATCCTGCATAAGATATTCAATGTGTTCGTACGATTGTGATTTGTGTATCACTACTAAATGGAGTTACTGAATACTGATGCACCTTCTTATGTAGATAGTTCAGTACACATTTGAATAGTGAATACATTAATTACACTTTTGTAATTTAAGTAGCATGAAACTACTGGTGTGCGACCTGTGTTGTAGGTCGTAGGACAGGTTCTTACACAGACGCCTAAGCCGACACTTCATCATTCTTGACGTCAATCAATTTGCCCCTCGGCTGTAGTTTTTTCTCGATCCCTGATGAAGTTCTGTCGAATTCAAAGCATAATATCTTAATTCTTAGTACCATGAACATGTAGAAGCTGGAAAGGATCATTGTTCATTTCCAATTACCATTACACGGCATTAATAAAGAAGTCTATTCTCAGTCCATTAGGAGTCAATTCAGTAGATTTTGTCATTTGAGAGAAGTAGTTTGAGCGTTCCAATTTTTCACAAAAACTCACTCACGGATTTTGTGTAAGAATTCGATGCTATGCTCACTTATGGATAAGCCATGGCCCAATTCTAAAAATCGAAATATGTCCGTTCTTCAGTAAAAACATTGTAAAAATCCACTGAAATTATCTCACGTAAATATTTCCAGGTGATATTTACGGTGTCGGCCTCCAAACTGCTAGTATACGACGGTAACATGCAGCAACTGTTGATGGAACACCCCATAAAGCTAGTATCCTACGTTGGTGATGTGGGCTCTTATCTGGTGGTGATGGTGAGGTATCAGAACCACGAGGAGAAGCAGGTCTTCAGGGTTACCTGTCACGTGTTCCAGTCTAAACACAGTCATCAGGTACAGGGTGTTTCAAGACTCGTGTCCAAATTTGAAATTATAATTTTTCTATTTTATGAAGGAGCAAATTAAATGAAATCGGTTTGGGAATGCTTGTTAGGTCTTACATTTTAGTTATTTCTTGCAAAATTGTGTCAAAACCCATTTTTTCATAATTTTGCAATCTTTTGAAATTTTTCGAAGAAAATTTGGACACGAGTCTTGAAACACCCTGTATGTTATCAGAACCACGAGAAATATGAGATAGCTAGGAGTTTTTTCTTCGAAATTTCAACATTCTTTTTAAACTGATTTGTAACATTGAGCTTTTATTTCTGAACTATAGAAACATGGTGACGTAATCAAGATTAACCCTTTATCTGCAGGTAAGAGCAGCAATGAACAAGGCCTTTACTCTGTCGTATAACGACGTCATCAGAAAGTCCGGACAGAACGAAGAAACACTTCTTCAGTGTGCTTACAGCGAGGTTCTCAGCTGCCAGAAACGTGCTGAGGTTTGCATTTCCCTCAAAATTTGTTAAGTTTGTTAAGTTTGTTAAGTTTGCTGCGAATAATTTTGATTTCACTTAGGCAAGGCGTTGCTCAGTTTCTCTTTTCAGTAGAAGATTCAATTTCTTTTTCTCCATTTCAACTCCACTCTTTTTAGGAGGACATCGCTGACTTGCTGGACTCCAGTAAACACAATCTCGTGTCCATCATCAAGCGACCCCAGGAGGGGTTGGGATTATCCCTGATCCCCTCCGGACCTGGATCTATCATCCCCACAATCATCGTATCCAGCATCAAACCCGCCTCCCCGTCTTACAAGACAGAACAACTCAATGTTGGTGATCAGGTGGATTTCATTCTTCTTCGTTGAGAGTTGATTTCAGAAAAATAATGTTTGGATTGTAAAAAATGATACACATTTTTATGAAGGAGCGAATTTTGAAACATGAGTTGCTATGAATTCGGCGGTAATTTGTACTGAATTAACACCAAATATTATCAGATATTGGAGATCAATAAGAGGTCACTCTGTGGACTTACCTACGAAGAAACCCTGTCCTTTATCAAATCTTTATTGTCGACTACAAAACTTGAGTTCAAAGTTAGTGATATTACAGATGCTGTTATTAATCATCGCCTAGCTATAATAGCCCAAGTGCATTCATGAAACCAGAACGTTGAAATTCAAAATGAATAAAAATACATAACAAGAATCACAAGACAAATTTGTTGCATGAGATATCGCGACTACTGCTATCTGTCTTGTCATTTGATCAGTTTTGTTTTCACGCGTTTATATAATTCCCTACTTCTCCTCAGGTAGTTCCCGGTAGTCCAGTTCTTGTAGTGGAGCTAATCAGACCAGACTTAAAGTACCCGCTGGGTTTCAGCGTTAAAGACGGCCATATCACAACTTTAATCAGAGGGAGTATCGGGGAGCGGGCCGGCATCAGAATTGGGCACCGGATAATTGCAATTAACGAAGAATCGACTGTAACCTCAGATCATGACACTATAGCGGGGATATTATTATCAGAAACTGGCAGACTTGTCCTTAAGACCATGCCCAGCCCCATATTTGATCTCATGTTGGGTTATGAGACGCCCTTGTATTTGTAGAGTTTTTAGTCGTTGCTTTTTTATTGGTTTATTTATTGGCGTATAATCCCCGTGTTAGACGTGGTTCCTGTGTTTTTGCGGGAAATATAATTGAAGGCTGAGTCGGACAGGTGAGAGTTAAAGCTGAAATCTCTAGATTTTTGCTAGTGTCTAAAGTTCTAAAGGTGTCTAAAGTTCTAATAAAGTTCTATAACGGCAAAATGTGTAGAAATGACCTCGCGGGTTTTTCTTATTCTCAACTTAAAAATGTCTTAGAGAGTTAAATACTTCAATTTTGTTTAATCTCTCTAAACCTCATGGTGCAATGTTGGCATATTTAGTATTTACTGACGTTTTAATGTTCATCATTTTATGAAAATACGGAGTGCCAACTATTGAATTTATTGACGGAGTGTAACTTTTATTAGTACCCAAAACTCATAAAAATAACCAATTTTGACAAAATGGTACTACGTTTTATCAATAACATGCTTTTAGCTATATCTCGGAGACAATTTATCACGTTTTCTTTAATTTAACCTGAGGGAACCCTAACTAGCAGTTTATTCATTTTTAGGGGTCGTTCACATATTACGTAAAACTGATAACGGAGGGGGGAGGGTGGTTAAAAATGGTCAAAAAAGTGATTACGTAATATGCGAACGACCCCTTACGAATACGAAGGTATATGTTTTATCTTCTTTCACATTTGGTCAAACTATATGAAGTAAATGGTTCTTAATCATCGCTTTCCAAAGGGTTTAACACTAACTTTTGATTGTGAATAATGCTAATCATATTTTAATTTTTATCTTTGCCCTCTCTTGATATTCGTTGCGTGTTATTCTTGTCCAAATCATGGAAATATTTTTGGTACGTGGTCACTGAAGGCATAAATAATTGAACTGGTTTCCGATTGAACTATACAACTAAAAATGGAGTTGACCGCACTCCAGGACCATCAGCCAGATCAGATCCGCGGCAGTGGGACCCCTAGTTCTGTTAGAACCCGTCACTCGACAGGATCTAGCAGAGCTATGAGGCTGGCACGAAGAGCATGTAGTTTCCTACCTTGCTCCCCCCACTGTGGCACAAGCACGACGTGTTGCTTGCCCGACTAAATAAAATGACTTTGACATTGTGGTGGTTGCTAAAGTCTTTAAAATGGTGTGCTGAAATCCGATTTTTTGTTGTAAAATCAGAGTCTTAGTATTAAAATCCGATGTGTGGCTGTGAAATCACATCTGTAGTAGTTCCGTCTTCCATCTTCCAATCTTTTCGTTTCCGTGAGGGGGTCTCCAATATTTCATGTCCGTGGTAGTGATCATGATGTGTATTTCACTCAGTGATGGGGATGACAACATCAGATGAGAGGGCTGGTCGTACCAGCAGCGGTGGGAGGGTGTTGACTCTGCTCATGTCTGCCTGGAGAGCAACATCATGTTTTCCTATTTCCAAAACGGTGTCCGTCTGCAGTCCTCGTTCCGATGTTCGGTGTGCTATCTTTTGAGTTTTAGCGAAAACTGTCTTTAGTTTCCGATTTATCAGCATTTCGAACTCTTTGAACGTTCGCTCATTTATGATGTCTAATTCTCGGACTTTGTTGATCGTAAATGTGAGCCTGCTACAAGCCAAACGGCTGTCCGCTCTCATGGCCCTCACATAATATATGAACAGGCCCAGAAGAGCACTCCCTAGCATCAGTATGAAGATCGCGATGATCAGGAGGGTCGAGTCTTCAATTTCTTTCATTTCTTCAAACTGTGGATTCTCTCAATCAAAGGATCAAGCAGATTAAAACGTAAGGTGAGGGTTACAAGCGAATCTGTGCAGACCATTTTGTTGCTAAGATATTTGTAGCAGCCCACGTGCAGTTTGTCAATTTTTGCTAAACGTCATCTTCGTCAACTGGACTGACAGTATTTTGATGAAGAATGAAACCAAAACAAATGACAAATCGACCGAACCCATGGTTTCATTTGCAATAGTTCGATCTCCTTTGCGATTGTATAATAATGATCTGTGACTGCAGATATTTGGTCAATTTATGACGATTTTGGACGCACGGCCGGATACATACCTCTGATTAGTCTAATTGTGAAGTTCCTATATTTGAACCTTCCAGAGGATGGTCAACTGTCAATCCTGTTACTTAATACCCATAAGCATTCTGTATTCCCAAACCCAAGGCCCAACATGACAGCTGTCCAGCTATAATATAGCTACTATACCCAAGAAAACCGTACGTGCGTACGTCGCGCAATGAAATTTCAAAAAGGAAACCTCACAGTAACTATCATGCGCGTTACTGGAAGTTTAAAAGATTGTTGTTTATCCTGTTTGACCAGTATTTCCGGTCGAATCTTCTAGAACGGAATGGTACAATCACTGTTCAAATCACGCCGGTGAGAAAATGAAATTAACTCGTGGAGTCTTTTAGCAGCATTTACGCAGAGGAGTACCAACAGTATTTCTGGACATTATCCGGTGGATTTACAAGTTTACTGTTCTGCTAAACATGGAAGAATCAGTATAAATCTTATCAGAATATGAAGAGTACGTGAAAAGATCACAATTTATAGTGCAAGGCAATCATATTTTGCATTTTATATTCTTAACTGAGTTACTACGCCAGTAATCATGGTGCAAAATTATTGGCGTTAGGCGTGGTCAGTTTTCAGCACGAAAGTTTTAAATGAAATAAGAACATACAAAGTAAACGAATCTATTTTTGAATGTGGTATAACGAGATTAATAATATATAAATCGTTCTGCAATAAATTAGCCTTAACACTTAAACCACTCAACTGAAGAAGCTTCAGCTTACTTTCTACGTATAAAAACACTGAATAACTAAAAATAATTTGATGGTTACCCACAACAACAGTTCGTCGACAATCATACAAAATGAATAATAAGTTTATCTAATCAATAACTACGACTATGAAGTTTAAGTCAATAAGATCAGTACTCCATAGTGATGACCTTCGTCTTCATGTACTCATCCAATGCATCTCGTCCCAGATCCTTGCCGAATCCTGACTGCTTGAACCCTCCGAAAGGTGCAGCTACATCCGTCTTATTGTAGGTGTTGATGAACACCGTTCCACAATTAAGTCCTTCGCTCACTCTCAGTGCTTTCTTGATGTCGTTGGTGAAGACTCCGGAAGCAAGCCCGAACTCAGTGGCATTAGCTCTACGCAGGACTCCCTCCATATCACCATCTTCAAATGGTGAGATTATCATGATCGGACCGAATGACTCCTCGTGGGCAGCAAAGTTATCATCAGTAACATCAGTAAGAACGGTAGGCTCCATAAACAGACCAGGTCTGTCCACCTGCTTTCCACCATATGCTAGAGTAGCACCCTCCTCAACAGAACGGTCCACGAAGTCCAGCAGGGACTGGAAATGTTTGCGGTGGTTCTGGGGCCCGTGCGCTGTGGACCGGTCCAGAGGGTCTCCTATCTTCATCTTCTTACACTCCTCAATAGCTCGAGCTACAAACTCGTCATGTATGCTCTTCTCCACAAACAGTCGACCTGCAGCAATACAGTTCTCTCCTTTGTTGAAGAAAACCGATCCCATACCGTTTCTCACGGCTGAGGACATGTCACAATCAGCGAAGATTATCAGAGGTGATTTACCGCCAAGTTCGAGTGAGCACTTCTTAAGGTTGCTCTTAGCACAGGACTCCATGACTGTTACTCCGATACCAGTAGATCCAGTGAACCCAACCTTCCTGATATCAGGATGGTCCAGGATGGCTTGTCCACACCTGGACCCAGATCCGGGCAACACAGACACGGTGCCAGGAGGGAAGCCAGCTTTAGCGGTCAACTCCGCCCACTTTAGAGCGGTTAGCGGGGTCACGTTAGCAGGCTTAATAACAACAGTGTTACCGGCAGCCAGTGCAGCTCCCATCTTCCAGGCTAACATCATCAGAGGGTAGTTCCAGGGTACGATCAGTCCAACAGGTCCAATGGGTTCCTTCTTGGTGATACACAGGTTCCTGTTGGGAGTAGCGTGGTTTATTGGAACTGTGTCCCCGAGGATCTTATCACACCACCCGGCGTAGTACCGGAAGGTAGCGATGGACATGCCGATGTGGGTTTTTAGCGCCAGGGTGTAGACAGCCCCACTGTCGATAGTCTCCAGAGTAGCCAGCTCCTCAGCGTGTGCCTCCATCAGGTCAGCTAGTTTGTAGAGTAGGGCTCCACGGTCTCTAGCGTTCATCTTTCCCCATTCTCCTTCGTAAAACTGATACTTTGCTCCTGAAATTTTGGGGATGTTACTAGTTATCTTTTACTGAAGTCGGTTGTAAACATGGTTAAATTTCCACAACACCAAATCATATTACAGTGCAGGTCATTAACGAACCTGAACTGTATTTGCAGGGGTTAGTAGTTTACAATTTCTATGGAATTTGAGAACAGTGCAGATTCCGGTGATACCAGACACCTATCTAAAAACCTCAAATCTATGCCACGTTGTTGCGGAGTATGTACGTGGTCACCATGATTATTAATAACTAAATAAACCAGGTTATTGTATTTATTCAAATTGCCCTGATGTTAACATTGCTCAGATCGTATGACAAAAATGAATCACCGTTACATTAATAACATACAAATTTCAAGGGAATTTATTATCGTATGCTATGAATATTAGTGGTGTATATATTAGCCGTGTAACAACAAGGAGCCTCAGCCTAAGGAGTTTTACATAGCTTGCTAGTCTATTGCTCGCTTCTCTCACGAATATACCAGAAGTGGAAAGGGCAACACGCCGAGGGAATGGCGCGCCAGATAAAAGGAGATAAGACTAAGTCAAAGTATTTAAAATTATAACATAATTTGTGCTATTTTAGGATCATTAATTCAATACAGCTAGTATCTCTACTAGCGATATTAATAGTAAAATATATGGAATCTAATTTCGGGCCGAGTATATGCCGGCATATAACTTGGATTTCCTTAAACTTTAAAGTTATACTTAAAAGTATCTCAGAGCCTTCACAATAAACTGATACGAGTAAAATGTAATTAGGGCTTTAAATAACATCACAAATATTAGCTATTACCTTCCACAGCGAGATCTACATCCTCTTTCAGTGCCTCGTGAACACTACAAATAACAGATTCATCAGTTGGGTTGATAGTTGTAAACGTTCTCCCCTCCAGTGCATCCACGAACTGTCCGTTAATGAAGAGTTTGTAAGGTATCTTGAGGTCCATGTTGTTGATCCTTAGCTCCACAGCAGGTACGTCTATCTCTGCAGCTCCACCTCCCCCACGTGACTTGAGCACCAGCATCTGCACGAAATCTGGAGAGGAGGGACGTTAGAGTGATAAAATTGACATTTGAAAAATTACTAATGAGCCATAGTTAGAGAATTAGTAATTACGACTCTATATTTGGATTGATTGAACTCGTGATGCAGATGTCAGATGTTTTTATTTCCTACTAAGACGGTTTCTTACCAGAGAACTTGGTGTTCATGTAGACATCATCGTTCTCAATAGCTAGTCCGTCACATTTCTCTTTAATCTCTTCAATAAGTCTCACTACGTCCATACTTCCAGCTCCTGAAATTTACATTTTTAACGAGTGATATCGTACAAGTTACAAATGCTACAAATTAATAAATTTAATAAATATCAAAAACTTGACTATTAAAAGCACTATTAAAAGATAATCCGATAGTTAACTAACACTAAAAAACAACAAACTCACCAGCTTTGAAGAAGTCGACCTCATCCTCAACCACAGTGTTAAGAATACTAGCCCACACATCAGCTATAGCCGCCTTCATGGCCTCTTCCTCAGGACTCAACTCTAAGACCACCACGTTATCCAGCTCGGCACTGCCGAACTTGCTGGCGTTCACTGTTCTACCATCCTCCAGCTGTACCTGACTCACTACTACCTTCCTGCCGTCACTACCAAACAACCATAGTCCGTACCTGTGGGTGAACATCGGTTGAAGGAATGTTTTTAATGCTGTACACAGTAAAATGGTAATAAAAAATAAAGAGCCTAATTTCTTGTTAGGAGAAGGGCAGAGGCCGGGATGACTTAAGAATAAGTTTTATCGGTTATCTTTTATTAGTATTATATTACTTAACTAGTGTAACCCGGCCTTCGGCCGGAATTTCACTGCCGCAGTTAAAAAGGGTAGGAGTCAATCATTTACCCATTGAGTCAAAATCTGCATTAGGTGAGCAATTCTATTCGGGGTGCCCTCAAGTATCCAATGGTATCTTAAACAATAGTATCTTAAACAATAATCAATAGACCTTAACACCACAACTGCTTATCATATTTGTAAACATGCATTACATTGTCGTATTAAATTATGAACTCTCTGTACAGTCCAAACAGATCGCTATGAGCTCTCCCTCCCATAATAATTTTATAGTACATGGTCAGCGGGAATGAAGAAAATGTGAGCCATTTTATGCAACATTTGTGGTACAAAACCATTAATTAAACCACTTACCACCGATCTATCCTCATGTATAACTCTAGTTGCTGGGGAATGCCTAAATCCTACTGAGACAAACTAGATGCATGTCACCGTAACCACTTCAGAAAGATCATGAATGTCAGCTGGCCAGTGGCCACGCAGTATGATGTCCAAAGATACCCTATACAAACAGAGTAACTCTACCCCTATGTCTGAGCGTGCTGAGTTATCTAGGTGGAAGATGCTAGGACACATACTGAGGAGCGATGAAAGATCACCAGCTCAAGCTGCGCTGTGCTTTGCTGTCGAGATGTGTAGTGAAGTTGGTAGACTCGGGGCTCACAGACGTAACCTCCTACACCACCTGAAGGTTGACCTCTGGAAGCGTTTCATCTTGCTGGAGTCGTATGATGATATTCTTCATTTGAGAGAACTTGCTAGTAACCGTGGTTATTGGAGTAAATTGTTCGACTTTATACTTGAGTACAAGTCAATTTGACTTTTGGGACATATAATCTTACAAAGGATCACGTTTAGGTTCTAAATTATTTTAGGATTGTTGACATTTGTAAGATTGACATGTTTGATAATAACCACCGACCGATTTAAAAACCCTTTACCATTTGGCTTCGTCAGAGTTGAAGAACTATCAGCTCGAATTCAAAAGGCCTCTTGGGCATTCTATCAGCTTAGCAGTATATGGTACAGTCGCAGCATTAAGACTCCAACTAAAATCAGGATTTACAAAGCGGCTGTGCTCACTATACTGCTTTATGGAAGTGAGGTATGGAATACCACACAGACGCAGATGAAAAGATTTGAGGTGTTCCATCATAGATGTCTGAGGAGAATCCTGAAAATCAAATGGTTTTATTATGTATCTAATGCTGATGTACTTAAGCGGGCTAACATCGCCCCTGTTGATACTTTCGTACGAGCAGCTAGACTCCGATGGTTTGGCCATGTGGTGAGGATGCCAGAAGAAAGAATACCCAACTATCTTCTGCACTGGATCCCAAAGCATGGTAAAAGGTCAAGAGGTAGACCTCGGAAAAACTGGTTGTCATGTGTCCGGGAGGATGCAGCAATCTTCACAGGTGTCGATAACATCACGATAAAAGATGCAGAACAACAAGCTACAGACAGGGTTCACTGGAGAGGTCTAATACACCGGAGAAAGGAGTTACTATGTGGTGCAGGCCACTCCAACGACTAGGAGGAGACCTTTTCAAGTAAGTAGAGTTTTCTCGGCACTATACCGAAAAAACCAACCCCGTAACTTTAACTCTTACCGGTTTTTTGATTAAGCCGCTCGGAAATTACACACGCACACACACACAGAAAACACACAGAATCATGCTTTACAAGCAGTCACAAACCTGTTAACAACAGCGTTCTTCTCACATCCTTTAACAGGGAACTCAGTACCCACGACAGGTTTGTTACAATCTATAAACTTGCAGCCGTACAGATTAATCTTCTGACCGTCCACTTCAGCCCAGGCTCCGGGAATCTTGTCGTTTCCTCGGATAAAGTTGTGGAGAGATAGCGCGTCCATGCCGAAGTCTACCTCGGCTAGAGACTTCTTTCTCCAGATGGGATCGTAGGTGGCACCCCACTCAGTCTGGGTGATCTTGGGTGCTTTTTTGTTTGCTATCAGACGCACAGCTTCCCCCATCGATTTTACTCCTGAATGAGTCAAAGTGTTTTAGAATGCAGATTGTAGATAGTGCTGAATGTTACTCAATAAGAGATTTAAGAGAGACCTAGCCAAGATATCATTCACAGTACTCGGATTAGGGGTAGTTTTGGTAACAAATTTAGGAATGTAGAAGTTCAGTAATTAAAACAAGTAACCTTCAGGATAGAGAAATCTGTTGTAGAAGGTATCAACAGTGTCATTTAGATCAATAGTAGTTTCCTTTTGTAGGAGTATGGGTCCGGTATCTAATCCTTCATCCGCGTAGAAAATAGTGAAACCTCCTGTCCTATCACCGCTCATCAGCGACCTGAAGCACAGTACAAGTTTACAATTATATGCTATTCATTTATGTGAATAATGTTATATTTATGTGCATAATATGTATTCTGGATGTATTAGCAACTCATTAAATATTTGCATGTACACCAGCGTCAGGAGCTCAACACATTTGTCAAGCATGGACATAGTGCACAATGTGTCCAGAGACAAAACAACTTTAGCTGGAACACTGCCAACAATTCATGGCTCAAGAATGGTCAACTTGCATACTATATTGTACATATTGTAGCCTCTGTGTGGGACTAAAAAAGTAACTGTTAAGTGTCAAGTGTAGAGTGTAGAGTGACCTTCGTGAAATAGATCCATAAGTTTCTATCCCACTCTCACTAGTCACCTTAAGGGTCCGGGACTCTAGGGCGTAAGACTCTAGGGCGTGAGACTTTAGGGCGGCGCCCTAACCCTAACCATCACCCTAACCCTAACCCTAACCCTTATCCTAACCCTAACCCTAACCCAAACCCAAACCCTAACCCTAACCCTAACCCTAAGACCCTAGAGTCTTACGCCCTAGAGTCTTACGCCCTAGAGTCCGGACCCCAGGTATTATTATCTGTAAGGTAGATGTAAGGTAGATGTGGTAGATGTAAGGTAGATGTTATAAATATGTATTTAAGGTTTGTGTCGGTTATTCTCACCAGTTGATGGCTGAAGCACCTCTATGAGCTGGTAAGATAGAAGGATGATACACAATAGAACCGTGCTGAGGCTTGTCTATCACCTGAGGAGTGAGATGATTACATAATTACATAATTACGTAATCACTTTCTAATTAGATAATAGGAAGTACTAGTTTTACTTTGTTCTGGAGTGTTCAGACTTCAGACGTTAAGCATTTGAATAGGAAGTTAAAGTTGCAAATTAAACTTGGAGACGAACAAAATATGCTGAGATTCTTACACTGTGCAAACTATGTGATGTTAAATTTGACATATTATGTAATCGTATACATATCTGGATTATGGTTAAATATTCATCAGACCATTTGTTTAAAACCTACACTCACATCTGCACCGCAACGGGTTACTTCGTAGAATTGAATTATCACTTACCTCCATGGGTATAAACTGCGAACAGAAGGGCATGACATTCAGCTCGGCTCCCAGAGAGTTGTATTTCTCAAACACTTCAGGTAATACCTGAATAGTGGGGAGTGTCAAGTTAATTATTACACTCAGTGAGTGTTAAGTAAATTATTACACTCAGGGAATGTTAAGTAAATTATTACACTCAGGGAGTGTTAAGTAAATTATTACACTCAGTGTCAGGTTAGGTATCGTTAGTCTAGTCAGTGTTCACTGTAAGATGTGACTATAATACTAATCATGCAACATTCGTTCTAGTTAAGTGGGATAAGGTTTAAACAAGTTTACAAGTTTTGCAAGTTTCAGTTTAGTAAACAAGTTTTGTAAAAATAGATCTATACTACAAAATGGATCTATATTACAATCTATATTATATAATATTAATATAATTAAACATAATATGTTATGAATTACTAAGAGGAAACGACATTCTTTTCGCAGGCAGGAGAATCGTGAATAGTATAAATATACAGAAAAAACTGGTTTATGTAGTAAGATGCCGGCGTCACGCACGCCGGCGGCGTGCAGTTAGAAGATCTCCGCACTGCAATGTGCGATCGAGAAGTTTGGAGGAAGATAGTGAACGGGATTTCGATTTCAATTCAAATCCGACAAAAGGTTATAATGATCCTGCTATAATCCCGCCATATTTGGGTTTAGTGCTATTTGAAACGAACTGAATTTCAAGAAAGAAAAAAAACATCCATAACTTTAATACAAAAAAAGATTAGGACTCAAAACCGCTGAACTTAAATATTGGACAGCCTACAGAAGAATTAGAAAGCATTGATACGAATTACGACATCAACATGATCACAAACTTTTCCAGAACTGTGACTCAGTTGTGTAAGTCAATCTCATTCTTCAGGCAAAATTCTGATCATTATTTTGTATTCTCCAGTCTGATGGTCAACTGCTGTAACGTTGTTTGGCAGTGAATCCTGACAGTTTTTAAAAGTTGCTTAGTTGAGTTTTATTAGTTTTATATGTGCAAATTTTAGTTTGTATAATGTCGGTCGATTTTGAATAAGAATTTTGTATCAATTATATAACATGAATTAAAATGTATTTGAAAAGTTCGAATAACAACTGCAATATTTGTCTAATAGACAGGGTAGGGTGATTAAATCATCACTTCACAGCTCATACAATAGCAGATCATGTCTAGTTCCATATCCAGTGTTGCTAGACAAAGTGGCAATGAATTCTTTCGAAGCGCCGCAGCTGGTGTTGCTCCTGTTCTCCGCATTGAAAGATACCAGAAGGCTCTTAATTGCTATCACAAAGCTCTGGATGGTGCAGTAAACGAGGAGGAGCGAAGTTCAGCATATAAAAACTTAGCTGTGACCACACACTCCATTGCAATCTTCTTTTCAAATAAACATGACATGTTTCAGAGTCTGTTTTATTTCAAAGATTGTTTAAACAACGGTAATCTAGCTATTTCTACTGGAAGAGGTATTATGCCAGAAGATTGGATTGAGGATATTTTGGAGAAACTAAACGATGCTTCCTCCGATACCTTTAACTTTATCATGACGTTTCCAAATCGACATCAAAGAATTAAGGTATTGGAACGGTTTTCCTCGGTAACAATTTCTAGAAATCAACGGGTGAAATTGCTAAAACAGCTATCTAAGGATTATATTCAGATGGCTGATGATGCTCTTGAAGCAGATAATTACGAAGAAAGCTTTCGAGCCTTAAAAGGAGTGTGCACTCCTTTTAGAAAATTAGAAGAATTCGCTTCAGGCAGTATACGTGATGATGTTTTGCAGGACTTCATCAACAGAATGATGAGAAAGGGATTTTGGATAATATCCGAGTGTCAAAAGAAGCGGGAAGTGAGGGAGCAGAGAGAATTACAAGTTACTAGACAGGATCATCTGGATGAATTAAAGCCAAAATTAACTGGCCTTAGTCGAAAAATGGATATTTCCATCCAGAAAATGTTGGTTTGGCTCTACACTGAGTACCCTCCATATCACAGTGCCAAAAAGTTTGATGTAGACATAGAATTGATCACCAAAGCCTCAGGTGATTCTCTGAAGAAACTTCTAACAAAAGCAATTGTTGATTATCATCCAGACAAGATCGATACCCGAGCTCACGGAATGGAATATAAAGTGTGGTGCGAGGAAATAGTTAAGGATCTCACCAGAAAGTATGATAGGATGAAGAGAACTTAACTTATAGTTTCTATAAGTTTAGACTGTGTTCATATGGTTTCATAGAATCTGTCTAATCAATAGATTGTAGGGTAAACATTTGTGTGGGCGTTGCTTCGATTTGCCAGTCTGCTTACTACTGTAATACAGCTTCAATTTATATGTCATTTATTAAAACTATACTTCCATATTTTGCTTTATCTACTCGAATGATAACAATTTCGAATTAAAAACTGGTAATTCAGAAGTAATTTATGTCTATACCTGGAATTTTCCATCGACCTTTTTCCTCCATCTAGGAAACTTGAACACTGGGACATTATCTGCCTCAGCAGCTGCAGCTAGAGGGTCTGATTTACCGTTGGCATCAGGGATTGTGAAAACTCCGACCACATCGTGTCCCTGCGTTCTGAGCAGATTGTACACATCCACCCCGAATACAGACTGGCCTGATTAGGAGGAAGATCAGTTGATTATGAAGCAAAAAGTTAATCTCCCGTAACTTGACTAACGTGTTTAAAGTTCACAAATAACACATACAATAAAGAAAACGACAAGTATAGCTTTAAAATGTACGGACCGATGATAGCTATCTTCATTTGTCTTTCAACAAGCGGGTACACACAAACGGGCGAGGGAACAGAAGAAAGTAAACGGCTTCCGCTAGCGGAGATAAGGCGACGAAATGCAAACATTGATGGGCGAGAAACTACAAGCTATACAGTCCTGTGATAGTAAGATTGTATATGTGGTAGTTAGATAGTCACTTTTCCTAAAACATGCTTGATAAGCTTGCTTTAACCTGTTAAATATATCGATCGAAGAGCAAATGAGGCCTGGAACATTTTGCGGAGGAATTGCGATACGGAGTACTGGTTGAAATATTGCGCGGCTCTTTCCCCAGAAAGATTTCAAAATTACAGAACTTTTTATGATTGAATATTGTCAAAAGTATAATATAAGATTTTAGATTATTTAAAACTTTAACATGAACTATTTAATTTATTTTTATATCAAAACTTATTGTGATTTTATTAAAATTTATGCTTATGATTTTATCAAAACTTATGATTAATTTAATTTTTTGCGCCAATTTACGCCGCGCGCAAAGCTGATCGTCTACTCCATAATATGAAATATTATAAAATCGAGCGCTAAATGAACTGTTATCCAGAATTGTTATCATATAACTGTATGCCTGCATACATTTGTAATTATGATGCTATCTACACTGACTTGTTCTAGTGTGATTATACCGGAATAAGTAAGACTTACAAAATTGACCCTCTTCTTGAAAGTTCCTCTTATGTCTCTCTAGGTAAATTCTGACGACCTTCCGTAAAATATGCGTGAAAAAATGATTCCTAATATATAATAAATTATGAAATTTTGTGGTGCATTTGTAACGGTGAGATGCTTTTGAAATCAAATGCATGTTGGATTCTTGATTGTTCTTTTTTTTCACTTTATGATATTGTGGTTTGTTTTGTTTTATTCGTTCCAATTGCAATGAGTGGGTTGATCAGATATGTGGACAACTGCTTCAGTATAATTGAGGGTGACGAAAACACGGTATTGTTGCTGTTCAGATACACCAACTCCTTCAACAGCGACACACAATTAAAAAAATGAACACCCAAAAGAATGCATTGTATTCCTAGACCTCTACATCTGAATGAATAGTGAATATGATGGACAAGATTCGAGGTTTCTCCCTATCTATTTAACCTACCAGTCATGACATATTCCTAAATTATATATATTCTCCCTCGTAAAACAATTCTAAAGTCTATAAAAAGGGCTATCAACAACAAGCCCACACCTGCACTGCAAGACATTAGCATTACACGAATAGCAGCTACAATACTAAAAATTGTTTCCCTTATACTGAACTTTTAAATAAACTTACTCCACATGACAAGCAGGATGTACCTCAAACAAATTTAAAATCGCATACTTATCATTGCCCTACATCAACAAACATACGTGTAGAAAAGTCTACTATACCCCAATCAAACACAATTTTAGTAGAGGCTCTTACGGGCAAATATCGCGCTTCTTTGCTCGAGCCCTGGGACTTCTTTTAGGGTTCTTATATGATAGAATGGAGTGTACTGAACACTCTGACGGTATCGGGAACATTCTAGAGCCTTCAGAAGCTGTGTTGTGAGCACTTTACTGCCAAAACTTCGGACATCTACAGACACCGGAATATCGACTAAAATTTTTTTCTGAGTTGTTCCCCAAATTTCTCTTAGGTTGCTTAAGCCCTAGAAAGTGTCAGATCGTCTAAATATTGCTCCATTCCGGTGTTAGAGACCTCGAAAATTTCGACCTCGTAGAACGTGTTGCGCGTCGTATGTAGTGTTTACAATGGAAAAAGTTTACTTAAATCTGATTCGGTTGCGGCGCGTGACGTATCTAGCACGATATTTGCTCGAAAGCGCGTCACTGCGCCAGAAACCTCGTGGTACCGTAACACTGTAGAAATAGATCATCACAAGAGACACAATAAACGTATCATCACTATGCAAAGTTAATGTTAAAATGATACAATAGCCCTGCTTTAACAGATTAATCCACATAAACACTATATTTCTACAGTCCGATCAGTAAATCGAACATGTTTTTGAAGATAAATCTTCTGATAGAATTCGTTTCTACATTGAAAGATTTCTTTTCTAATCTCCTTTAAGAGTGCTGTCTTTGTTAAAGTGTTATCATCTCTATCCGCATCTATTGTTGCGGCAAGATTAGATACGATTCTGCTGTCGAAACAAACTCGTCTTACCGACATTGTCTTTCTGAAAACTGATGTGATCAGATTAAACATTGCTGGAGTTTGCAGCGTTCTCAGATAAATTAGACGTCACATAGTCATTGTACTTAAGCTTCAGGTCAGACACGAGGTACAGTTCTGGTAAAACATTCTCCTGCTCCAGTTAAAAGGTCCGTATCAATACCTGCACTCATTAATGCAGCATTGGTGTTGTCGTGCGTGGACACGTTTCTTTCCATTTTAAAACCTGCCTTAGAGACAGGTTTTAAACTTACAGCTTCAGATAATTTACCCTTCAATTGTTTCACCCTCGAGTTGCTGTACCTCGAACGACATGTTTTGTGATATCTACCTAGCTTGCTATAGAGATATTTTCCGAGACTCTCAGGGTTAAGAACAGGGCACTTGTTCATGTGCGAATCAGGATTAACATCGATGTTGCACAGATCCTGACGATTTCTGTAGATGTCCACAGATAGTATGTTGCGAAATCGACGAAGAAACTATTATCTTTTCCTTGAATCAGACTATCCTTTTTCGTTTCTAACGTCTAGGGGAATTCGTATTGTTAAAGAAGAATAACCTCTCATACTCTTAAAATTAAATCGAGATAATATGTATAATAATTATATTTGCGAGCAAAAGTTTCACACAAACCTGTTCAACCTGGCATATGAAACACAAGTCTCAGTCAATTTCAAACAAATCAACATCTGGTCCACTTGATTTGGAACTAAATGAAGAAAGTCTCCACATTTTCTTAGTTCTATTCGAGGAGGGTGACAGAGGCGGGACTTTTTCCACTTGGATGGCAATAGCTTCTTCAATCTTCATCACAAGAGGATTCGTCAATTTCAGAAACAGCACTGTACACCTGCAAATATATTATTACTTCCCACATTTATATCAACAGTATCATATCACATAAGTTTGAGATCGTACAAGTGTTATATCATTTTAAAAGTTTGCAAATCCGATAGAAATGGATTAAAAATTACTACTGATCGCTGTCTATTTACCTTTGAATAATAATGTTTTTCAGGATGTGGCCGGGACATGATTTCAGGCCTGACCGGGACCGGGATACAAAATGTGACTTGACCGGGACCGGGACCGGGACCGGGACCGGGATAGCTCAAAATTGCCAATCCCGGTACCGGGATTCCCGGTACCGGGAATTCCGGTCGATTACTGGTTAATTCATGATCATAATTTATTACTCAAACTTGTTAAGCAATTTTAAACATTGTTGTATTTGGCTCAGAGGATGTTTAAAGATGAAATTCACAATGAATGAAAGGAAAAACTTAGAATCACAGTGAATGAAATTATGTAAAAGATCCCGGTCAAAATCCCGGCAAATTTGAGTGATTGCCCGGGACCAGGACCGGGACCAGGACCAAGAATCCCGAATCAACCGGGACCGGGACTGGGACCGGGATCATAAATAAATAAATCAGCATTTGACCGGGACCGGGATAGCTCAAAATTGCCAATCCCGGTACCGGGAATCCCGGTCACCTCCTGATGTTTTTAAATGTTAGTAAAACAGGAGGAAACCACTCAACCTGTTATAGTTGTCTTTTACATAGTTAAGACGCTGAATACACAAAAAAAGAGGTTTGCTTTGGTGAGCACAACCCAGGATTGATCTTCTGCAGCAGGGCGAGGAATTCTCTAGACTGTTTTGTAATTCGTTCACTTTCAGAGCGGAAGAAAACTGTGTCATCAAAATCCTTTATTTCTATTCGAGTACAGATACAGCACTCTGAAAATTGATGAATGGTCACATTTTTGTATACCCTACGGCAAAGTCTTATGTATGTGGTAAAAGAATGATATTCTTTAAATATATAATAACATCTATAAACAAAAGAGCACCTAAAGAGGCTCAGCAAAGTGCTGGCCTATTTACGCTTACGAAGACTCATTCGTTCAATATGTCTCAAAGTAAATAAACTCCTCCATCCTACTCTATCTCTTGCTAAGTTCACTAAGTTGGTAAAATAATCTTCATTTTTCAAATAAATTCGTCTCTTGAATAGGTCCTTTTTCACAATAATATCATACAAATTAGTCCTGTGTCTACACACTCGTCCCTTTAGTGTTTGACATCCTAGTGAAGCAAATAACAGAGACTGGTAGGCAGGCGTGTCGTTGTCACTGCGTAGAACATGACCTAGCATTGTCCACCGTGCCTTTTCCACTCTCTCGGAAAGGGGCCTGGTCTGGGTACGAGCGTAGAGGGCCTTGTTAGATGTTGAGCTAGGCCAATAGATGTGTAGGATGCGCTTGAGGTGCTTCTCTGAACAACATCTACAGACTCTAGAACATGCTGAGGTACGGCCCAGCAGCAGCAGTTGTACAGGAGCAGTGAGCACTGATACTACTAGTGAGTCGTAGAGTTTGATCTTTCTCTTCTCAGTTATCTGACTCCTCTCTGATCCCTGGCACCACAGCTTGTCAAATGACCAGAAGGCGCTGTTAGCTTTATTCATTCTATTAGTAACATCCTGCTCTGATCCAAGCTTAGTACCAAGAAGCGTCTCGTTTCTCCACTCCTCTTTTCCTCTTAGTTCATTATCCCACTCGTCACATGCACCAACTTCTTCTAAATACACTCTGGTAAACTTTGTCTTTGTGTCATTGACAAAGAGACTCCATTCACTGAGAATATTCTTGGAGATCTGAAAGATATCCTGTAACTCCTCCATATCTTCACCAATCTCCTCTACATCGTCTGAATAGCCGGACTCAAGAGGCATGTGGTTATCGGCTATCGGAGGGTTGGGGGTTGAGGGGAGGACTGCTCTTATGTGCACTACAGCTCCAGCTAGATTGAGGGTAAACAATTTACCAGCTGTGCTGTCTCCTTGGGAGGCTCCTATGTTGAAAGAGAACATCTCTGAGTCAGTAGAACACACTCTGACTACTAGAGTGGTGTTAGCCATGAGGTATTGTACAAGCCTCAGGTCGTCTCTGGAGCATCCTGCAGCTTCTAGTAGTCTGATTGTTGTACCTCTGCGGATGGTATTGAAGGCAGCTGACATGTCAATACTCACTTTGTCCCATTCAAACTCCTTCTTCATTACTACAGATATAAGCATGCTCTGTGCCCAAACTAGGTCGGCACAGCTCCTGCCAGCTTTGAAGGCAGCTTGGAACGGTCCGGTGAAGTTTTTTATTAAAGCCTAAACTTAACTTCTACCAATTCAAAATTGTTTACGTCGGTCTCCCCTCCTTGAGCCACTTTTCACATAGCTATTGAGTATAAATCACTCTAGCACAAGCGATTTCAAACCCCCTCCCCTAGGCTGGATTAGGTTATTATATGTGAACTGTGCTCTAGTGCATGACTGACGTTACATAATGCAGAGCATGCAAAGTTTTGATGTTTCATAAACTTATGAATAAAGTTTTAAAATCGTGACATAAAAAGCAGTGGTCGCCCGGTGCCCCCTGGCCAAAATCACAACCCCCAGCCAAAAATTGGCAATTCTCCGGGGGTAAACCCTGGCCCCTGCCAATTCTCAGTGGTCAGCCCCGGCCCCGGCTATATTGGGGCTCCCCGGCCCCGGTCAGAATCCTGCCCCCGGTCGACCACTGATAAAAAGTTAACTCACTGGATTTGTCCAAAAGCGAGAGAAAGTACTGAGAAAGCACTTATACGTCACCACCAGAGGGCCTAGAGAGGTTATCTTTGTCTGTTTAATTGAATATTGAGTATATAATATGAGATTTAAGATGAGCATGATAGATATAACGTCCAAATTCTAAAGTTCCACCAAAATTGAGTCACATTAAACTTGGTTACGGTAACACAACAATTTTAGTTCTTCATCATGGTAGGTGATTTGACATAATGAAGTGTAGACTAAATTATTATTTATAACAATTACCTGTCGGAGGGATTTAAGTGTTCCTCTGAACAGTCCTTTTCTGGAAGGTTGAGAGCTTTCCATACATCCAAAGAGCCAAATTGGATTTGTCCTTCTTTCGGGCATATGCAATCTTTGATATGATGCCTTGTACATTTTGAAATCCTGCAGTTATCATTATTCAATACTTATAGAGCCTTAGATAAGGGGTTAGGGGTCGTTCACATAATATTGTGTAATTGCAATATAGTAAGGTTACTGTACATTTCCAACCCTTTGTCATGTATATCACAACAGATGATGTTAAAAGCATAATAATATTATGATACAGTTTTACAGTTTTTTTTACGTGTTGATAATCTAGCTCATATCTCTATTTTATCGCTACATTACAACTGCCATTTTGCTGGTACTGTGTTTTTACTTTATACAAGTACAAGTAATCGATGGAAGAAATGGATACTCTTCAAAGATTGTCAGTTTATTCTACCTAGCTACATTACTGAAGAGTATATAAGGTCTATAACGGTTGGATCACTGAACTCGCGGAAGCTACGAACTGTGACAATAAATCTGAGTTTTCAGTTGAAACGTTCAAAAAGCCAGTGAAGTCAGTTTCAGTAAAACATTTATAATTTGTATTCTGCGTATCAGACTACCGATAATCATGTAAGTACGTTTCTGGATAACAAGAAAGATATGGAGGAGTTGAAGAGCGATCTTATCCGATCGCAAAGTACTGTTATCAAGCTGCAGGCTGAACTTCTGGAAACTAAATCGAAGCAGTTGGAATCCATGCACTCCACCGTCAAGACCGCCGTTCAAGACACTGTCCAAGCTGAGATGAAGTCATACAGTCAAGCTGTGACTAAAAATGCACCTGTGCTTGCAGAAGAGAATTTAAAAAAGGTTGTACAGAATGGTGTATCGGAAGAGGATCGCAGTAGGAATGTGCTCATCTTTGGTTTGAAGGAGACTGATGAAGAGGAACTGTGCAATAAAGTTACCGTGATTTTTCAGCAGATTGAAGAAAAACCACGTTTTGAAGCTATCTGGGTTGGGAGAAAATCAGCCAACAAGACTAGACCAGTCAAAGTTTCGCTAGATAATTCTAACTTACCGTTCATCAGATATTAGTAAATGCCAAAAAGCTGAGACTGTGTGAAGATCATAAGACTGTTTTCATCTCTCCAGATCGATCACCTGAAGATCGAGTTATCCATCAGCGGTTGGTCTTGGAAATGAAACAGATAGCCAAAGCAGGCATGGCTCCACCGTGTAGGTTCGGGTGGGTGCGCACCCACCCAAAGGGTGTTGCACCCACCCAAACGATTTGAAAATGTTCACACAAAAATTGTCAAATTTTGTATTTAAAACTAAGGGTCAATTGACTTCTGTAATCAATTGAGACTGTTTTGGAGATATTAAAATATGTTTAGGAGAGTAAAATTCCAAAATTTTCCAGGGGGCTTCACCCCCCCCCCCCCCCCACCGTGCGCCAAGCTGCACCCACCCAAAGATTTTGAGCTGGAGCCATGCCTGAGCCAAAGAAAACACAAAAAAACATTATTATATCAGAAGTGGTAATATTTGTAGTGAGGACAAGATGTTAGAGAGTGATACATAATAATGAGTGATATACGTCCATAAGTTTTTAATTTTGATTGTTGATATAAGCGTGATAAAAATAATTTATTTCATTTGTATTGGACGGGACATACACAAAGATGCTACGTATGGTGCTGGGTATCTCATGGAAGGACAAGGTCAGCAATATAACTTTGTATGGTAGTCTACCAAGGCTGTCAAACAAGTTACGAAGCAGGAGACTAAAAATGGCGGGACACTGCATCAGACATCCTGAGCTACTTGCCAGTGATTTAGTCTTATGGAAACCTATGCATTGTAGAGCACAGCAAGGCCGACCAAGACAAAGCTACTTGTCTATGTTACTGAAGGAAATTGGGACAAACTCAAAAGAGGAACTGTGAACTCTGATGCGGGACAGGGATATATGGAGGGGGTTATCTGGCGTAGATCGGACTTAGTTCCGACAAAGTAGTAGTATTTCATTTCATTTCATTAATAACCTGCATAGTTGAAAAGTTGATTGATGTAGTTTCGATAAACAGGCGTCGTTCAACTCCACTCATTTCGTTTCAAGCTGGAATGTAGTATTGTTTAGTGTAGGTTTGTTCATGTACCTCTCATCATCAAAAGGTTTCAACTTATACAGCATCGATAACATCATCTAACAAAGCTTTTTGAACAGCTTAAGATTCAGTTAAAATTACATTATTCAGATACATTTTGTGAAATGAAACATTGTCAGCCTGTATTTAATTAATTATAATAATTATGGTAATTTAGCTAAAAATCAAACCATTTGAGTTTTCATTGTTATCAAAATAATGTCGATCTAAATTCGTCTTAATCTGCATGGATGTGAGCGGATCGAAGTCTTTTAACCACACAAGCTTCTTTCATCAAGAAGATTCTTGAAGTGATTCGCATGTACACAGAGTCTTAGCTGTCTTAGCTAGTTCTGGGTCCATAAACATGTCACCTTCTTTCTAATGGTGATTGTCAAGTTTGTTTAGCATCATAATTCAGAATTGCAGAAATTATTTGAATCTACTAGAGATGAAATGGCTTAAATAACAAGCAATAGATGTAACTAAACAATACATATAGTACAGGGTGGCCCAAAAGTGACTACCCACACGCAACCTCTTAATAACTCACGTAATTCGTCTCCAAATTGCACCAAAATTTCAGAGATTATAGATATGGGTCAAACTTAGATTTCCTGAAAGTTTCGTAAGCCACACCCAATTACAGTGGGCGTGGCGTGACACTCCCTCTTTTTCACTATTGTCTTCATAAAATGAGAACGCTTTAAGCTAAGAACTCAAAATTTTTTGCACACATTTGGCTTGATAATTGAAAACCTTTCCCAAAGTTTCAAGTTCATTGGTTAAATTATGGCTGAGTTATGACCATTTCAAAACTCATCAGATACGTGATCCGAGCACTCAGTCAGTGATCTCGTTACTTGGTTAATGGCCTGTTTGGCTCACATGCACCGCTTGATTGGTTGCAGCCTGCTTATGGGCCGGCCTATACAGCTGACAGCACCTAAAACGCTATCACGAATTACTGGTGGTGTCACCATTTCAGGGCTTGTTAGCCCTGTTAGTCACAGGTTCCTTACAATCAATAAAAAGGAATGAACCATCCATTGAATCATCGAAAATGGTTCACTATCCTCCCTTTACTGCAGAACAACGATTGTTCGTCTACCTGAAGAAAGAAAATGGGGAGTTCTACCCTCAGATTAAACGACAAGTCATTATCGGTATCCAATCAAAGCCTAATGAACCTCATTAATAAACGCTAACGCCTTACTCTTGATCAGATTGGGTGACGAGATCACTAATTGAGTGCAAAGATCACTGACTGAGTGCTCGGATCACGTATCCGATGAGTTTTGAAATGGTCATAACTCAGCCATAATTTAACCAATGAACTTGGAACTTTGGGAAAGGTTTTCAATTATCAAGCCAAATGTGTGCAAAAAATTTTGAGTTCTTAGCTTAAAGCGTTCTCATTTTATGAAGACAATAGTGAAAAAGAGGGAGTGTCACGCCACGCCCACTGTAATTGGGCGTGGCTTACAAAACTTTCAGGAAATCTAAGTTTGACCCATATCTATAATCTCTGAAATTTTGGTGCAATTTGGAGACGAATTACGTGAGTTATTAAGAGGTTGCGTGTGGGTAGTCACTTTTGGGCCACCCTGTAGTTTGACTACTTCTTTGAAACAATCAAAGAATGGGGGAGCTAAGGGAATGATTGCTCAAAACGAATGATATCTTCATGAATTCAATGCAGCATCTATACATTTATTCGAAATTAGTGATGGATGAGGGGGTTTAAGTCAGGCATTCCTGACATTTACTCTACTACTATTTTTAAATTAAAAATCATGTTAAGAAGATAGCAGCAACTAATCTATATTATTTACAGTGCTCTATTTTATGTGTACTGAAGAGTGCCTTTACAATATTCCACTTTGTGGTGTAGATTTCCTCCATATCCAACAGGCATCACTGAATGAGTGATGGATGAGGGGGTTTAACCCATTAGGGACGATAGGGTCGTTTTTGGGACCCACCTTTTCTAGACGAAAAACCAAATTACTAAACGCTATAACGAATCTATAGCATATATGCTCAAAATTTATTGGGCTTCATTATATGTAGCCCAATAAATTTTGAGCATATATGCTATAGATTCGTTATAGCGTTTAGTAATTTGGTTTTTCGTCTAGAAAAGATGGGTCCTAAAAACGACCCTATCGTCCCTAATGGGTTAAGTCAGGTGTTCCTGACATGTATTCAAAATTGCATTTAGAAGATAGCAGTAACTAATCTATATTATTTACAGTGCTCTATTTATGTACTGAAGGGTACCTTTACAATACTTCAGTTTGTGGTAGGGTTCCTCCACATCCAACAGGTAACACGGAAGGAGTGATGGTTGAGGGGGTTTAAGTCAGGCATTCCTGTCAAAAGATCTATAATTAATCTTGTAAGGGTACCATACAGTAGACATTTTATTGTTGATTGTGAACCAAAAGTTAATTCATACCCACAATCGATAAATTATAAATCCAAATAGCCATATAAGCAATGCAATACTAAATTGGTGAAATTGTATTAACAAAAGGTAATCAGACAAGTATAGTAAAGGTATCTCAACAATATAACATTGAAGTATTAGAAATGGCACTATACTATTATAAAACACTTTACTGTGCTGTTTTAAACAATATTATATGAAATTAAGCCAGAGAAGGCATGAACTTCAGAAAAGGACAAAACACTACCGGTACAAAAACTTAAATGAGTTTCAGGGAAGGGTTACTAAAATTTTACGGTAGCGCTCGATTTTATTCAAAAAATTTCAAAGTGCTCAGCACCACGAAAAATATAATTTTTTCTTCCGCTTTCAAAACTTGTTTTTACGCTAACAAGCTATCAAATAGTATTATTGAACAGTATTAAAACACTTTTTGGGCAAAAATATTTCATTGTGGGTGTGTAAAGAGCCGAAAAAATTTAGCGCGCAAAAAAACATTTTTTTGGGAGGTTTTTTAAAATTTTGACCAGGTAAACTCTTGTGTATGCCTATTATATTGGTATTAACTAGTGCGGCAAATAAAAATGTACAAGAACCCAAAATATCTAAGCTTTTCGATTGAATTAACTTGTCGAAATTTCTAAAAAACCTCAAAAAAATGGCGATTTTTGGGGCCAAAAATCGGTTTTTTCAAAATAAAACCAGGTAACCCCCATTTTAAACACTTTTAACCACTTTTAATCGATTCTACGGTCAAAAATACGTCTTTTAAGATGGGTCTGGTGATTTTAGTGTATCTAGCAGACAAAGCCCGTAAGAGCCTCTACTATTTCATGGACTCCGCTAGAGTTCCATTCACGCCAAGACACACATGGAATCACTGATAAGATCCAGTATACAGCAGACAAAGGTCGATAAGGAAAGTGACAGCAAATGCTACCAATGCAACAGATCCTGCATAACCATGAATATTTGCTACCCTCTCTGGTTTGCCAGGGGACCTACATCAGAGAAACTGACAGGACCAAAAGAAATTAAGCCTAGGAACACCCCAAGCTGTGAGAGATGGCAAAAAATTAACAACAATGGGAAAATGTTACCTAGAGGAACATGCAGACATCCCACACCCTAACATACCTTTCCAGTTTACTGAATGCAGAAGATGTAAAGACTAGATTCTGACTGAAACTTCGAATTTAATTGTAGTAGATAACAAAAAATCCAACATGAGTTTGTCTAAATCGTTTAGACCTTGAAATATGATGAGGTCGGAGTCCAGAATTGAACATTCCTGTTTTCGACAGTTTGCAGTCATTACTTATCAAACGTGAAAATCCAGCACACAGTTATCTGAGTTCATATGTGAGGGAGATTAGATTAAACACACTTGGAAAGTGATGTTTAAAGGAACTTTTATTTGTTAAGTCGATCCTGTTAGAGCCTAGAGGTGTGAAGGATTTGCATGCTACTGCTTTGCATATAATATGTAATATATGTTCTGATATTTTAAGATACTGCCTTTGAATCTTGTGTTGTATTTTAAGATGTTACAAACCTTCTGTAATTGTTAACTTAGTAAACGTTCCCACGTTGTTATTATGTGGAATGTGGATTCTTTCAACGTAATTCTTTAGCCAGGGCTATGTTTTGTTTTTTTTATAAATCAGATGTTATTTTCACGTTACATTTTTATCTTAAAGATGAACATTTTGTAGGCACTTTTCACGTTATTGCTAGTTATATTGTGTAGATTTAATTTAACCATTGCTTGTTTGTTAAAGTTGTTACAGTTATGTAAAGAGTTACTTCAATGTTCGCCTATGACAGTATGACACAACGGCATGTAGCATTGTAGCTGAACCGTCGACAATACATGATATATTTTATGTGATAGTGAGTGGTGACGCCCACTCTATTTTACCGACAATCTTGATATACTTAAATTCGTGTAATTCTAGCATTGCAATGATTAACTGAAGATATGTATAATGGGGATGAATAGCCAAAGAAAACTTATCAAACATAGTGTAGAATGAAATTTGGCACAGAGCTTCAAGCTCATCTTACACCAGAATGGCGTCAACAATACATCGAATACGAGGTTTGTGAATTTTCTATGTTTATCATCGCATATAGTTCACGAAACTGCATAATCTCCAAAACTTTTATGTAGAATAAACCTTTTACCCATGTTCTACCTCCCCCACAGGTTCCAGGTTTTTTATTGTGGTTGTGATCAGTATTCAGTAAGTTATGGTTTCTGGTGGAGTTGGGTGGAGTAAGGTTTTATGGGTTAAGAGATGTATCACAAAATGCTGTGTAGACTGATTCAGTGACATTTAAACATCTTTTCAGTAACAATACTTTTTTCAGGGCTTAAAGACCCTTCTGTTTTCTATGCTCGACAAAAAGCAAGAGTATCAGGAGGATTATTCAGATAATGAAGGTACAGATCCCATCATTTATCGATAAATTTAATTTAATCGAACTTCGAAGTTCATGGAAATTGGACATAATATAATAACTCGGTAATTGTGAATATCGGTTTATTTTATCAATTTGATTGAAACTTCTTTAGCTATCTGATTCGAAATTTATTTTAATTCCCAGTCTTGATAATTAAATCATTATTGTTTCAGAGGAAGATCCTGACGTTCTAAATGAGCAGTTTGACCACTCCTTCTTTGAGGGTGTTATGTCGGAAATTAAGAGGATAAATGTCTTTTACAAGGGTACGTGACCTTAATTAGCATACTTACTCAAACTTTCCATTACAATCGCTGATTGACAAATTGCTGAATATAGACTGTATTTTTAGATGGAAGAGGCATTTACAGATCCTACTTTCGTATGATCTTATCCTATTTTTTCTTAAACAACGTTTAAGCTACTCAAATCTAACTACTCAAATCTACTCAAATTCTTTTGTTAAATACTGCCCCTGTCTTTGTAAAATCTCAACGGCCAACATTATTTCAGAGAAGGAGAGTGATGCTCAAACGAGATACACGAAGCTTACATCTGAGTTTCACAGACAACTTGAACTTCTTCACCACCAGTCGCTGGGGAAGGTTAAAATATTGGCTTACTTTTTTTCCCGTGTGGATGGCAGCTCTTAGTTGATATATCTATAACTGTTCATTCGCACTCTTCGCCAAGACCCTGGAATCTGAAAATCTAAAAAACCATGCCCGTAATTTTGAAATTATATGTTCAGGAAACATCAGATATCAAAGGAAAGAAAGTGGTGGCAGTTCATCCAGCTAGAATCAAGAAGCTCGAGAGTAAGATATACGAGAAATTCAGGATGGCTTTTTCTGAGTATTATCTGAATCTTATCCTCCTTCAGAACTACCAGGTATGTACCAGTTGCACTGCCTCCAAAGTCTCACAAAAACATGGAAATAGGATTATTAAAGATTTGACTACTTAACTGGTTGGGTGTTGACGTAAATTAATATAATAAGTGCAAGAGAATAAAGAATTTGATCGATGCTTCTGCAAGCTGATTGATAAATCACTCTCACAGTCGAAACAAAGTTACAACAACTCCCCGCCGCACCTGTATTTAATTAATTAAGCATTTTATTGTCACAGCTCAGTGATTTATCAAAATGCTTAACCAACTTTGAGAACGTGTGTAATGCAGAACATGATTTCATTTATGCTATAATTACATATTATTAGCATGATATGTATTGTGTAATTACAAGTCTGATGATGTATGTCATCAACTCACCAGTTATCTTGCTGAGACTGCTTGTCTACATAACCGTCCAGTCGTCCAGAGTGACCAGACGTTGCCGTAGTAAATTACGTAATTAATCGCTGTAATCTGAAAGTAGCTCTGTGCTACACTTCCAGTGTACTCACACAAGTATTTCAGGCTCTTAACTACACTGGATTCAGAAAAATCCTCAAGAAGTATGACAAGGTAAGATATGTGTTGAGGCCCGGTGTTTAAAGTAGTGTACACATTTTTTGTTAATTTTTGGTTTTAACATTTTACTGGTCAAGCCATGCAACTAAAAATTATTTTCGTACTTTAAAAAAATTCCAGTCCTTGTCTTTATATAATTGCTGTTTATATAATATACATAACTTGAAAGAATTAACTTGTAGATCGCTAAAGTTAAAATGACAGTTTCGGAATCCTCGGGCGGGGATAGTTTCACACTTTTAACCCAGTTATTTGTTGGCCTCTAATTTATTAACTGTAGGGGTGATAACAAATAAATGTCTTGGGATTTGAAAATTGTTGAAATTTACTGTCGTCACCACTAGCCCTCAAGTATGTCATCCAACATGTAACTAAGGTTTTATAACACGTTTATGGGATCTATGTAAATTGTAAAAGGTGATACTCATAAAAAAGCCACCAATGCTACATAATATCTCAAGTTTAAAACAAGGTAGAATTAAACCTTTTTTTAGTGTATATATTGGCACAGTAACTGTTCAACAGTTACTGTTGTAGTATACACGTCACATGAATATTGAATATGTACAATAAGTACATAGCATGGTACGATATTAACCAGATCTATGTCACCCACTTTTTACATTTACGTTATTCTCCAACACTAAAATTACAAGACACAGCACCCCCTACCGTTACCCCTGTAAGGAGCTGGAATGAGAGGAATGTGCCCTGTGAATAACATTTGTGGTTACATAATTTTAAGAGTTTAAGTACAGACAAACCTCACCCATATTAATTTCATACTGCTCAGGCTTAAATCCATAGTTGCTTGGTACACAGTACTACCACAGTTGGCGTTTTGTTTACTTTTAATTCAAGATAACTTCACTTCCTTCACCTTTAACACTGCCACTTCTGACCTTGGATCCGGCAATGTTTTAACCTGAAAACATTATGTTGACCGTGTGCGTGTGTTTGTGTGTGTATGTGTGTGAAAATGAATCGACTGCTGAGAAATCTGCTAGTACTGTTGAACTGCCATCTGCTTTCCGATGTGACTGTACAAAAGAGGGAACAACCGGTCTGTTATCAATTAGAATTTAGATACTGTTCTTAGACCATAGCATAGTCACGAGTCATGATTAAAAAGTATTAGTATTTGAAAAATGTGAATTCTAAACCCGTTGTCTACTAACTTATAACTATGTGAATTGTGAATGATCCAAGAGAATTTATCAATATTCTCATTTGGTCTGATAACTCAGAATCCTTGGTAATCCTTTGTCTTCTACAAATTATGCAAATGATCTAAGAAAATTTATTGTCATGGATAAATTATTCTCAGTATTCTCATATTGTCTGGTTAATTCAGTATCCTCGGTAACCCTTAATTACATACCTGATAAAAATTTACAAGTATTCTCATTTGGTCTGATAAACTCAGTATCCTTGGTAACCCCTAAATTACATACCCGATAAAAAACGTCATACAGAAGTTGTACTGCCTAATAGGGTATTACCTTCCTGTCATTACACCCTAATTACTGCTCTAATCTAATTACTGCACTTCGTCTGTTATTCCCGGGGAATGAGAGCACAGTTGTTCGGCTTTCTCTTTGTGTACTAAAAATGTGTTCTGGAATGCCGAATGAGTGGTGAAAATGAACAATGCAGAACAATACAATATGATTGTTTCATTCATTATAATTGTCTAGTATTGTGATAACGATTAAAAAGTATTGCAGTATTTGAAAAATGTTGTGAATTCTGCAGGAGACCACGTACTCCACGATGGGATATAATACAATGGGGGGCCCTACAATACAATATCTCCGGGAATGAGAGCACAGTTGTTCGGATTTCTCTCTTTGTACTGGAGGGCCGAATGAGTGGTGAAAATAAACGATACAGTTTTCATTCATTATCGAGTTAAAACTAACGATTTCCCGATTAAAAAAGTAGACGGCTAAAATTAGAAGCAAACATATACAGATTATTATCATTTGGTATCAGGAAGCAAAGTATGATATTCAATACCTCTATAATATACTGGGCCTCTCGGGGGATACAAAAATTGCATGGTCTAAAAAAACGGTATCGAGGTTCACATCATTCCAATTCCAAATATCTGTAGCCTTTAAAATAACCTGTCTTTACCCCGTTAGCGCCTTTATAATGTATATGCACGAATTGTGATGGAATAGGTACTAAAAAAAAGGTACTAAAATTAAATTTCTTGCACAAAATGGGCTAATTTTATTAAAGGACCAGTTAACTGAAAAATTTGTAGTCTCCAATTTGGCTAAGATTTAAATCAGCTGTGACAAACTGGTAAAAAATTGTATCGCCGAAAGAACCAACTCTCTAGCTTACGTGTAACGCGTGTTATTGCAATAATAAGCTGTGGCCGCGTGACGTCATAAAGTCCCTCAGTGCGCGCTGGCATAGCGTAATACAATGCACAAATGTTTATCATCGTCAATAAAACACGTGTAACTCACTCAAATTTTAGAGTTATGACTATTTCCCTAGTTCTCCAAAATCCTTATAGTTTTGGCTATCACCCTAACTATACGAATAGCTGATTGGATGTACAGTGCTCACGTCAGGATTTTAAACAGTGACATAAGTTCTTGAACAGTGGCGGGTGAATGTACGGTTAGAAAGTTTCTGCTATTACAAGTTATGTCATATGTGATAATTTTGGATTGTTTTCATTGCTTCATTAAAACGAAGGGAGACTGTACCGATTATTTTTCCCCAGTCCATGAAACTAATACACAAAATAATGTGCTATATATTAAATATAGCTGATCAGAGTGTAACTCTGTAATATAATATTACAGTTGTTCGGAAGAATGCGAGCAGTCAAATGGTTCGCTATCCTAAAAGACATAGTTCCGAGAGCAATTATATTTTTAGCATAGCGAAATTTCTTACTTTAATCCACACGTGCCAGACAGTACAGGAGACATGAAGTCTGGCTATTTTACGGCCGTTCCCATCGGACCATTAGTCGAAGTAGCTCCTATCAGAACGGTGCCGTGGGAACTGAAAAATACCCGGTATACGTAATACTGATTGGAGTGTACGGTGAGCGGTGTGTTTTGAATTTGACTTACCTAGTTATCGTCCTACTTGTATGATCATCGGTAGGTACATAACATAAATAAACTACTGGTAAAATTAAATACCAAGTGCAAACGTGTTCAGTCAATCGACCCACTGAACAAATATAGAATTTCCAAGACCCTATTATTCTTTGGCCATATATATTGCGGCACGATCGATTCTTAGATGGCTAAACGACATACGTTAATCTATACAATTCTTAAACTATGAGATAGCACTTTAATCTAGAAATACACTTATTATATTACTCCTGATTTTTACATTTCAATTTTCATGTAAAACATTGTAGCCATAGGTTGATCATGGACACTGACAGCTTAATTTTAGATAATAATGATTTATGAGTTTCTCTAAAGTTAACTCTAAACTAGTGTAGTCCAGTCATTTAAGGACATTTATGGAATTGAACCTGCAAATTTTCGTATACTCACGAAATTTTGCAAAAACCTTCTCAAAAGTATGAATAAACGATTTTCGGTTGGAGACATATTGACCACGCCGATATTGACCCAATAACGTAACCGACCCTTTGCTTCTGAAGGTCGTAGACTTCTAAATAGGCTTAAACGAAGCGGCATATGCATGTTTATATAGGAATTACTGAGCAACACATGGCCTAAAATCCTTACTCTTCGAGAAATTTGCCAAAAACCATTTTGGGCGTGGTGCTGAGCCCATTTTCGATAGGATCGTGATAGAGTCTTTAGACAGGGTGCAAAAGAACCGCAATTAGCATATTTATATATGACTTACGAAGAAACAGATGCCTTAAAGTGCTTACTTTTTCAGTTATTGGCGAAAAACTGATTTCCGGTTCCAGAAATCATGCAAAAGTATGGGTATCTTGTAAATTGGGCTATGAAGGCCCTACAGATTTTTGAATGATTGCAAATTGTGCAGAATGGCCATGTTTATGTACAACTTATGAAGCAACATGTACCCTAAAACACTTATTTTTCGAGTTATTTAGGGGAGAAACATTGTATTATGTCCATTTTTACCTGTAAAATACAGTCTCACGAGCTCTTCTGTGCGCGCAAGGGACTTTATGACGTCATCGCCAAAATAATACAAACGCTAATTACACGCGTTAGAGAGCAGTTAGAGATTTAGGAATTTCGACTCGTTGCTCAGTTTGCTATTTGTCACAATCTGTCAAAATATGAGGATAACTTTTTTTTGAGTTAACTGGTCCTTTAACTTAAATTTTGGAGGAAAAGAAGAGGCCCGGTATAGAGAAGCCCGTTATTTAGGGGTTTGACTGTATTGAGTACAAAATTAATACATTAGTTAAGTTGTATCATTTGTCAATCAATAATCCTATCGAAATTTTATAATATTATACCAGTATGTTAATTGTTAGTCTTAGGTCTGAGGTCAGAAATTTTAATCATAGTGCTATTAGACAAGATTATTAAAATACAATCACTTATTGCAGAGCAACAATTTTTTTTCACACCTCGAAGATCACAAGATAGTCATAAGACTTTCTCTGCGCTTAACTTACTTTATTTAAAACGCAATAAAATATCTGCAAATCGAACTACGTCGATTGTTTCAAAGTAATACGATAAAATCAGATTGTAACATTAAATGTGGTAAATTTATCTTGTGTTTCAAATTGCATCTCAAGATTAATGCCATGTCAGAACGTGATGAAGTCGTAAAGAATTACGAACTTTTACAAGACACTTGAATTTAAGCCCCAAATTGCAACATGTCAATCGAAAATTCTCAAAAGAGTGCTTTTGTTGGATAGCGTATATGACACGCGCGATAATATTTTAATAATAAAAAGACCCTCACCGATCATTCACCATGGTTTTAGGTTCGGCCGGTCGCGCGCGCGACCGATCAGGAATACAGTGCAAAACAGTTATATTATTAACAGACTTATATTAACTTAGCTGCACGTACAAACATTGCATGGAACTTATATATATATTACTAGTTACTAATACGAAAATATGAATGAAAGAAATCTGTTTCAGGTCATGGAGTCAAAACGTGGGAAAAAGTGCTTTGCAGCACACGTCAGAGGTTCATATTTTGAAAAGTCTAAAGAAGTTGAGAAACTCATCGAATCAACTGAGGTAGGAAAATTTAAAATAGATAAAAAATCCACAAACACATGGAGCGGTACTCTAACTACTTGATCCAGTAAGCGCTCGGTTGAATCTGAATGTTAACGGGAATTCCAATTCCTAATAGAGTGATATAACCATCAACCACAGTCAGTTAACGGTTAATCGTATTCTCATTCTTTGTTATCATTTCTCATAATCACCTCATGCAGAAATTTGTGACGAATACACTTGAGAAAGGCGACAGAAACAAAGCTATGCAAAAGCTGAGAGTACCGCCTCTATCTGGCCTTGAACTGGTGAGTGACAGTTACATGCAGTAGAACTATAACTTATTTAAGTTTATATCTATAACTTATCTAAGTGTATGAGTTTGATAGGGAAGGCAGCTCGCTAGTTTCTGGCTTGATTTAAGAGCGTTAAAAGAATTTATTAACTCTGTTTATTCTGAGCGTGTGCCAAAGAGCCCTGTAGTTTATAAACTAGTTGAATAGCAAGTTCATCAAACATTTTCCCTGCAGCACGAACACTCTACAACATTTAAATCAGGGTTAATGACCTGGACTAGCTGCTTCCATCTGCGCAGTTGTCGTCCTAGCCAGTAAGTCAGCATTTTTCTTTCTGAAATCTACTGTAGCTTTCATCGTATGAGTTTATAAAATATTGAAATTGATGATGATACATCAAAAAGAAGGTTATAGGCTTAAAATCAAATTTACCCTCATTCAACCTTCGTAATTTTCCAGAATTCTACAGGTCTTGTACAAGATAAAATACAAACAGATAAACCCCTGGAGGCAGATACTATTCCAGCATTGGTCGCTTTCCGCAGTACTTTCCTTCTGTTTTTCTTCACAGTGCTCATCTCCTGGAATACGTACGGATGGCGTAATGCTGGAGTTAACCACATCCTCATTTTCGAAATAGATCCCAGAAATCATCTTAATTATCTACAACTCCTTACTGTAAGACCTTATTCATAATTAGTGAATATATTTATGAGATTATTCTTAAAGTCATCCGATGTTCATAATTTTACTTTCGGTTTTTGTGCGATTTGGTATTGGAAATGAAATATGAAGCTGGTAATTTCCCAACAGGCAGGAATGTTATTCATATTTCTTTGGGGTATAACGTTGCTGCTCTACATATTCTCTCCCTTGGTGGCCCCCGCTATGAAACCAGAGACTTGGCCTCTCATATTTTTCATCATCGTATTTGGTCTCTTCCTCCTACCCGCACCGATATTTTACCATCGGACCAGATTTTGGCTTCTTCGGCGAATCGTGAGTTCTTAATGTTTCTCTATTAGGATTATTTTTTTATATATGTATGATAATGATGTTCGACAATTACATAGCCCGAAGAGAAGGATGGAATCAAAGTTGTGGAATTGTTCGTATTCTTTTCTTAACCTGTAAATTTGTAAAACTTAAATAACATTTCAGTTCGTATATTCACGGCTCCGATATTCCCAGTCCAGTTTGCTGATTTCTTCATAGCAGATCAGTTGAACAGTTTAGCTACAGTTCTCCTGGACATATCCTTCGTTTTCTGTTATTATACCACATATTGGAGTCAAGGTTTAAAACTTATTTCAAGGCCCACGAGGCCCTTTGAAGTTTATATTATCTATACCTTAAAAAGCCAATTTTTGACTTTCGATAAACCTATTTATATCGGTATTTCTATTGTAGCGCACGAGTGACACTTTCAGTCTAATCATGGAGAAATTCCATAATTTTACGCTAATATCCGTTTTCTAATCCAGGAGACGAAAAATGCACAGAGCCGGGTATCTGGTATCGTATCCTGATAGCCACCCTCCCGCCCTGGTTCAGATTCGCTCAGTCTGTTAGACGTTATTTCACCACCAGTGACTGGTTTCCTCATTTAGTCAACGCTGGAAAATACTTCTCGTCTATAGTCGTCATCATTCTGGCTAATGTAGCTGGAATCATACATAGTACGGTATAATTCATGTAGTAACTTTGGGTACAATTTATAAATTTATGGGCAAGATATATAGAAGCTGGTAGCATTGTACTATTTCTGAAAGAAGTTTCGCATTATTAGAGTTTAAGTTTCATTAAATACGTTTCCCAGAAAACAAGGACGGTGATCAGACCCTTCTAGGACTCGATATATTTGCCGCATACGTGGTTGTAGCCTGTATATCTACATTGTACGCGTACTGGTGGGACATAAAGATGGATTGGGGCTTTCTAGACCACACCTCTACCGGTCACAAGAACAAATATCTTAGAGATGAGTTGCTGTACGCTGGGGGAAAAAAGGTAGGTTGTATCACGACAAAAATAGTTAAACGCAAATATGCCATATTAGCCCAGTCAGGTCTTGTAGAATTTTTAATGATGTCGATTTTTATGTTACATATTAAAATGTTTGGTGCATACCAGAAAAATGAGAGACTAAAACTGTCATTTTCAGTTTGTCTACTTTATCATCATGGGACTTGATTTAGTACTGCGTTGTGTCTGGACAATCAACATTTCTTTAGCAGACTGGAAGTTTGTTCACAAACAATATGTCATTACGGGCACTGCTTTACTTGAAGCACTCAGGTATTTCATTTTCTATCATATGAAATTTGAAATTAATGGTAAAATTAAGACACTGTCGTACTTGTTAAGCAATCCTACCGAATTCTACTTCAGTAACTCATAATCAACAGAAGAAGGCTCTATTTCTTATCAGTATAATTTTAGGAGAGCAGTCTGGAATTTCATTCGGCTGGAGAACGAACACCTGAACAACTGTGGTCAGTTTAGAGCAGTACGGGACATTAACGTCAGAGTTATCACTGAGCACACCAAACATGACGAAGCAAAGGTTTGTTTGATGTTTGACTCGTATTTTCAAGGTTGCATGTCGATCGTACGTTAGGATTCATAAACATTATATACATAACCATTTTTTTGCGGAATTTGGTCGAATTAGATTTAAAGGTTTTTTTATATCTCAAAACTTCAACGAAATAAATTTCTGAACATTATTTAATTTCCTTTCAATCAGGACGAAGATTCCGATCGGGAAGATATAAAGAAGCGAACACCCTCCGGCACTCGTACCCGCAAACTGAGCCGCGCTAAGTCACGGCGACTCAGTGGAGCGAGTGGTGTCAGTTCGAAGGCGAGCACCCAGGCTACAGCGGTGGATCTTAAGCTGAACTTGAACACAGCGAACACTAGTGTTTAGAACAACGTGGAGTTGTTAGATATATAAAAATATCTAAAGAAAGTTTAATTCCGCTGGTCTATCTTCAAGTTCGGATCTTTGTTTTTTGGAGGATAAGACACATCAGCATAGCCTGGACTGCAATTTATGTTATAAGTTATCCTTATCAGATAATTGTAAATTATTTTTATTGATTTTGGTCGTTTAGCTGTTGTTGCTGATAAGACGCAAGAAATGGGGGCGATACTTGTTCTTAATCTGAGACAAGAATTTATAAAAAGTGGTATTTGACCAAATATTTGTGAATATCCATAATAACGAAAATTCAAATAAAACATTCGCCGAATAATTATATTTTTACCAGAACCGTTTTTCAGTTCTCCAGTTTGTAAATGTACGCCTGTATTTTTGTATAATCAATTATTTTGATGTCCATTGAAAATATCGTTATGTTCTCAAAATCATCCAATCTTATACACCGTTTCAACGTTATATTTCCGGTTATTATATTTATATCAACGATTTGAGGTGAATGACTAACGAAGCATTTACAACAAAATTAAAATAAGCTGAGACAAGCTGGTTTATACTGGGTAACGTTTTACCACTGAAAAATTAACATGTTATTGATATTATATTGTATAATATTTTTCAGTTTATAAATTTGCTATTTTCATTTGTAAGCCCCCTGGAGTTGGTGTACAGATTGGCTAACATTAATTACTTAAAGTTAATATAACAACAAGCAAATTACGATGCAAGCATAATAATTGACGCACGCCTAAGTTATTAGAGTCGAAAACGGGTCGTGTAATATAATTGCTAACTTAACCAGTTGGCCATTCCCGCTACTAATAAAGTAATAATTAAATCCCATAAGTTGAATAAATATAATACCCATATGCCCTGAGAAAATTTTAATGTGCAGGTAACTTTTGTGCACTTAGGAGTAAAGTCTGAACGAAAAATTTAGTGTGCAACATGCCTGTTACTGGGCCGCGCTCAGCCGGTCATTCCGCCTAATCTCTATTAACAACATTAAAGCCTGGGGTCCTCAGGTAACATGCCTGTAAAAAAGTTGACGACAGGATGGACGAAAGCTGCATCCTGTCCAAATTCTATTGGCAGAAGAATAGCAATGGAGTACAGTTCGCCGTTGGCGAAAATGTTTTTGAGATTTTTCTTGTGCAAAAGGCCTAGAAGCAATTTGGGAATGGTCTCACTCTCACTGCATCGCAGATAACTTAGCTGCAGATGTAGTAACTGCACGGTTAGCTATGATTAATATGATTAATATTATATTTATATCCTTGTAAGTGTCCATAGTTTATTATTTTCTGAACAAACAAATAAATTATTATCACTGCTCACGATTTTAAAGAAAAATGTGGCTGTGCAGTTAGAATAATTGTTCTGTGCAGGCAACAAGATTACCAGGTTATGGTTATTTCTACACATGAACTCCTATTCTGGATAAGACTCCTCCCATCATTAGCTATTTAGTAGAACTAGTATGTTTGTAGCCACCCTGTATCACCAAAAAATAAGACACAATTTTTTATAAAACGAAAAATAAAAACATAAAAACGATACAATAAAATTTGTCATAAAAACCTATTCTACTACAATGTACAAGAGATCGTCAGCATGAAGAAGTAACCAGTACGTTGTTGCCTAAGGCAACCTAAGATAATTAAAAGTACTAGCCAGTAGCCATATCATTAAGCTTATAACTCTAAAAGATAAGCTGTAATAAGGCCCGTAAACCAAAATCACTACCAGTACTACCAAGATGGTCTGAACATGGATTTCATTCAAGTATTTCTTGGCGTAAGGTAACATTCGATGCTAAATTTATTGACATAAGTAATTTCAAAACTCCCTAACTATAAGACGTAACTAATGAGCTTATTAAATGTAAAACTAACCTTGGGAAGAATTAATCAAGTTAAACTGTAAGTTTAACGGCCAGATCAAAGTAATAAGTTGGCATCTATTTACAGTCAGAATTAGTTAATAGTTATACTCTCAACGTAAATTCTTAAACGTATTTACAACACTTCCTTGAAAAATAAAATCTAGTATTTAACCCTAAATCGTTCCCCACCAAAACACTCATGGCAAAACATTTTTTACTCCAACCCTCTCATTTGATTAATAACATATCCTCAGAATACCAAATGCTGCTACAATAAGATTGGATCATTCACCTAAGACTAAGTCGACTGCAAGATGTCTAACTCCTCACGTTATATGCTCGATACGAGCAGGTGGTCTGCGTGCTCATCAGCCTCATCCAGGTCCAGGTCAGAGTCCGATCTGGTGGTGGGTGTCTCGATCAGGTCCTGGTCCTTGTGGAACGCGAACTTCCAGTACTTAAAGTTCTGATAGAACTGGTCCGCTGCGTTGCACACGCCCTTGAGTGTCCACGTCCCTGGAAAGCAGTGTATTAACTCTACAGGTAACACGTCAACTAGCCCCCTAATGTAACAAGACAAGACCCCTTACCCGACTGTACTATACTGCAAACGGTAAAGGAGTGTACCACATATACCCTCAAAAGATCAAGGTTGAAACATTCATCTAATCACGCTAACGTTCACAAAAGCACGTTTACTTACTTTGAGTTGAAGTAAACTTCTACAATCCAGCCACTAATACGACACGGACACCTCATCCAAGGGGTTTGCTCTGATTCAGGAGTTTCCTTGTTTCTCCTCTTCTGTGTGTGATACTCTCTCGCTACAGGGTGTAGCTCGTAGATAGAGTGGCACAGGTACCCACTCAGCTTGCTCATTTTCTCTCCTAACATGGAGGGTTCTGATAGGTCGCAGTTACTTTGGTCCACTGAAACTATACCTGAACAAAAATCGGTTTGTTGTATAGTACTGAGTGAATATAGCAATGAATTTGAGGTGAGAATGTCCCATGCGACCATGGTTTCATGGCACTTAAATGTCGATTTTGTAATAGTTTGGCAAAAAAATGTATTCTAAAGTAACTCAATTCTTCTATAGCCACCTACCCATAAGTTTAAGAATATCTTTATCTGGCATGTGAGGGAGATGGTTGAAAGTTTTACTATTCTTCGTCTTGGTCTCCCGGAGCTGGAAGATCCCGAGTTGATTAACAGACACGGGGCCAATCTTACCGCTCCTCCCGCTCAGGAAGGTTTTCTTGGTTTTATAACCTGGAAACCACCAACTCTTGCTGAGATACATGTACGGGAGCTTCTTGTTGAAGTCAAAGTAGCCACTTCTGTGCTGAAATGAGATGGGTATAAGCAACATAAAAGTGTTTCATTCTTTGGTTAACCTTCAGGAGAATAGTACTGTTTAATGTGTTTTAAATTAAACTCCAGTCGTGCTTGCCAGCACTGTGATGTATGTGATTAGTTGACAGTTTGTGCTAACCTGGGACAGTATGACTTTGGAGATACCTCCCTCTCTCCTATACGGTTCACTAAGAGGGTTCCAGAAGGCTCTGAACTGGTCCTCGTTCATGTGGATAGGTCCCTCGTAGCCCACGAACTGAACCAGGTTTCTATAGTTCATCATCTTGTTACGGTTCACTTCATGGTGCTGACATATTTAATCCATGCTTACTAGGATAAGGTCGGTTAGGGCCACAATATTTGTGTTTGCAGCCTACACTAGGTACGGTTAATAATTAATATCTCAGATTTCAGAACGAGCAATGCTGAAACTAGAGAACAACAAAATAGTAAAACAAAGTGCGCAGAGCTTTTCTAAATACAACTCGTTTAGAGATACTGCATAAGCAATGTAATTCTCCCAAATCTAATTTAGCCAGACTATTTATAGCAACAACTCAATGATCAACAGTAAGCACACATCAGACAATAACTGCAAGGCCTAACTAGAACAATATACCCGGCACACGTAGCGTCGAGAGTAGGTATAATAGAACCCTGGAAACTCTGGCAATGTGTTAAAACTGAAACATAAGCTGAGTAGAGAGAGAGAGTGAGAGAGAGAGTGAGAGAGAGGGAGAGAGAGAGGGAGAGAGAGAGGGAGAGAGAGAAAGTCTCCGAATTTGTGGCAGAGAAAAGAGAGTTAGTGTTACATTATTTCACAACACAGAGAAGGGTTGTGGTCGGGGGACTTTGGGAGGGGAGATCAGGTTTCACGACAGACAGCGGACACTAAACTGTGGAGCTGCTGATTCTGGAGATATGTTGATATGATATTGACGTGTTCCTCAGATCACCAGTACCCTGCTGGCCCGGGACCAACACTCCCCCACCCCTGATTACTCAACTTAAGGTTCAGTGCCCTCTGATTTGAGAAGTGCCTAATTTATAACATTCCTGAGACCAGTGCACGTTCCATGTTCAGTAGATGATGTAGTGAGTGAGTTAGATAGAGTGAGTGGCGTGAGATATTTAGGTATCAAGTGGCGTGAGAGATGAGACTTTCAACCATCTTCGAATGGTTAGTGTCCGAGTCACGGCAGTGACAAAAGTGTGTAGCATGCCCAAAAAGGTGTCATCATATTTAGGTTTCTAACATCTCATATTATTATCAATTAAGCGTCTAATTAGCACCAAGCAAAGAGGGGAGGGTGAGGCCGCTACCTCTGTCACAGTTCGAAGCTACTTCACAAATCAAAATATCACAGCTCTGGCATCTGTGCAGAAAATAGCCGTTAAGTTGTAATTATCGTTACTTCTAGAATGTAATTCGGGCATCAAGAGGCAAGAGCAAGTAAAATCATGGGATGGGTAAAATGTTTGGAAACCATGAGGTACGCGAAATATAATATCAACCAAACCAAACCGTTGATGGGCAGAAAGTATTATTATATGGGATCCTAGAAACTACAGGAATATACAGGAATATCAAAATATAAAGGGCGAGCCAAGAGTTTAATATAACTTAATATAATTCAATAATATAACCCCCAGCGTTCACGCTCTAGCGCCAAACTTGCAGAGGCAGACGTCCCCTACGATATAGGTGCCTCAGCTGAACTGTGCACCGTTTGTTGCCCTCCCTGTTTGTTCTAGAAGTTTGTAGAGGGTCAGGGAAAAGGGAAGCCTATAAAGGACACAAGGTATTATGCTGTTCGATACAACCAGTACGATAAAGACATTAAGCTTTTAAGGACCCGGTTTCTTTTGTTTACGTGTAGCTTCACCCCTACTTCCGGTACCTAGATTTAGAAGGGTAGACGTTATAATTAGGCAAATATTCGGATCTAGAGCTCCTCTTTGCTTCATTCACAGGCGCTGGGCTCCCTTCCACTTAGGTTCCTGAGTCAACTCTGGCGCCAAAAATCTTTAAATTACACCCAATTTATTGTTTGCTCTGTAAAGTGGAAGGAAGCATATCACAATGAATAACTCAGTGCAGTAGTAGTGTAATCTAATAAATTCTCAACGACTAAACGTGCAGGAAAGGTAAAAACACGAAGTGAAACGACACGGTGACAAACTTTATGCGTATAAATGCACTGCGTATTAATTTTAATGAGTAAACTTCACGCGCTTCATACGGAAAGACCTGCATGGTAGACTAACTGCATGGTAGACTAACTGAGTAACTTGACAACTGCGACCCAATAGAGCAGCAGCCAGGGCCTCCGGGCTCCGGAGAGATGAGGTGAAACTCAGTGAAACAAAGAATACGTCTGGTGAGGTTTCTAGCTTCTCCACATGGTGGTTCAGTCAGCACCATGTGTTTTACACAGAACATGTGTTTTACACCTAACTAATTCAATGATTCACAGTTGGCTGCTCTACATATTATTATGTCGCCAACATGAAATTTGGCAACTATAAGTTTGTGCGATGTAACGCTGCTATATGACGTAGCAGTCTCTAGATAGCTTATAGATGACGATGGGGTGGGTGCCATTAAATGGTGCTTTTGACAACATATTATAACAAGGATATGACAATAACTTAAACTGAGATATCTACTCCTTTCGCAACATGACTACGCCAATAAACAGTTTCAACAGCAGCTAAGCTATAGTATGAGTAGATATTGAGATTGTTGCACGATGTTGCACGATACCATCATCACAATCACTAGCTCACAACGACCCAGGCAGAGTGCACTAGGCTTACTGTGTACTATGAAATTAATGATTCGGCTCACGGAAGTCAGCATTATTGTTATAATTGCAGGTAAAATGAAGTCCAAATTGGCATGATGGAGCCAGATTAATGGGCTCAGGGCTGTACAGCACAGCGGTATGAGGGAATGTGTACTATAACTGTTACCAACACACTGTACTACTGTTACCAACACACTGTACTACTGTTACCAACACACTGTACTACTGTTACCAACACACTGTACTACTGTTACCAACACACTGTACTACTGTTACCAACACACTGTACTACTGTTACCAACACACTGTACTACTGTTACCAACACACTGTACTACTGTTACCAACACACTGTACTACTGTTACCAACACACTGTACTACTGTTACCAACACACTGTACTACTGTTACCAACACACTGTACTACTGTTACCAACACACTGTACTACTGTTACCAACACACTGTACTACTGTTACCAACACACTGTACTACTGTTACCAACACACTGTACTACTGTTACCAACACACTGTACTACTGTTACCAACACACTGTACTACTGTTACCAACACACTGTACTACTGTTACCAACACACTGTACTACTGTTACCAACACACTGTACTACTGTTACCAACACACTGTACTACTGTTACCAACACACTGTACTACTGTTACCAACACACTGTACTACTGTTACCAACACAATGTACCTACTACTGTTACCAACACACTGTACTACTGTTACCAACACACTGTACTACTGTTACCAACACAATGTACCTACTACTGTTACCAACACACTGTACTACTGTTACCAACACAATGTACCTACTACTGTTACCAACACACTGTACTACTGTTACCAACACACTGTACTACTGTCTTACTGTTACCAACACATTAGAGGATTGCTTGCTTCTGTAGACCACTCTACTCTGCAATTCATCTCAACCGCAACACTAAACGTCACAACAACACACAAATGAATAATGGAAATAGTTTCACAGACAAAGAAGATAGTACAATGCAGTACGTATTTCACCGTGTATTTGGAATCTGGAGCAAGTACAGAGATAAGCTACTTGTACTCGGTGCATACATACTGTACCCTAAATACTCAAATATAATCGCTCATTTCCGGCTCCGTCCGGGACTGCGAGCCTAAAGATAATAGTAGCCCTCAAAGGTCCCTGTAGGGTAGGACTAAAAGGCCTGGTCTAAATTTTGTATGGTTCCGGAAATATGAATAAGTTAAGTAGTGCAATTATAATTACAGCGGTCCTAGAGCAAGCTTGGCAATGGTGGGCAGCAGTTATGTTTTAGTTCTGCCTTGCTTGTTGCTTCTTGTGTGGTCCCGCAATGATGAATGATTTTTCTTCCAGATAACCGATTATGAGAATTTGGTTATGCTATTGAGTATTGGTAGTTCGGTAACTTTGAATTGTTTTTGCTTCTTAGCTTGCTAAACTAGTTTAATATTGAGATATCAAGACGTAAGAAATAAGTCATTTCTATCACCGATGATTGCCAAATTTTAGATAGTAGGAATGAGATATTTATTGGAGCCATGTCAAACGATCGCGACGTAAAACTAAACAAGTACAAGTACAAGATATCATCGTGGCACCGATTACTGGATCTTCACATTAGAGTCAGATAGCACTGTCACATTTTAAAATTTTATTTGCGGGCAGAAAAGCGTTATATTATAGTCACCATGGTTGTAGTTTACAGTTCATCGCGGCTGCACAGACCGAGAATAAGTGTGGCCACTCCCTATAGTTTCACAACGAAACATTATTATGGTCAATGGTGGCAAGCAGATATGATAAAATATACAAGTTTTTGAATGACTTTTATAGAGTCGTCAGATCACACTTTTATATTATTACACTTACAGGACATTTGTCTGCTGAATAAGTATCCTGCGGTTAAAAACTTAGAGCCAGTACTCAGTAGAAAGATGTTAGCATAACAAGTAAAACGAAGTATCCTTGCCACTACAGCACATTGTTGGTCCTTTTTCTGCTTAGTCCAAGATCAGAGATTCTTCTCGATTCAATTCAAAATGCGGAATAGATTTCTAGCCTGCACTTAAATTAGCAACCAATCAACATTCACAACTCTTGAAAAAGGGCATTTGATTCTCAGTAGTCAGTACCTACATAATACATATACCCGCCTATCGTCTGCCTTATCACAAGTGCGTCAGCTAAAAAAATCGTTGCTTATTATATTGTGGAGTGGCGATTAAAAGCTAGAGCGAAGGCAATCATAGCCGGCTAGCTCTGATACAATCGACATGTAGAAACAATATCACCTGAAATCAAGCTCTGAAACAAAAGCTCTCGGCGGAGATAAAAATACAATCACTGCTGTCACCAGATGCATGACACTCGTAAATCAAACCAGTTACAACGATTACTGCGTCTACACTAACGTTAGAGGCTATAGTAAAGTTCGAGCCAGTGAAATCTGCGTGCAGCAGCATGAGCAGTAGTAGAGGTACAACTCCAATCACAGGATTATTTGCTGCACCATGTACACTGTGCACAGTGATACTGGCTAGTGTACCTGGATATCATTACCGCGACAGTTCCGACCTTCTGACAAATACAAAAACAATAAAGACGAGAGGAGAATGCAGAGAGAGAGAGGAGAGAGAGGAGGGTGTGTCATGAGTCCACACTGGAGACTGTACACAAAACGAGAGAAGGGACATGGTATTGTTCCAGGTTCCTGCAATAGCTAGAAAGTATAGAGATTAGGCAGAGAGTAGGCAGAGAGTGAGGAAACCAACACAGAACTACGCACAAACAAGAAGTAGAAGCGGAAGAAACGGGGGAGACGGTATTGTTTCTTCTAACCACTAAAGAGTAAAGAGTATATAGCGAGCTGAAATCAACACTGAACTATAAAAGCAAACTAGCAGACGAGTAAGATGTAGCAGCTGAGGATTGGAGAGATGGCATTGTTACCGCGGAGATCTAAAGATCTAACAACTACACAATACCGCGGAGTAGCGAGTATAAAAAGTGAGCTACAACGAACAACACATGACCGAGCACAAGTGACATCACAGCCATTCATCATCATCATAACACACACCTAAACACGGAGTACTCCACTCTCAGAATTACAGTGTCACGTATAAGATCGGTCACGCGACACGGACACGTGTGACGTCACGTGTACACTGTACATTGTATTGTTCTGATTCGGGTGTTGAGTGTACATTTCCACACTTGTTGAGATAATGATATGGTACATGAGTATGAATCATCATGGGAGTCTGTAGTGTATTACAGTGTATATTGTATACCACCACGTGACTCAGGGAAGACTGAACTGTGCAACTTGAGTAATGAGCAAATTAACAAGGTGTACAGTATTTATATAGTTATACAGACAAGGTCCAAATTTCAATTTACGTCTGCAAGACTGAGGACGTCTAACAGCCTCTCGTAAAGTGTTTAAGAGCCTGTTGTAAAGTGTCTAAGAGAGTAAGAGCCTACCTAAGAGCCTGTAGTAATGTGGTGGTTACAGGGGTGGTTACAGGGGTTGATTTGAAGGTTTCGGAGGAGTGACGTGAACCTGACTACTGTTATCAGCACGGCTATATTATGAAAGTGATGACGTATACACACTACACACCACATTTCAACACTCGAGCTACTTTACTACTGCCCGGACCTCATGTAGTGTCTGACTTCACATAATATCCTACATCATCTGTAGGACCCTGTAGTGTCTGACTTCACATATCCTACATCATCTGTAGGACCCTGTAGTGTCTGACTTCACATATCCTACATAATCTGTAGGACCCTGTAGTGTCTGACTAGTGCACATATCCTACATCATCTGTAGGACCCTGTAGTGTCTGACTTCACATATCCTACATCATATTCTGTAGGACCATGTAGTGTCTGACTTCACATATCCTACATCATCTGTAGGACCTTGTAATGTCTGACTTCACACATCCTACATCATATTCTGTAGGACCCTGTAGTGTCTGACTTCACATATCCTACATAATCTGTAGGACCCTGTAGTGTCTGACTAGTGCACATATCCTACATCATCTGTAGGACCCTGTAGTGTCTGACTTCACATATCCTACATCATATTCTGTAGGACCCTGTAGCGTCTGACTTCACATATCCTACATAATCTGTAGGACCCTGTAGTGTCTGACTAGTGCACATATCCTACATCATCTGTAGGGCCCTGTAGTGTCTGACTTCACATATCCTACATCATCTGTAGGACCCTGTAGTGTCTGACTTCACATATCCTACATCATCTGTAGGACCCTGTAGTGTCTTACTTCACATATCCTACATCATCTGTAGGGCCCTGTAGTGTCTGACTTCACATATCCTACATAATCTGTAGGACCCTGTAGTGTCTGACTTCACATATCCTACATCATCTGTAGGGCCTTGTAGTGTCGGACTTCACATATCCTACATAATCTGTAGGACCATGTAGTGTCTGACTTCACACATCCTACATCATCTGTAGGACCCTGTAGTGTCTGACTTCACATATCCTACATCATCTGTAGGACCTTGTAATGTCTGACTTCACACATCCTAGTATCCTACATAATCTGTAGGACCCTGTAGTGTCTGACTTCACATATCCTACATCATCTGTAGGACCTTGTAGTGTCTGACTTCACATATCCTACCTCATCTGCACGTACAAAAAGTATATTGACGTTATTACAACAATAAACAACATATAAACAAGCTACTAGTACATACTACTGGTACAAGTACACTTGTTTAAACTACCGCAGTGCAAACAAACGCAAAACAAACCAGCCTACAAGACAATACGACCGATATACAGTTCAGATTCAAGTTTAATAGTCAGACAATAGTCATTACATCGGCCACACAGCGAAAACCGGATAAGTATAATAAAGCAAGATCCCCGTGTGTATAAACGGGCAGAATCAAGAATGACGGAGACTAAGGAAGAAATCAAGTTATCGTGAATTGTAGAAACGTCGTTAGTATTAAGTAGCAGCTATTTGAATCGAGCTCCGGATCGCCGCAATTAAAACCTGGTTAATTACTCCTCGTTATAGTGACGTCATCAGCACAACCCGGTTTAAAAATACTGAACCAGGCACGCTGGAGCATGTGACTGTCTGGATACAGATCACAAGTTATATACATTGTAGAGTATCGGCGAGATTATATCAAGTAAAATAGCACACAGTCTGCGTGTACTAGCGAAGAATATCTTGCTTGTAGCTAGCTTGCACCGCGCCATTCCAATCTCCCGCATATCGTCGAAAAGATAGAACAAAGAGGATGACGTAAGACTTTGAAGTTTGAAATCAATGTATAGCCCTTGCCATTTGCATAATAGCACGCACCACTCGTTAGAAATTCAAAAGCTATCTTCCGATATAGAGCAAACAATCACGCAACTAGTCGCAGTACACCATCCTTCTTCATAACTTCCGAAGCAAGATTTGTCTGTTCAAAGTTTACGATATTCGATTTTTAAATACTAGCAACTGGGCAGCAACTGGGCAGAGACGAGCGAGCCCCACCATGTCCCAAACATGATCCGTGGTGAAACGAAGTGAAGGTGGTAACAAGTATTTGTTCCCACGAGTTGAAGCTACAACAGTGCTGCTGGTAATTGTTGTCCTGATTCAGGGGGGAGGTACTGTTCAGGGCGCACGGTGCAACTTGCACGGATACCTTTAATTAAAGTGAGGGCATTTACGACATTTGAGAGATATGTCAGAGCGGTAGATATAGTATTTAAAAACTGTAATTATGAGTCATTGCGCAAATATTATAACACTGACGAAACTATCTGACAAAACTAAACTTATAGCACAGAGAGCAGCTTCACAGGAAATATTAACATTACAATCATTATACAAAACGTAATGCGGGCACTTGTACGGTTGCAGCGATCAGATAAACATGATGTATTATAGTAGGGAGGGTACTGGGTAGGGAGGAGAGAATAATGACTAGATAGCTAACTCCACACCCCCACTAACCAGCAGATATGTATCATCACAGCATCTCAGAGCCCAGCTCTTCCTCAGACCTAACGGAACATGACGAGAACGACCTAATTAAGATGTTCAAACTGATGAACTCAATCAGTGGTAAACCCGTCGATCTGAAGGATCTAAAACTGAGGTTTTTGAGCAACGGGATGAAAGTTTCGGAGAGCGACTTGGCTTATCTGATGAAGGTAAGGTTGAGTTTATAAGTTATTTACCGAGAGAGCGGGTAGGTAAGAAATAATTTGGTTAACGAGGAAATAGTTAAATGTTTAAATGTATTGTGTGGTGAGGTGTGATAATTAATGAAAGCTGCGAGATGATGTTGCAGTGTCTGGTGAGATATTAGAGTGACTAGATAAAACAGAAGTGAGCTCTTGTCTGGTGAGATGTTAGACTGACTAAATAAAACAGAAGTGAGCTCTTGTCTGGTGAGATATTAGCCTGACTAGATAAAACAGAATTGAGCTCTTGTCTGGTGAGATGTTAGAGTGACTAAATAAAACAGAAGTGAGCTCTTGTCTGGTGAGATATTAGCCTGACTAGATAAAACAGAAGTGAGCTCTTGTCTGGTGAGATATTAGAGTGACTAGATAAAACAGAAGTGAGCTCTTGTCTGGTGAGATATTAGCCTGACTAGATAAAACAGAAGTGAGCTCTTGTCTGGTGAGATGTTAGACTGACTAAATAAAACAGAAGTGAGCTCTTGTCTGGTGAGATGTTAGAGTGACTAGATAAAACAGAAGTGAGCTCTTGTCTGGTGAGATGTTAGAGTAACTAGATAAAACAGAAGTGAGCTCTTGTCTGGTGAGATGTTAGACTGACTAGATAAAACAGAAGTGAGCTCTTGTCTGGTGAGATGTTAGACTGACTAAATAAAACAGAAGTGAGCTCTTGTCTGGTGAGATGTTAGACTGACTAGATAAAACAGAAGTGAGCTCTTGTCTGGTGAGATGTTAGAGTGACTAAATAAAACAAAAGTGAGCTCTTGTCTGGTGAGATGTTAGACTGACTAAATAAAACAAAAGTGAGTTCTTGTCTGGTGAGATATTAGACTGACTAAATAAAACAGAAGTGAGCTCTTGTCTGGTGAGACGTTAGACTGACTAGATAAAACAAAAGTGAGCTCTAGTCTGGTGAGATATTAGCCTGACTGGATATAACAGAAGTGAGCTCTTGTCTGGTGAGATGTTAGACTGACTAGATAAAACAAAAGTGAGTTCTTGTCTGGTGAGATATTAGACTGACTAAATAAAACAAAAGTGAGTTCTTGTCTGGTGAGATGTTAGAGTGAGTTGATAAAACAGAAGTGAGCTCTTGTCTGGTGAGATATTAGACTGACTAAATAAAACAGAAGTGAGCTCTTGTCTGGTGAGATGTTAGACTGACTAGATAAAACAAAAGTGAGTTCTTGTCTGGTGAGATATTAGACTGACTAAATAAAACAAAAGTGAGTTCTTGTCTGGTGAGATGTTAGAGTGAGTTGATAAAACAGAAGTGAGCTCTTGTCTGGTGAGATATTAGACTGACTAAATAAAACAGAAGTGAGCTCTTGTCTGGTGAGATGTTAGAGTGACTAGATAAAACAAAAGTGAGCTCTTGTCTGGTGAGATATTAGACTGACTAAATAAAACAAAAGTGAGTTCTTGTCTGGTGAGATGTTAGACTGACTAAATAAAACAGAAGTGAGCTCTTGTCTGGTGAGATGTTAGAGTGAGTTGATAAAACAGAAGTGAGCTCTTGTCTGGTGAGATGTTAGACTGACTAGATAAAACAAAAGTGAGCTCTTGTCTGGTGAGATGTTAGAGTGACTAAATAAAACAGAAGTGAGCTCTTGTCTGGTGAGATATTAGCCTGACTAGATAAAACAGAAGTGAGCTCTTGTCTGGTGAGATGTTAGACTGACTAAACAAAACAGAAGTGAGCTCTTGTCTGGTGAGATGTTAGACTGACTAGATAAAACAGAAGTGAGCTCTTGTCTGGTGAGATATTAGCCTGACTAAATAAAACAGAAGTGAGTTCTTGTCTGGTGAGATGTTAGACTGACTAAATAAAACAAAAGTGAGCTCTTGTCTGGTGAGATGTTAGACTGACTAAATAAAACAAAAGTGAGCTCTTGTCTGGTGAGATATTAGACTGACTAAATAAAACAAAAGTGAGCTCTTGTCTGGTGAGATGTTAGACTGACTAGATAAAACAGAAGTGAGCTCTTGTCTGGTGAGATGTTAGAGTGACTAAATAAAACAAAAGTGAGCTCTTGTCTGGTGAGATATTAGACTGACTAAATAAAACAGAAGTGAGCTCTTGTCTGGTGAGATATTAGACTGACTAAATAAAACAGAAGTGAGCTCTTGTCTGGTGAGATGTTAGAGTGACTGGATAAAACAGAAGTGAGCTCTTGTCTGGTGAGATATTAGACTGACTAAATAAAACAAAAGTGAGCTCTTGTCTGGTGAGATATTAGACTGACTAAATAAAACAGAAGTGAGTTCTTGTCTGGTGAGATGTTAGACTGACTAGATAAAACAGAAGTGAGCTCTTGTCTGGTGAGATGTTAGACTGACTAGATAAAACAGAAGTGAGCTCTTGTCTGGTGACGGGAGAGCTTTGTTCAAACGGAAGTGTTGACAGGCCTTATTGCACACTACTGGTCCAAAACAACCTACCTGCCGTACGTCATATGGCACTGACAACTTTTCTTCCTTTATAATGACTTCGCGCATGTCTTAAAATCCCGATTTAGATTGTCTTATGAGGTTTATTTTAAGAAAAGCCAAACTGTCTGATACCGAAGAAACCTTACTAAACTGCAAAAGGTGCAATTAATACAACACCCTAACATAATGATAAACCCCGTAGACTTGATTCTAAAGAAAATTGATGCCCAGATTTAGCGAATATTAACTTTGTTAAAGACATAAATTACATCATCGGTCTTATCTGGATTCCGGTAATGTGATAGTGACTGACATAGGCCAGGGGAACAAACAAAAACGATGTGAAGTATGGTCGAACCAGTGGGTTATACCTAGCCGTTTGGGAATATACCTGCCCGACTAAGTGTTTCTGCAAAGACCTACAATTGCCTACAAGCCCTACAATACCTTTTATAGACGTATTGAGGCCAGTAAATCGGGATTGATATCGTATTGAGTATTGATATCCTAATATGTACCTGTCATCAATGGCCGGGTGATGATGGATGCTAGCGATTTTGAAACTGAAACTCTACGTAATCTGCTGATAGTTACCAATTTTACAGGTTTTGGATGAAGAGCTGTACAAGCCAGTCAAGTTTAAGAAGTTCAAGCGAATACTCCGGCCGTACTTTAATCAGGTCAATTATGTTATTATGTCGTAATAAAGCGGGATATTATTAATGGAAGGCGAATTCTTCATATTACGTGACCAAGTATACTTTCTCGTGAAAATATTTTACAGTGGCATGCACAGAGAACCAAAAATATTAGCTTACGGCATAGCTCAGGTAAAACTATTTGATAACAGCATTATCGACAAAAAATTACAAGCCATGAGCGAATGCACTAATTGTCTTGAAATATTTTTCATTTTTTTATCATTACAAACTAAAAGATACGAATTGGATAACTTCACACCCCGTTATATTCTCCTAGGAACATTTATACTCTGATATAAAAGAGAGCTGGGATTTGTTTCCCAAAGATGCAGAAGGGACAATAACTCAGGACACGTTGCGTGGTATTCTCAGTGACCAGGGGATAGAGATTACTAAGGAGGATCTGCAGAGCATGTTCAATCTCATGGATAAGAATAAGGACGGAAAGTTAGATCTCAAGGACTTTGCACAGTATCAGGACTGTTGAAATTGTGTTGGGGACAATATTCTGAAAGCACGTAATCGATAAAGTTTTTGTACGTCCTCAGTAAGATCTAAAAACTTGCCTTGCCCTACAATATTTGGATATTATAATATGTTCGATGAACTATTTACTAATATTATGCAGTAACCATAATATATAATCCAACGAATTTGAAGAATAGTTATTCTCAGAACAGCAATAATATGTTCGAATAATTTATTTAATTTACTTGGTTCGTCTCTCCAAGATCAGCCTGCTTCTCCATTTTACGGTGAAGCCTAATTTCTAGTTTTTATAAATACAATGCAAGTGCATGTTTACTAATTTTACTTAACAACTCAATAGTCTAAGTCACTATACCCGTAGTATATTCCTTGGTAATAGAATAACTTTAAAGTTTTTCAAATTGTTGCTATAATTGATTTAAATAAAAATTTGTTGTTTTCTTGAAATTTGTTGTTTTCTTGAAATTTGTTGTTTTCTTGAAAGCTAGTTATTGGTCATGATTTCAGAAACATAAAGCAAAAAATAAATGGATAGTAATTTTACTTACCAAAGCAAATTGTTTGCACAGTAAGTGGGAAGACAGCATCACCCTATCCTACACCCCCCCAATCCCCCCCCCCCCCCCCCATTTTACTCCATTTACCGTACGCCGCTATCTGGTCACTGGGTGAAAGGACCCATCCACCCCCTCACCCCCCCCCCCCCCCCCCTCATTTTACTCCATTTACCGTACGCCGCTATCTGGTCACCATGGGTGAAAGGACCCATCCACCCCGGCCCCCATGTCAGTAAGTGTGATGTGATCCTAAGCACTTACCGCTCAGCCCCCGTCCCCGGTTGCGATCGTTCGATCAACATAATGCAAGTTATTTGTTGGCACAATGTTAAAGGTCTCTTAAATTTAAATTGTAGCGCTTTAATTTTCTTTCGTGATATTCAAAGTTCTAAATTGGCAAAAACATCCGATCTTTATAAAATCTTTTGATAAGCAGCAAGACTTCCTACCTTAATTAAGTAATTACTATCATACATATTATACATCTTTATCTTTGCACGAATGGAAACGATTAAATCAGAGTACTTAGCTACTCAATCCACGAAAATTACATAAATTGATACTGTTATCAATTATTATGATTCTGACGTAGTTCTGATCACCTGATCGTATAATTGGCTGTTTAGATAAATTACTCTTTTTGTTTGACAGTTTGATACTATGCTTAGCATAATCGGTCGGTTTGGGTTAGTCGAATGACTAATGGCTTTTATTTATTTTACAGTTACAGCTTTGGTCTTTGTCAACTTCGCTATCAAACAAAATAACACTTGGAAATTATACCAAATATCAAACATTCACCCAAAAACCGACAACCACCGCACCGCCGATGTTATCTTGAAATTTAAAATGAGATAAAAAATGTGTTATCACTGGACTCTGATAAATATAACACCTCCTTTTGAACGAAACAATTACTTTGATCACCAGCTGTTCGGTTGAAATCTCGCCCCTGGCCGCTACCTGTAACACCTTATTTGTTAACAGGAATACGTAAAACTTTGCTATGTGGTGTAATCAGAACAATCGGGCATTGTTTGATGATAAGCCGGCAAGAATGTAGGTACCTGTTTAGAAATATTTGTGATATTAAGTATTCCGCTTTGAATTTGTGATAAGTTTAAATGGTTTAATTATTTTGTTGTCGTTTCTTTTTACATTTCTTATTCAAATCCTCGTGCTTCGTGAAAGAAGCACTTTACAGTCTACCCCCTAGCTCTACCGAAAAACAGAAAGATAGAAAATTTTGAATCTTCGAATTTGCTCTGTAGAAAATTGAAATCGTGTTTCCTTGATGCTTTTCTGTCATATCTTCGATTTAAAATTCTAATTTTGCTGTTAGCCCGAGGCGCAGTGCAATGGTTTTATCATGTACAATTTGATGGGTGGTTCACAATTCAGTGAGCTGAACGTAAATTCCATGAGGAATGAGCAGTACTATAACAGAGAGACGTCTAAATTTCCATGTGGAATAAACACGAGTTATAAAAACAAAAAGTGTACATGACGTGCCGCTCAAATCTTCGTAATTGTACCTTTCAGTGATAACATTAACAGCTCATTCATATCAAATTTCATCGACATTCAATTCTAGCCCTAAATTGTTATTGAGTAGATGCCAACAACATTTTTCAACGGAATATATTATTGGCTCTCAATTTACATGAATTGTTTTTCTTAAAGCTGGTCACTCATTCTCTTAAATTTATAACTCTACATAGGAACTCAAATATTTTCTAGTTAAACTATCAGCTTCTACGATATCGGCTTCTACGACATGTCCGCAGACAATTTTAACTTAGGGTAACTCTGATATTTGTATACATCGACCTCACCAAAGCACGTATCTTTAGATAAAGGGGAAGATTTCAGTATGGTTATAAATATAATTGTCAGCACTCAGTATGTTTTAGAATATGTATTTATTCTCCAACATTTACAACTTTGTAGAAGTCTGATAATTTGATTGTTTCTGTTTTCTCTGGAAATTTGATCTCTTTGCTAACGAGGCCAGCAGTCGGGATGAAGATGTCGACAAAAGACCCCTTTGGAGATGATTCAATTTCAACGACAACAGGTATATCACATAACAAACACATGATAATAATTCCATACAATTCAAAAGTTAGTTTCAGAGAATATGGTTATTTTGACCAATCCTTTACTTTTATTTTTGTAGTCATGTATAACTAATGGTATCAAACTGAGTTTAAAACACTTTAATTCATAACAGACTGCAGAAGTAGTTTATGATATTGTATGAAGTATTGTGTAAAAAACAAAACACCTGGTTCGCAATTCGCATAATGGTGGCAGATATTTTTTTCAGAAAAGAATTGAATTAAATTAATATCATAGCTTTAGTCATTACTGATGTGTAGGGTTTACTTTCATCATAATTTTTCTCACCCATGTGTTCTGTGTTCAATCTATTGTTTTATGTCGATTATTCCTTACTTAAACTCTCTGTAATTCTTCATTGATTGATTTCGAGTAAGCTTCAGCAGCCGATTGCACATGACGAACATCTCTAACAGTTACAGTTGACAGCCACGACATATTATTTGATTGTTACTTTGTTGGGAACCGTCCTCTGTTCATTATTTTCAAATCTAATTAATCAGCTATCCCTGCGAACCCCAATATCAACATTCCTTACCTTCTTACCATTAACATTATCGACAGAAACAGATGAAATTTCTTTAGAAACTCTGATGCAGCATAATTACAGTGTCGCCCATGGAAAATATCTTCATTAGCCCTGATCGAATTAGTCGGATTAGGTGCCGATGGAATCGCCTATAAAAACAAAAGTGTGTCTTCTCACAATTATTTCTTTAGAAACAGAGAAGGTCGACTTGGAATAGGAATTGTCTATGCTAGGGTTGAACTTTTAACCCCATGACTCACTGTACACCGTGCAAACTCGAGTTGATTGCTTTATCATGTTTACACACGGGTATATAAATAATTGTGCTCTCGTGGCAGAGCTGGATTGGACAACAATGGTTGGTGTTAACGGGGAAACGTAAAGACAAAAAGTTCTTTGTCCTGCAACTACACAAACATGTTCTCAGACTGTCCTCTCCTCTAAGCTCTATGCTGTGTGCTCATTGTCCTTCGGGCCCGTTTATCTTAAGTACAAGTCTTATACTTTACCGCCTTTATATCTTGATCTCAAGGCTCAGTAAAATTGGCGGTATTGATGACGTAAAATTAAGACTGTGCTGATACCATATATGTCGCCATTGGGGTTATACCTTTGTACATCACACAGTGAATATGTTAAAGTCCATTGTCTTTTAGCCTATAAGAAATAAGCATTCAGTATGTTATTTTCTTCTGGTGACTGGTTATACAACCACTCTGATAAGCCGTTTCTATTTTCATCTAAAAATGTTTTGTCATATTATCTACATCAAATTCAAACCACCGCAAACTCAATGTTCGTTAAAAATTTACTATGTTAAATAGTGTGAACAAAATTATTGCTCGAAATTATTCTGGGTTAAATCCTGTTTGGAATATTGGCATTTACCAGTATGGTCTGATAGAACAGCTCAGTGCATAGCGAACAAAAGATTGTACATACACTGCCAATCTAAACAATATTTAATCAATCTAACCAATATTTAATACTTTAATAAGTCTTTGTCTCGTACCTCTTGAAGTGATATGCGTACTACTGCCATTGCTACATCCTATCCCGTTCTGATATTCAGTCATGTTTTACAAATTCCTGCCAGATATTAGGGAGTATTGTGTTGATAAGTTTTTTTTTCTCTTTATCAGTGTTGTGTGGTCATTGTGTAAGTTGCACCATGATGATTCATCCGCTTTTTGGTATGTTATGTCCGTGCAAATGTTTCTCTATATTGAGATTCACTACCTGAAGAGTACTCAACAGCAAGTTTGGTTAGTTTCCATGTACAGTGTTGAGCTATGTGTGGGCCACACTCTTCGAGTCGTTTCACTGGGCGTCACCTGCAACCCTCTCTTTTCCCGGATATCTATTTTGCAACATTTTGCAACATTAAAAGTTTTACGTTACCTAAGATTTGCTGAGTTATTCAGATATGCTCATATGCAAAACTTCATATGAATAGATGGCTAATTATAGCAGCCGCAACATTCTCAATTTAGAGCAGGAATTATCCTCAAAAGAGTAGTTTTATCAAACTTCGTGTGCTTACACTGTTTATACCAGTAAAGCAGAATGTGTGTTACTGTTGTAGTTACCATAATTCTATAGTGTTCCCTCTTTGTTTTGTTACAGGCGGCTAGTTTGAATCAGTATATTGGTTCCCAGTTCCCACTTCCCACGTACCCCTCTGATTAATCAGATGTGATAGTCGGGACTGGATATTATCCAGCTATAAATTTTAGTATTCCTCGTGATAATATGTCTTCTTTTAGTTATTGTTCGCTACATGATTCATTTTGTGAGTTCGGTCGTTTGATTCTTCATTTCTTAGTCATCCCACATAATTGAACACAACTATAACGCTCATAAGGACCATTATAGTCTGGTCAGTTATGAACGAAATGAGATATTTACCTGCATTTCATAGTAAAGTACAAACTAGACCACTACAACAGTCTTCAGGCAAAGATTCAGGATATGACCTCTCATTTTTTGCGTGAGTTAAAAAATGTTCAGCCCTCTAATATGAAATATAGGTAAACATCTCATTTCGTTCATAAATGACCAGACTATTAGCAAATAAACGCATGGTTATTCTAAAGTGGAGGTCGGAGGAGACTAGTATAGCATTCGCAAACGTTTTTATCGTTCAAATTTAAAATGTAGACGAGTTAGTCACGAGTTAGTCACGAGTTAGTCACGCGGTTTCCTTAAGTCCTTACACCTATCTCCACGTTTACAGGATCAATGCTCGATGATGACGAAGAGGAAATGACATCGTTATCTGAGAGTGACCCCCTGGTGCGGGAGCACAGGAACTCAATCCCACTAAAAACCAAGGGCAGTTCTGACAAGGAGATGACAGGTTCAAGAAATTCTGGATACAGCAAAGTTCAGCTTCATTGATGTGATGTTCCTGGTAGCATTGGGACTGATAGGCATTGCAGATTCAATGCAAGCTTGCTACATCGCTATCGTTCTACCTGTTTTAAAGTAAGTTAGTTGTTTCACGACATGTTCTAACTTGGTATTCTAACCTATACTTATAGTATTGAATGGTAACATGCCAACTCCTCCAACCTCCAATACTGATAGCTGTACCTCAGGTGTCACTGGAGCCTAACTGCCACACAAATAGCGGTTGTAACCTCTCTCTCCTTTACCGGTACCGGTCTGGGAGGTATCGTTATAGGTCCTCTCTCTGACAGGTACGAACTAGATTTGAAGTTATTTATTTGATTAATACTTGCGTTCATTGGTAAGGCAAATAATTTGGACTGATCATTGTCACACGATTGAACATTATTATTTTTGAATTCGGTTCAGTACCCTTTCATCTCTGTACCAAAGTTTTAACCTATAGTAGTAGAATATATTTATATTTTTAGGTACGGAAGAAAACCAACGGCGATGATGACCTCCTTTGTTCTCTTTTTGTCGATGGTGTCATCTTCTTTTTCTCCTGACGTTTACGTCTTCCTTTTCTTCGCAATAGTTGGAGGTCTTTGTGTGGGGGGTTCTCTGTCGATTGCGTACACTTATTGGGCCGAGGTATCCAGCATGGCACACAGGTTTGTTCAATTCGTGACCTTAAACGGTGATATTACATAAAACTAATTGGAGCAGAGGCTTTTATCAATAGTTCAACTTCAATCAAATCTTTCATCGCAGTTTGATTTTGGTCACTCACCTATACGAATCTTGGTATCTATCAGAATTTAGATTTCACATACTTTTGCCCAGGGCGGCTGGCGTAGTCGTTATCACAATGTTCTGGAACTCCGGAATGACAACCTCAAACGGGTTTGCTCTTCTCGTGCTCAACAGAATTGGATGGAGATTATACTCAATTATAATGTCTCTACCAGCACTAGTTGCAGTCATAATACTGTGTTTCCTTCCTGAATCCCCCAAATTTCTAAACAGTAACAGAAAACATGATTCTACAACGCCAATAAAAGCTAGTCTCAAGTAAGTCACATTTAATATTACTGAGGTTAACAATAATTACTATTGTAAGTTGTCACTGTTGCTTCATCTCTGTTAAAGTGTGCAATGTTTAATTATTATATTTTAATAAATTTTACCTCAGACGAAAGCTAAGAGCAGCCAACACAAACCTGAACCTTGATAGAATCACTATATTGAGAGAACCAGGTACTGATCCCCAAACTGGTGGCGGGAACAGTATAATGCGCTCATTTGCAACAATCTGCAGTGATGGATTAAGGTGGGACACCCTCAAAATTCTGGCTAGCTATGCTTGTCTCCAGATGTTGTATAAAGGGCTTCTCTACGTTGTAGCAACAATGTTTGCGCAAAATTTCTGTGGATTGAAAGTAGGAGGTTCAATGTCAGACATCAGTTCAGATAGTGGGGTTGAAGGTTGCGCGACTCTCAGTAACGGAGACTTGATCAGTGGCATTCTCCTCTCGGCTGCATTCTTTCCATCAACTATAGTCAGTGTTTACCTAACAAAGATAATCGGAGCTAGCAGAGCGCTCATAACATTTGCAGTTTGCTGCCTGATATCCTGTGTCATCCTGACGATCTGCCTGCCCGTGCCAATAGGTTTCATAAACCTGGGTATGCTCATCTTCAGTGTGGCAGCCATGTCGCTTGTATTTTACATGATTCTCCCTCAGATGTATCCGACAGTTGCCAGGAACTCAGGTTTCGGTCTGGTTGATGGGGTTGGTAAATTAGTTGCTTCAGTTGGTATTTTTGCGATTACTGCTGCGTTAGACTCATCAGTACGAGGGGCGCTTGGGATTTTGATCATAATATGTCTTCTTATAAACGTGCAGGTCTTTTTCCTGAAGGTTAAAAGTGATGAGCTGGGTTCAGATAGTGAAATAATGAAGGAAGATAACAGTCAATTGCCATACGTTGATTGAAGAAGAAATGATTAGCTGGGATCATCAATTTAGCTTTCACATTTTACCTATCGAATTGGGTTTAAAATCATTTCGAGCGAGAGCAATGTTTTTTATTTTCAATGTACTAGGCGATAATAAGTTTTATTAGGCAATAAATTAATTAGGCTCTAAATTACTGAATAGACATCTAAAAAAGCTTGACTTGATGTGCTGTCACTTTGTAGTACCACATGAAAATTTAGACATATGACAGACCAGAGTTCAACTTAGTGTTGATCAACGGTCTGACGCTAATTACGAAAAGCTTGAAAAGAATCTGATATATGAAGAATGTGACCAGTGCTTCAGTGTGGGAGTGTTCCATCTCTGTTTAACTGGATTGCTGAACATTCTGACACAGTTACACTGCTGGTCATATCTTGTTGTCGGGTTTTCTATCTTGTTTTGTTCAAGCATGCTTGTTATTAACATTTATTTTTTCAAGTTGTGTCGACAAATTCTTAGTTCAAGTAGAAAACCATTAAATATTCACGAGTTCGTTATAAGATATAATTTAACATGATTTGAACCATTTGTAGACTGATCATTGTTTTTGATAACTTTTGATTCTAAATCGGTGATTTTGCTTGTCTGATTATCTGATGACACCTTAAATTCAATTTTGACTAACGTTTTAGATTTTAAAATTTGTAGCTATTGCGAATGAATTCCTCTCTAAAGAGCTAAAGCCTTCTCGTTAAGTCGATCGTAGAAGAAAAATGAGGACCACCGTACTACCAATATTGTAGTCTATTCACTCTATTCCCAAATTCCTGACATTCAAAACTTAGAGTCAATAATTGCAGACTGTGGATATTTAATGAAAGTCATTCGTCCTTTGAATTGTGTGTATTATGTACCTCTCTGAATTGATGAGTTGTCGTTATCAGATTTCGTTGTCGGATGTATAAAATTAAACTACAACCACTGAAACATCATTTGCTTTTCACACTCAGCCTTGTCCCTGGGTGACTACAATAACTCAAGTACTCCAGTCCGAGCGAGCCTGCTCGGGTTTGCTGGGTCTACCGTAGACCAAGGACAAAAGAAAATCGCGATTATTTCGGCCAAAAATCGCTGCGCCGCGACATGCCAAACTAGGCAAAATCGCGGCGAAAGATAATGTATTTGCAGAGCAAGGTTAGATGTCATATATTCGTTAACTAGCTTGTTAGTCTAGTAGTAGTTAGATTAGCTATAAATACTGAGCAGAGCTTGCTTTTAGATCAGCCCTTCCAGACGATCTTGAAAGTTCCTCCCAGCTCGCCATACCTCGCCAGAACGGAACTCGATATTCCACTTCGATTCTGTATTCATATACATGATATTATTATAACTTGTGTTAATACTTTACCATACTACACGTAATCAAACAAATAAACCCTGTTTACAATGAGATAACATTACGTGATCGAATCACGTGTTTTGATAACAAAGCTAGAGACTAAGCACACTGCTTTTCACGCGTTTTATAGACTGATCATGAGTTCCTTTTCACAAATTGTACTAGTCTATAACTAGTAATAGTCTTAACTGTAATTCTAAAGATTATATTTTGTGGGGACCGTGGGCTCATAGTCCGAGTATAAAACAGACACTCCTGAATGTAGACTAAGGTATTATAATCTGCGAAGAGTTCATCGATAAAATCAGATCCAATAACCATTCAAGTAAATTTAATTTAAGTAAATGTTGTATCCGGCCCTCATGATGATGCTATGTTAGTACTAGTAGTCAATAACTACGTCTATGTTTAATTACCTTCAATAGATTCAATAGTCACGAGACACGAGCACATGTCCATCCATAATTCAAATAACAAAAAAATACGTCATGAATTATAACCTTCACTATAAATATAATGATAATAATACTCATTTACCGGGACGTGTAAATAAATAAATATCTCATCAGAGTCCCTTTATCATCGTGAAACAATTAATTTATTATTAGAAGTCTAAACACGCTTACACTAAAGCTTAGGTCTCTTCGAATGTCAAACAAAAGATTTACGGTCCCTGCAATGTAAACGTCGATAGTCATTGTTAATAATAATTGTAGACTCGCCAATTTCTGAAGTTATGTTTTGCCATACTCTGTACATTTTATTGTCGAAAGCACTCACCATTTTGTGAACCAAGTTGTGTTATGATGCATTAATATATTTTCCATTTGTAATGATATAAACTTTTCCAATTTCTTTTTTATTAATGGATGGCGTAAACGGTGGCATTATATTCAATTTCACTGATATTTCTGTATCATATACTTCAAGAATCAAATGCGCAATAATCACAGTATTTTTAACGGAGACTAAAAAACAAATAAACTTAATTTTAAACTTCGTAGATCCTACGAATATGGGGTTTAAATCCTTTAAATTTATTGAAAATAATAATTCAGAATCTGAATCAATGAAGTCACCTCATGATATTGAATAATGATGGGTATGACTATAATATGTACCTAGAATATGTATTACACAGTGGATAAGAGTGTAACATATGCAATGTGTTTGTTAACATATACAATGTTCTGGTGTACCAATTGTTTTCATTCGGTCGCACACTTATCTCATGTTGATAGCACAATATTATGGACCAAATTGACACCATGAAAATAATTCTTTGCAACTTTAGACGCACAATCATTTGGTAATTCTTATCCACACAAACATCGAAATAAATTGAGAGTTTGTTTTTTGCTCCAGCTGTGTAGAAATCTCGATCATGTTGTACTTGTCGGTGAGTTAATTCTTAGTTTATTTCAATCATGCTTTTGTTCTGTTAGTAAAAACAAAGACAATGAAAGGGCATGGCACCAACCAGGCAGTAAACAATGCGGAGTTCTCGTTAGTTTCCGTAACTACGTAACCGTGCACTGGTAGTTTCAGGATTCTAGATAGTTACGTAAAGAAATGTGAATTAAGACACGTATAACGTGTGATAGGTCATAAGTACGATTAAAATTTCCTTCTTATTTCGTCTAATTTCATCTAGTGCTAATATTGGCCACATATAAATCATTTCGCTTATTGTCTTCGTTCCAATTCTTCGTAATTAATATTTAGATTATGTGTGTTATCTTTTAAAATGAATAAATAAAGTTTCGATCATAGTGTTAGTGTCAAACATTTTTGACGAGATCAGAAATATCGAGTATCTCTTGAATCTACCCTACACTAGTGCTGGCTCGAAGTAATATATCATGTAGTGATCATAACGTATCCAAAAGGATGAGGAGGAGGAGGAGATGCCGGAAAGGACAGAGAACGATCCGTTAGTGACACCAGGGAGCAGCATAACAACCTTGAACGATGTGGCAAGAGAAATGTCAGTTCAAGAAGTCTTGGACAAAGGAAAGTTCAATGTGATAGATGTTCTGTATATCATTGCTTTGGGACTTATTGCAATAGCTGACTCGATGCAAGCTTGTTACGTCGCCATTGTTATACCAGATCTTACGTAAGTTTGCTTAGAATAATACAATCGATTAATCAAATTTTAACAAATATTTCTCGTTAAGCAATCTGACATCGATTTCAACTTTATATCTCCTTTAACAATCAGGTGTCTTTGGTCTCTGAGTGCATCGCAACAGTCTGTTTTAACGTCACTCACCTTTTTGGGAACTGGTGTTGGAGGAGTCTTCATCGGGCCTCTTTCGGACAGGTTTATTTCAGACAGACTTAAGTATAAATTCAATAATTTGATTTCTTAGCTAGCATATCATAGTTAGTATACCCGACGATAAATAAACCCTTTAATTTAGCTCCTACATTTACAAAGATCAGATCACTGTATGTGATCCATAGATTTCATTTGATTGTCTATGGAAGTATGAATTGGAGCTTCCTCGACAGCATGAATTTCTGGCTAAACTTCTAAATGTAATAGCTTTGGAGTTTGGTGTCCCCATTTGTTTGAGAAGCTCAATCGACACACTGCAGACCATGAGTGGACATTAACAAAATGTAGATTAATTGACAACCGCTATTGTTTATTGTTGTTATTTGCCATTGTTGAATGATTAAAATTAGAGGTGACATAAGGGAGTTAGGGACAGCAGTCTTACGGAATTTATTAAAAATTCCTGAGATACCAACAGTTTCCAACTTTAAGAACTAAAAACGAGAAGAACTAAAAGAAGAACTAAAATATAATAGATATAGTGAATTTTCTAGAATCCTAGATTAAATATTTATTAAACGTGGTAAATGACAGATTCCACTTTCAGATTTGGAAGAAAGACCTCAGCAATGGTAACGACGATAGTCCTATTCTTCACCATGACTCTAACAGCTACGTCACCCAATTTTTACGTTTTCTTGGTATTCAGTGTCACAGCGGGGATATGTATTGGAGGTTCTTTGACCATCGCATTCACGTACTGGGCAGAAGTTTCTAGCACTTCTCACAGGTATTTTCAGTACGGCGATTGATTGATCAGTAGTTTTGGATTTCTTCAGTTGATTTAAATTACCTTACGGAATCGCAAATGATTAAAATACCAAAGCAATAAAGTCAGGATACACCTTATTTTAAATCGATTTGTCCTTCTAAATTCATAACTTAAAAATCAAACAGGAAACTTGGAATCACTGTCATTACTATTTTTTGGAACTTCGGTATCATGGTATCATATGGAATCGCTTACCTTTCTTTGAACAGCATTGGATGGAAGACGTTTTCATATATTATGGCTATTCCAGCCCTAGTTCCAGCAATATTACTTGCTTTTCTCCGGAATCACCTAAATATCTCAACTCTATTGGAGACATAGACGGAACTGTGGCTGCTTTGAGGTTAGTTATCGAACAAAAGTTTGACCCGTAGTCAAGTTTCTCCACAATCTAATCTTAATTGTCTTATTATAATCTGAGATTAATTAAAGTAGTCTAATATATACTTTAAACATACATGGTAAGACAGTCGAAATCGAATCAATCATATGATCATACGGCATACTCCGCCGTACATCCTCATTCCTCTATATGTTCAACAAATCTCTCCAACAGGACAAAATTAAAAACATCCTGTCTGGAGTTCAATTTGGATGAGATAACAATACTGAAGGAGGCCAGAACGAGAGTGAAGAGCAGCCTCGCAAAGTCAATCTTACAATCTTTTAAAACAATTTGCAGCAGTGACCTGAGATGTGACACACTCAGAGTCATAGGAATTTACTCTTGTCTTCAGATCGTGTTCAAAGGACTCTTGTACATCACCACTGCTGTATTCGCTACCAACCGCTGTGAGACGAACAAGGGACACAAAGTTTGGGGTTCAAATCCTACAGATAATATGCCATTTGGAAAGCCTGTCCAGTGCGCAACTTTGGATGATGCCGATTTGGTGAATGGTGCATTACTTTCTGTTGCTTTCCATGCATCAACAATACTAACCATGATACTAGTGAAGAGGGTCGGAGAATATTGGACTTTGAGATTCCTCTCAGTTTCGACTCTCTTTTTCAGCTGCCTCTTGATATTCTGCATACCGGGCCACATCCAACTCGTTTCTATATTTATGATAGCTGTTGGTGTCGCTGGTATCTCCCTTGTCTTCTTCATTATACTTCCCCAAATCTACCCAACAATAGCTCGCAACTCAGGGTTTGGTTTGGTGGACGGAGTTGGGAAGATTGTGGCATCTTTAGCTGTGTATGCTATAACGACTATCATTAACTATTCTTTAAGAGCAGCGATCTGTGTTTTAGTCGGGATAACAGCTGTTTTGATGGTTCAGATTCTTGTTTTGAGAAATTTGACTGAAACTAGCGAGGAGGTCTCAAAAGAAAATGAATTACAACCACATCAGGATTGAGTTATTATTCTTGGGAAATTAAAGAGAAGACCAAAAGATTAATAAAGTTAACTTTCCTCATACAAAAATAACATGACACCATCAGCACCACAAGCTACAGATATTACTCAGAAAACTTTGTGTACCAAAACCATGGTAGCCATGGGAGTCATACATAGACCATGAGCCATGGGAGTCATACATAAACTTTCAAAATCTTCAAATATTCAATTTACGTGATTATGTATACATTTTAAAGTTTGAATTTATTTGTATATAATATGATATCTTTACCTCATCTTAGTTTCTTATTTGTACAGTTAATTGTAATTTGTTAAAAGTGCAGTTAATACTCTAAATAAAGGATAGGCCTACGCTTACGGACAAATTTACAATCTCACCAAATCGGTTCGGTCGAAGGAGTTTTAACGGGGATCAAATGATATTATTTTGGCCTGACTGTGACTTAATATGGGTGCTGATCGCCTTCAGGTAACCATGGTTAAGTTAATATTCCTCCTGATCACGACGGTCCTCAATATTGATGCCCTCGTTTCGACAGGACCAGATCTGCGTCGTTCAATGTATCGGACTGCTGCTCCCCTTACAGACACAATGGGCTGGTCCATAATATGTGGTGCAACTCATTGTTCACACTGAACAAATGTTTGAACAATGTTCGGCTCTGCTCCCTCAATAAGATCTGACTCTGCTCCCTCATCCGTTCCATCCGCCAGAGGTAAATTATCGGATTGCAAGCGGAGTTGAGGGGGATTGCCATAACGAAAATGAAGGTTATCAAGTGCGATGATTCCGGACAAGACATGAAGTGGGTGAAGTTGTAGAGCAGCATCAATATAGCTACCGGCATGTTGAATAGAAGGTATGTTCCTAGGGGGAATCATGGATTTAGGTAAACTACAGTCAATCGAGACTTTGGTCCTTTTGTAATGGTGGGCCAGATGCTTGCTTTAACGTGATGTCAAACTTTGCATGTAATAGAAATGTTCCATATTATTATTGTCAGATTACTTTTAGAGTTAGGAACATGGCATCATTTAATTTGGTACTCACCCGTTAAAAGCGCGACTGTAACTGTGGCTCTCTTATTCTGCTACCATCAACTTCTCCGCTGCTTTCAGTCCTAGTAACAGTACTCTTCTTCGGCTGAAGCTGGTGGACTAGAACTATAAAGGTCACAATAACAACTGGGACAGGTTACTGAATGCCCAAATAATCAAACACATGAGTTGCCTTGATAGCCACTTCGGGCAAAGAATCTCCGCCAAATGCCAGACAAGACGTAACACAGGAGTGGTAGTAATGTCTACTGTTCCACCAAAATGGAATAGTTCCTCCTACCAAGTAAAACACGAAACCCGCCGGTATGAGCACCAAAATGACATTTCTGTTTATTCTTTTGAAAGGAAATGTAAGGACGTAAACCTTAGAGATGGAGAGTAGAGCTCCGAGGAAGACAGACATGCGACCTAGTGCCGACCACGCGAGCGCCCAAGCATTACAGAAAACCCGGTTGTTGAATAGGACGGGATTCCGAGCATTGAATAGTGAGATACCAACCGGTAGAATTAGGATCGAGATATTGAGATCCACGAAGACCACAGAAGTGTAAAATGTAAATGATCGTGGGTATGTCTCGTTCTTCTTGATGAAATATCGCAGTGCTAGAATGTTGCTCACATTACCAAATACTAGGGTGGAGACACAAAGTATCCCTAAAATGTGGTCCAAGTGCACATTACGAGGGTAATCAGCACGTATAATGGTTTGAATCGTACTTGGAGCACAGGGATAAGTGTCATTTGCACTGCGTTGCCGCTCATATTCTGCTACCCTGGGCAGATTATCTGGGTCAATTAAAGATTATTGTTAAATAATATAAAACAAATATGTCCCTGCCTTCTGGCTTGTAAAAAGGGAGGATGACCACAAAGAAAGGGTTCGGTTGCAGCAGTAGCTTCATTAATTACATTTGAGCATTTGTAATGAAGGTTTTAGAGTGGCAATCCCTTGATTAATTGAGATTTCCCTCCTTTTGGTTTGGATGTGCCACCAAATATCATGTACAGATTTCTATAGAATATTGGCTAGAACCTATTATAATCGCCGTACGGCGTACGGTGTACATACTAATTACTACTGAATACGTTTATAAATTCAGTAGCCGTAAACCCTCGCCTCCACCAGGAGTTTTAACTTTATAAAAGAAAAAAAAGTTACACTACAGCTTGTGAAATTTTTTCATTATTTACAAAAGTACTGTAACGTGAACAGCAAACTAAACAAATAGCGACTAGGCAGCCCAATTGTCGCGTCCGGGCGAGGAGGACTATGCGACATCAGCTTCTGGTCAGGCAACGTTTGGCAAAGTTCCCAAAAAACCCGTCGGTAATTATGTTACGGTTACCTCGATGATGCGTGACTATAGAGGCGCGAATATCTACTCAAGGATCACGAAAGAACGGGAGAGGTATCGAGAGAGCTCTCAAGCTCAAGCTAACCAAAATTCCAAAAGGCGTCGGAGCTATTATTCCATTGCATTATTCTATTATTAAATTATTCCACTGCGTGTCATTACACTGACCGTCTGGTAGGTTTAATACTGCTTACCAACGCTGATTACATTCCAACGGAGGAGATCAGGCCGCTTTACTTATGTCTACTTTTAGTCCCCTAATTTAGGGGACTAAAAGTAAACATACGCCAAAACCGTTAATGATTTGGCTGGAGATTTGACTTCATATTCGGAAAATACAAACAAAAACAATGTTTATGTCGAAATTCAATGTCAAATCAAACTATTATTGTTCAAAAAATGATGTCTTTTAGATTTTACCAAATTCCAACGATTGACTGTGAACAAAACTTTGATTATTGATAAACTGTCAAAAACTGTCAAACTAATCCTCAAACTCCAAGCTAAATACAATCTTCGTGAAATGTCTCACTTCGTGTTAATTTTGAAATCTTAATCAAGTAACCGTAAAATCGAATTAAAAATTCAATCTTTCAAAACGGTTAATTTTTAAATTTAAAAAAGAAAAAAGAAAAAAAGATGCAACCTGCCAAAACCTGGGGTGCCGTCGATGTATGAGGAGGTCATGATAAAATGGTTAACAACTCAAAAGCAAACAAAAACTTATCTATAATAATTATGCAGTCATCTTCCACATATTATTGTATTTTTTAAATTTTTTATGTAAGTTTCCTAAGTCTTAAATTGCTTAAATTTAATTTTGTAATAAAAATTCGGAATCGTTTCAACTACGAATCTTTGAACTGTAAATCATTAACAATTAAGTCAATTAAGTAAATTCCGTAACTATTTTGGATAATCCTCGACAGACAAATGTTGTCTGCTGGTGTCAGTTGATCAAGAAAGTTCAAACAAAGTTAAACGGAAGTTTCCCGAATATGTCCGATTGAGCTGTTTAGTTCATTTTTTCTGGCCACTTTGTTCCTGAGAAATCGCTCCTTTTGTCGCCATCTTCACTATCATCCCAACTTCTGCTTTACTTTCTTCTGCCGCCGCTCCTGTAGTCCCTACTTCTGCTTTACTTCCTTCTGCCGCTGCTCCTGTAGTCCCAACTTCTGTTTTACTTTCTTCTGCCGCCGCTCCAGTAGTCCCTACTTCTGCTTTACTTCCTTCTGCCGCTGCTCCTGTAGTCCCTACTTCTGCTTTACTTCCTTCTGCCGCCGCTCCTGTCTTCCCTACTTCTGGTTTACTTCCTTCCGCCACCGCTCCTGTAGTCCCTACTTCTGCTTTACTTCCTTCTGCCGCTGCTCCTGTCTTCCCTACTTCTGCTTTACTTCCTTCCGCCACCGCTCCTGTAGTCCCTTCTTCTGCTTTACTTTCTTCTGCCGCCGCTCCTGTCTTCCCTACTTCTGCTTTACTTCCTTCCGCCACCGCTCCTGTAGTCCCGTCTTCTGCTTTACTTTCTTCTGCCACTGCTCCTGTCATCCCTTCTTCTGCTTTACTTACTTCTGCTGCTGCTCCTGTCTTCCCTACATCTGCTTTGCTTACTTCTGCTGCTGCTCCTGTCATCCCTTTTTTTGGTTTACTGTTAACTCTTGCTGCTCTTGTAATCGCTGCTTCTTTTTTGTCAGCTTCTGTCGACGATCCCGTCAACCTTGATCCTGTTGTTTCTCCTGCAAAAAATAATCGTTTGATTATTAATATTGGTGATTAAATTAAATATAACCATTGCATGTTTGCACGAGCTTATTACTTTAAATTCTCGAATACTTAGATTTGTAAGCTAACGACTAAATTTCGAACAAAGTTTGAAAGAAAGATGGCGCGGTATTTACCTTGAAGAGGAGTAAGTTGGAAGAGGTTACCGATGGAGAGAAATGGTAGTTTCTTTATCAGCTTCGTCTTTAAAAAGTCTCTAAAGCTGGCTACGGTGAGACCGTACGTGAAGAAATTTGCCATAACGTTAGTGAACAGCACAGCTTCTGTCACTCTGTAGTACCTGTTGAAAAATGGCCCTGGCTCCTCAGAATCTGTTTCTAAGAAAGGCCCAGCGATGAAGTAGACAGTAATGGGAAGGAAGGATATGGTGAAGATTGTTGCAGTGATGACAACAGCCAAGGTTCCTTGCCAGCGTATACTTTCCTGCATTTTTTTAGCCACTCTTCTTGCACTTGTCAGCAACAAGATTGTTGCGATGATGATAATTATATTGGGAGTGAGGTAAGCCAGCACAGTGGTGATCGGCATCAGTGTGTTCCATATCTCGGAGGAGTACCTGTAGTTGTACATGTAGGTCCTGCAGTCAAAGACAACATCGTCCATGTCAACGAGAAGGTGCTGCACTGGAACAGTGAGGGACAATATCCAGAGTCCTGCACACAGCTTGTGTATCTTCATTTTAGACCAGGTCCGTGCTCTCAAAGGATATCTCACCAGAAGAAACTTGCCTACTGACATGGCACCTATGAGAAGTGGGCTCGCAGAGAACACCCAGTAGTTGATGAAGAAGCGAATGAATTTGATGACCTCATTAGAACCACCGCTGTCATAAATCAGTGACACTACTACAGGCATGAGCATGCCTATAGCAGTGAACAGATCACAAACAGCTACATGCTGGATAAACACTACGACTGTCCTGTGTAGACGGAAGGCTTTGTACTTTATGGAAGCAACGAGGATTGTGGTGTCTCCCAGAAGAGAAGATATGACTACTAACGTCAGCCAGCTCCCATAGATGTATCTCTCAGCCTCATTCTTTATCCCAAACAGATCGCAGTCATCGTAGTTGGTGGACATTTTTAAAGGAAATGAGTTGTTAAGCGTGTTAACAACGGTTGGTACCGTTAAAAAGTCTTATGCAAGTTATAGAAATATATGGATGTGTACCAAGATCAGACGCTACCAGTGAAAATACAAAGATTTCTAGACATAACCTTGCTATATTACACTTTGTATCTACCCTACTCAACCTTAGCTTTCACGTAATAATGTGACCTAGTGGCTAGTGTTGCTGCATCCAATTCTTAATCACGAGCGTATTTCTGGAATATGAGAAATATAGAAATAAATAGATGTATCTCTCAGCCTCATTCTTTATCCCAAACAGATCGCAGTCATCGTAGTTGGTAGACATTTTTAAAGGAAATGAGTTGTTAAGCGTGTTAACAACGGTTGGTACCGTTAAAAAGTCTTATGCAAGTTATAGAAATATATGGATGTGTACCAAGATCAGACGCTACCAGTGAAAATACAAAGATTTCTAGACGTAACCTTGCTATATTACACTTTTTATCTACCCTACTCAACCTTAGCTTTCACGTAATAATGTGACCTAGTGTTGCTGCATCCAATTCTTAATCACGAGCGTATTTCTGGAATATGAGAAATATAGAAATAAATAGATGTATCTCTCAGCCTCATTCTTTATCCCAAACAGATCGCAGTCATCGTAGTTGGTGGACATTTGGAAAGGGAAAGATTTGCAAAACGTATTAACTATTACAACGGTGATCGGGACCGTTGAATTGATGTGATTGCTGACTTAACTTAAGCTAATGTTTATTGAACATGTTATCTACCAGTTTTTTTTTTTTTTTTTTTTGGAAAACGAAATTAGATATATACAGAATAGTATTACAGGTTATATATTATGAACATCATCATTGCAAAAATAAAACCCAGTCCATGGGACTGAAAAAAATTAGTTGACTTTCGATTCGAAAGAGTTAAATTCTAAATCATCCATGTTAGATAATTCGTAAGTTTTGTTTGAGGTATTTCTTGATCCTCTAATACACAATAAAATTAATTTCCTAATTAAAAATGATAATTTACACCGATAATAATTTATAATATCGTTGTAATTCTGCTTCTTCTTATAAGCAAGTTTGTTGCAAAGCAGTTTCTCAAATGTCCTGGCTTGAGGTCCCATGCCACCCGTTACTGAATAAATTAATGGAGCGAATGATCCGTGCTCTACATTAAGTATTCTCTCGTTGTAGCATCGTGATTTCTGTTTCTCGGCATTCTCCATAGTCTTCTTTGTCGAATGTTGAAGGTAGGAATTAGAATTGGGATTAATTACCTTAACATCGAAAAAAGCCACTTGGCCCGGCCTATATCTACCAGTTAGCTATGTAATCAGATACAGATACTCAACGTAAAAGTACAAACATATGTCTGCCATTAAGATCAGACGCTACCAATGAAAATGCAAAAATTGCACAATTGATAATACGATCACAGGCAGCTGATCTTAAAGATACTTGGATTCCAAACAATTGTCAATTACAGTAATCTAATTGCAGTGGAGCACACTTATTCATATTAAGTCACATGCTCATGGGTTTCTTGAAATTGTTGTTTTCTTGCTTGATGGTAACCTTACTACTTGAAAAACGAGATTCTGATCACATTTTCTATCGAACACGTACCCAGTTAACCACATATAACTAAGATACAGATACTCAAGGAAAAGTTTTGTCTAAGCAAGTGAATGACTTGTAGAAATATGACTTGCAAATGTAGATATCAGGGACTTGGAAATTGTATATGTGCCTAGATTGTATAAATGAAACTCAATTAATATCAGTATAGGTAGCTGGGACCCATTTCTCTTGAATAACGAACTTTCATAACTGTAATTTGCATATTTATTTTCATTTGATAACTTTTGTTAGTTCACTTTGACTTATTAGTGTACGCCTAAGTTAACCAAACCCACTAATGATCATTATTCGATATTGATTTAAAACTTCTTTTGAAAATGGCTTAAAAGTTTTACACTTGAACTATTATTTATTTAGTGTGCCCAGAATTTTGTATTCTAGTTCTACTTGTCTGTATATCATCAATTTTAAAAGTAAAAAGGATCAGGAATATTTAAAATTTATCCAGAAAAGATAAACGTTTCTGTTGGTCTGTTATTTGATTTTTATTGTTCTAGAATACTTTGATGAGCATCTGAGAAAGACAACTGTCAAGAAAGATAGAGTAATAAATAAAAATCTCATAGTCATTATATGGGGAACAGTTGATCAACTTAGAACTAGGGTTCTTGTGAATAATTATACTTGATCTCTAGGATATTGATTAATAATTATGCTTAGGGCCGAGAGCTGTACTTATATACCACCTTCTTATTGGCTGATTATTCAGCCAATGGTATGGCTTATAGTTTGCAGAGAGCTGTACTACAATATACCTTGTCGGACTTTATTAGGGCGGACATTACGTGGGCGGGCATTACACGGGCGGTCATTACTCGGGCAGACATAATGATGGGCGCGACTGCAACGAAATTGACTACAGTTGACTGTTTAACTGTGGTATCACCTATACGGAATTTAATTTGACTGGTCATAATTGATAGGATGGAATTTATGTGTTCGGTTTATTAATGGCGGTAAACCTACAACGACTACGAGGCACCGTGTGTTTAATTAATCAGTTTCGTTTTTAAATAAAAGAGAAAAAAAGACATTTTTTTAAGCACATTATATAACATAGGGTTATAGTCTTACCATATTAACATTCATCTACAATTCTTTATACATGAGAAAACGCTTCATATCATGTAATACTGCAACCTCGGTGCGCCCATCACTCTGCATTAGGAGTTGTGGTTGCTGTGCTGCATGATCTGGATCATCAGTTATAACGAAAAATAACGCACTGTTTAAATTTAATTAATATTTGTAAAATGGTCAGCAGCAGGCGTGAACACTGAACAGTCTACCACAATAAATACATTCAGTAAAGTAGTAAGACTGTTATAAGTAAGAAAACAAACTTGAGCTGAGTACCGACAAAACGTGAGTTCAGGGGAAATGAGGTGAAACATTTATCATAAATAAAAAAGGTGCAAGCAATCAAATCAAAGTAAAAGTAGTGTAGCGTAAGCTAAAATTGGCAGCCAATAGTTAAAATAGTTGTCTGTGGATGAGGCACCAGATGTCACTTTAGCACAAGACAGGAGATCAGTGTTGACCCATCCAACACCTTTGACACAGTAGATCGGGTAAGAATACTTATCTGAAATAGGAAAATGTTATACTTCACAAAAGCCAAAAAAGATATCAATGACGACTTAAACGTCGTGATATCGATGCTCAATCGATGTTTGAGATAAAACTTGTCCTTTTTAGAATTAAATTCACCCCAAAATAATAATAAATCAAGGTTGTGTTGTTTACCTCCAGCACATTCGACGTAAATAGGTTCGTTATCATTAACTGGGTAGTACGGATACCCAGTCTCGTAATTTGGCTGAACACTCAACGTGTGAATTCCTTCATTCAGCGGATAATTGCAGCCTTCTGTCAGGAGGATAAGGGTGGATGATATCGTTACTGATTAGTGGAGACCGATGTCTTATTCAGAAATTGAGTACGCTAACCAGAAAGAATTGATGTTGAAATAAGCCTTTATCAAAATCAATACTACTATGAGAAAAAAAATATGAAAAACTATGATTAATACGAACCCACACAAGTTCTTATATATCCTGTGTATCCAGTTGATGTACATCTGATACCCTGTTTTCCATTGTCTCCAACAGCGTCACTGTACCCTCTTTTACACGAAACTTTAATCTCCTGATCGGACACAATTAATAAACCTAAACTATATTTGAAATACTGATCGTGATAAGATCATACGTTTACCACAATTTCTTTCAGACTGGGAGAATCATCAACATTTCTAATCTAAAGTTCGTCTGAAACTTATAAAACTATAATACCCTCCTCCCTAAGTTCCTCGTCTTAAGATCACCTTGGTGGAGTCAGTGTAGACAGGAGCGAGAGCCAGGTCAGTCTGGTAGGTCATGTCAGGGTAGTCCACTATGTAGTTATCATCCGGCACTTGTGCACAACCAACTGGGTGGTGTAAGTCGTGGTGTTAGGTACTGGTTCAGTACAGCTGGTTTCACTTTTCAAGTCATTTTTACACTGACGAAAAAAGTCGTGGACGCAAACCGCATCCTTTGGTTTTAAGCTGTTTTTGTGGATAAATATACGAAAGAAAACATCTTTATATGAAATACCTACATGCGCACCACTTGTCATCTGCAAATATGTTAGGTGATATGATGCCTTTGGAACAGGTGACGGTGATCTTCTCCCTGAAAAAGATCTCGTTCTTGCTGACTCCATCCACTGCCAGCACAGAGTTTACAAAACTTCTACCCCACTGAATTAAAATAATCGTTAACACCAGAGCAAGTATTTTTATACCCCAATTAAAAATCTGACTTCCTTCATTCAATTTTAGGAACACAAGAAATCGCGAATAGAACCACAAAATGATGAAACAACGCCCCCGAATACCGGGACCCCACAAAACCACATACCATTCACTTCGCACTTCAGACACTACTTGGTAACCCTAACAACACTGACCTGTTTGCAGTACACATTAGCGTCCATACCATCGTTAATACGGTACCCACTCGGATTGGGAACTATTTGCAGCTGGCTACTATAATACGGAGGGACAACACAGTAAGTACAGTTCACTCCCTCCCAACAGTTCTCAGTGGTCCGCTTCGTTACCTTGATCCCTATTATATTATTCGTGTGTCAAGTTAATTTGTTATATAGTTGGTTAAGCTGTTAATCGTGTGGAAAGTAATCAGTGTTACTTAATTTTAAAGTGATAAATCAGAAAAGTAATTGAAGAATAATATTCACCAGAAAGTTGGACGACCAAAACGATCAGAAGGCAAATGTGAACACAAAACCATCTTCGATCCATGTCTTCTATTAGCCATATTAATCGAGTGGCAACGTCATTCTAACTAATTAGCTTCATCCTAAATTGCAGATATTACATTGGTTTAAACGATTTAAAAAGGCACGTTCATAACATTATGAAGGGGAGGGCATGGGAATTGGAAATATTTGGGCAAACGATTTTATTTCATCCATACTTTCTGGAAATACTGAATACATCTAGTTTCTTGATTCTTCTGATATAAAATTATGAGAGACGAGAAAATATAACCACGTCTATATTATCTGATGAATAGTACAACAACTGATATCACTAAAATGTTTATCGTATCGTAACAAAAATGTATGCTTGCATTAGCTGAAGTTCCTAGGATACTTTTGATTTCCCTTTTACAATTTAACTTTTCAAGTCCTTCCCATCCAAAGTCAGGTCGACATATTATTGTCTTTGTTGATGTGGATCCTCTGCAATCTACCTGAAAGAGAATAGCGTTATGAGTCTTGAGGTTCAACTATTTAAGCAAGATGTGGTGATGTAACACAGGAGTTAACATAGATTTAAGCACGGGATCCTTCATTCGGGCTCATGTAATGACAAGCGAAACATTATAGTTGAAAAGTGCTGGTTTCAGAACTATCGCCTGGATTTCACAGTCAAACTGTAGTTCAAACTACCTTACTCGGGAATATTATAGCGGGTTAATTTATGACTGGGAAAATTAATGACCGGGAAAAATATGGCGGAATTTTCCAAAACCCACCAAGCATCAAAATGTATTACTATTAGTTTACCTTACTCGGGAACATTATAGCGGGTTAATTTATGACTGGGAAAATGAATGACTGGGAAAAATATGGCGGAATTTTCCAAAACCCACCACTTTATCCCAGTCATAATATTCCCGAGTAAGGTACCCGCTATAATACTTCCCATACTTATATATTATTGTAGCGACGAAAATATTACGAGTTTACCTTGAGCATAGCGTCAGGTGCAAAAGGTGGTGACCCCACCATGTAGTTAGGACTACCACTAATAGAGCTTATACCGTCTGAAGTATCTACTGGGTGGTCACATCCCGCTGAAAACAAATTTTTTTAATCGTTCACTCAAAGTCACGATCTTTTCTAAAGAATCACACTATACTGGAAAAAGAGGTGTTGCAAGTCAGTCGTATTCACTGATCTGAAGTCTGAACAATAGATGTGTATTCTGGTGGAGAGGTGCTAGGACTGAGGCAACAGTTATCCAATCAGGTTCCACTATTGAGCAATAAAACCCCTCACTTCCCCACTAGAATCCACCTTTATAGAGGGAATGGATCAACTATAATAATCAATACCAGTAAAGATATTACCTACACAGTTGATAAGATATTTGTCGTAACTACCAGACTTGTCACATTTCACCCTCTGGTGCCCATTGTCGCCTATTGCCTGATGATTATAAGTAAGATGACTAAACAATCTAACACTTCTTTTCATTGAACAAAAATATCACTTCTCTGTTATTTTGCTGCTGAAACTTGCAAGAGTTAACCAGAAAACACAAAATGAAAGATATCGCATCACCTGCACATACCCAGGGGCACATTCTAGTATGATCTCCTTGTCAGTGGGAGCCACTGGAGACAGCATCTCATCAGTTCTGTTCACCCCGTCTGGATACTTCAGATTGTAGGACTTATCAGGAATCCGAACACAACCCCCTGTACATTGATTAACTGCTATCATTTACATTTCATTAAGGTGGTGAGTGCTGTTGCAATTGTTACCATGCAACGTTATTATAAATTCTCATCAAAAAGCGTTAAAAAATATTGCCTAAAAGGTGTTAATAATCCAAAAAACTTACGTCTGCACCAATTGTATGTTTCGTTAAAGAAAGGTGGTGTTAAAGTGCCATTATACTGACAATTAATCTCGATTACGCCAGTTTTATAAACTGCTTCTTCGGTGATTCCCTCTATACTGTAGACTTTGTTCACGAATGTCTCCCCGTACTGAAATAGTAGTTTATAATTATATTTATTGGTTGGATCATACGAATTCTCCGATTACAAAAACCATAACCACAATCTGATAATTGCCGACCTAAGTTTAGGCCACATTTCTGTGCTTATAAAAGTTTAAAAGAGCTCCGATGAATTCATATCATAAACATCTTTCCCCATTTAAACAAAAAATACTTACATTTTTACAAGTGATATAGTAAGTTCCGTTTTCGGACAGCTTGTTACCGTTGGGAAGAGGTGCCACATTGAGATATGTTTCATAAATAGCATCAATACCACAAGTAGCGGAGTGTATTTGATGTACTACACCGGGGGAACTTTGTTAATATAATGACTTTATTAATGTACATATTTTTTTTATTCGCCGATTTTTTGATTTCTTTATTTTAACAATGACATTGGAAAGTATCTGAAGAATAACTGGAAAACAAAGAAATTTTTGAAATTCAAAAATAAGAATGCAAAATTAAACGCTTACTTCTAAGTGAGAAGATTGTGATAATAAACCATTCTTTCAGCTTCATCCTATGAGAAATTGGAACTTTTAATTCTTAAAGAATCTTCAGACGTTTGGTTTGTTAACCTGGATATATTTAATGATATCATAACTCCAACCAGACATCACAATGCTGGGTGTTTATCGACACAACTGTAAGTAAAACTTATAACTTTTGATATCTAAAAAGCGTTTACAAAATCATAAGAATATAAGATTTCATGGTAACATGATCACATAGAAAAAAGATACTGCCAGAAGATGGGACAATAAATCAGATCGTTCTGAACCATTTTTATCCTTCAAGTCTAATAAATCAGTCTTTTTGTCTTTTTCATCAGTTTGTGTTGAATTGGTGTTCGAATCCTCAACAGGCGCCACATAATCAGCTGAGCACTGTCCGTCTTGTTGCTCCTTCAACTCCTCAACCCCAGTCCAACCCTTACCTGCCTCACACACCATAGTTACCACAGTGTTCCCCTCGACCCTCTTGTTGCAGTCCACTGTCAGCTGAGAAAGACCTCATTAAACAGCTACTTTTTAGAAAGCCGTGAAAATAAATGTAGAAATAGGAAAAAATACTTTTTGGTGTGCATCAACAACCAAACTACCAGTAAAATACAACAACATAGTTACATGTGTTCCAGTAGGATACGGTGCTTTTCCACTTCCAGCTTTATTGGGAGCTAAAAGAGCTGATCTGTTCAGCAAGTTAAACTCCAAGTTGAACGGAATATCACAACCAGCTAAAAAGAAACGGCTGTGAGGCAATATATACTGCGTTCATCTTTTAATCTTTTTTCATCATTCAAACATCTTAACTTTAAGAGCACAAAGTCGTAAACTCTTGGATACGATCAAGTTAGAATTTGATGGTGCTCATGCTCATGTCACAAATTAAAAACCTACCAGAACAAATGATAGCCTGTGTGTTGTAGCCAGTTTCAGTGCACCTAACTTCTTTGGAGCCGTTATCTCCAACAACAGTCATGTAACCGTTCTGACACGAAACACTTATCACATACAGTGGATTTGCTGATACTGGTGCATGTAGTTTACCTGAAAATGGAGGTTGATATCTTCTTGTTGCTGATTGGTTATGATTATAAGCGTTCGCAAACTTTGCTCTCTAGTTTCCTCCATCTAAATTCATAGCCCTAGATTTATCGCTTACCATATTGTCGGAGAGGATTCTTTTTACGAGACTGCGTGGTGTATCCGTAAGTTACTTTGTAGTAATTCTCAGGAAACTTAGAGCACCCCTCTGAAATCAATCATCTCAAGAAATCAGCCACACCCCTGATTAAAATTTAAGTGAAAATCTTAATGGGACCTCATACATTGTACTTATGGAAGATTCCACTGATTCAGAAATCAGAGACTGAGCTAATTTTCAAAATTATCTGACTGATGAACATTCTATGTAATTAGTTAATATTTGATTACTCAGCACTCAGCACTCAGCACTCAGCACTCAGCACTCAGCACTCAGCACTCAGCACTCAGCACTCAGCACTCAGCACTCAGCACTCAGCACTCAGCACTCAGCACTCAGCACTCAGCACTCAGCACTCAGCGCTCAGCACTCAGCACTCAGCACTCAGCACTCAGCACTCAGCACTCAGCACTCAGCACTCAGCACTCAGCACTCAGCACTCCGCACTCCGCACTCAGAACCCAACACTCAGCACTCAGCACTCAGCACTCAGCACTCAGCACTCAGAACTCAGCACTCAGCACTCAGCACTCAGCACTCAGCACTCAGCACTCAGCACTCAGCACTCTTACTGTTGCACCAGAGTGTCTGGAGGAAGATGTTGGGCTGCATAGCTCCGTTCCGGCAAGTTATCAGAATGTAAGAGGAGAAGAAAATATCCGATACTGACACTCCGTTTATCTGCAGTAGTTCATAGTGTAAAACGCAAATGGGTATGTTGATCAAACATTGAGAAAATAAATTTAGCTATTGAGACTTAGATACAAAAAAACTCGCCAAGTTGGACGATTGGGTGGTTGTTTATCAGCCACATAAAAATAAAGAACGTTTATCATATCGTCCCATTAGACATAACAACAGTTCATCACAGATCAAAAGATTATAGCATACACTGTACATGTGATTCATGAATGTGTATCCGGAGGTACGGCAGAGAACTGTAATGGTGTGACCGTGTTCTACTTTGTTGCCACGTGGAATAGGGATTATGTTTAGCTGTTTTTCGTAGTCGTTAGGAATTGTACAGGAACTGTATGTGGGCCTCTCAGCTTGACCCTGAATGAGGTTGGGGAGGAGGAGGAGAAGGAGTGTGCCCCACAACATCATGCTACCTGCTAGTAAGAAGTCTTAGCTTTTTGTTATTTCAATCAGTTGGTACTTATGGTTCCAGAATCCCGAGGAATTGAGAAAGAAAATAAATGTGCATTCGTATAAATGATCATTTCCTTATTTAACATATCCACGAATTTGATTAACACGGTGTTCATTTAGATATATTGTATTTGAAGTCAGTTTTGAGGACACTATAAAATGTTAACAATTTCACTACAACAAGGGCGTCACAATTGTTGGTTATGTGATCACTGATCCATGATTATCAAAATTACAAACTGGGAAAACTGTCAAATCTGCATGATCATATGCTCGGATACTGAGAAGCTGAAATATATAGCATTATTAGCACTGTAATAAATCAGCAAGATTGAGTGGGCCAGGCCAAATAAATACTTTTCCTGCATATCAACAGAACGGTGACAATGTAGGGATGCCTGATTAGATATTTAAAAAAAGAAGAGTACAGAACGAATTTCAAAAAACGTCCAAGTAAATATTAAAAACTAACAAAACGTACATTACACTTAATAAAATAAAAACAGGGTGCCCGAAAGTTCTAAGAGCGTTATTTTTCCTGAAAACACCAGTCTTGGTGGTTGAATTTCCCGTTGAATTTCCCGTGGAGTTAGCTGTTTTGTTGACGAGAACTGCTTTATACCGACAATCCAAGTTCAGCCAGTCTGGACCACCCACCCAACCTATACCATCTGTACATGTGACTATAGCGCTGTCCTTAAACTTGCCGTTACAAAGAACTGTCACTGAGAATCCTGAAAATTGAAAACTAACAGTGATAGAAAAACCGACCAGAGTTGCGTTCCAGCAATTATCCCAGTGGTTGGGCTCGAAGTTGATTCCACAATGAAATATTGTGCAGACAAAACTATTTCACAGATAATGCATAAAAAAGTTGTTCAGTAATAACCTATTGAATAAGGAGGATCCTTGACCGACGTTATTTGTGGTTCTGGATCGTAAATATGCTTTGAGTCTCCTTCGTCAGGAGGCTTCAGCTTCGGATAGTCACACCCCGCTGAAACGACACAGACTAGCAGATTTTATTAATTTTAATAATAATTCAAGAAGATTTATCACTAAGTCATTGGAAGTTGAAGCAATACTGATAAATTATGCTACATTTTATAAACTTCTAAAATCAATAATGAGTATTTACCGACGCAATGGATGGGAATCCTATCATACCCTCCTTCATTGCACCTGACCCAAGGTGACCCTCTGTCCTGATAGATCCGAGCGTAACCATCGTTACAGTTAAACCTTATTAGTTCCATGGGCTGAGGGTACACAGGGGCTTTATCAGTCTCAGCTTGCAATAGGTAGGTACTTGGGTTTGATATGTTGCCATATACAGCTGTGTAGGCATCCGTAGGAGCTTTAGGACATCCTCCTGTTTAACAGTTACATTGTATTAGGTCAGCTGTGAACTTCAACTTCGGAGCTACTCACATTTTTTAGTGTTTCAAGCTATAATGAATTTTCAGATTTCAGCTTTCCGCGACCCAAATTTCACTGTTTTGACTGAACTTTTCTTGAATGATCATCTTACAAGGTCACTGAGGATGGCGCAAGACACGATTGAGGTACTGAAAGCTTTATTCCCAAAGAAAGATTTGATAAAACTATAAAAGGAAAATCATCAGAATATAAAAAGATATTTTGGAAGATTTTTGAAAAGGAGCTTTCCTGCCGTCCCCTTGACCGAAATTTCGCGGTTTTGACTGAAATTTTGACCAGTGACAAATCAGTGAGGTCGGTGAGAGTGACACAAGTCGCCATCAAGGTACCGGAATTGCAGCATATCCGGTGAAAAATTTGATGCGATGAAAATTTTGAATATGTTCTACCACTTGTGAATATCTTGATAAATGATAATGTATATATTGGTTAGATTGACTGATTTTTAATAGTCTGGCAGTCACCATAAGTATAACTTCTGCATTCACCACGCGCACGTCTGACAAACGCATTCACATAATGACCTAGAAAATTCTCCATAATCTCTGATAATTCTCAAAGTCAACGTGTTTGCAAATTGTGCAATTGTGTCCAAACTTACGGTCACACCAGGATGTTCTGTTGACAAAGAGACTGGGAGCAAGGGATCCGTATTTGCAGGTCAGCGTTATTGCAGAATCAAAGAATATGGCTGAAGTGTAGACGCCTTGTATGTTATAAACAGCGTTGGTAAACGTGTATCCTGGTTCTTTACACATTACCTGAAATTTATTATTTAAGAGATGATTATGAGTCTTTAATCTGTATTATAGCAGCGATTTTCTGATGTTGTCAAATGTTCATTCTCCCTGAAATTATTTGATTAATAAGATCGTGACTAGGTCGTGAAGACGGTATATCTGATAGTACGTTTGTTATGGTGGGGGAAATGATCTTTAAGTTATCAAATTTTCTTTTGTCGGTAATGTTTAATAATTCCGATGAGGGCGATGCTGAGGGGGAGGTAATTACGAGGACAGGGTTTGTAAATTAAGGGGCACATCTAATGCACTACACATAGATTGAAGTTTTAATGTATCGTACGTAAAGTTCCACAACTTCATGAGGCTACCGTGCACTGGCTTAACTACAACAGCCGCGAACTTCCCTTACATTTTATTGCTTGTTCTTTATTGAGCTTCCTTCATAGAGTTTCCAAATCTTTTTCATTTATTGCTCTGAACTTTGCAGGTCTAATTATACTGGTTTTGCGATTCATCGTTTTATAAAACTGACCGAGCCACCGCAGTGGTGCTCTGAGAACAGCTCATGACCAGCATCTCAATGAATGTGTTTAATCAAAGGAATATTGTCCTCGTTTTGATGACTTTGAACGCGGTATTGGCTGTCGCTGCAAGTGATAATTCACTCAACAACTCCCTCCTACACTTGCTGGATAATGAATATCTCAAAACCATCACCTTCCTCGCTAAGTTTAAAGTTTTGGGAGGTCAGAATCCTGATATTGACGATAAGAGAACAGAAATGTGTCTCTCAAAACTTCAAAGTTTGATGAACGAAAGGACTCCAGAGAGTATTGGATTTATGGATGCTGCCGGAAAACCAGGACCAGGTATCATATCAGGTAATCTGATCTGGATGGGTAATTACGAAATGTGCGAAACTCTGAGGAATCTGACTAAAGAAAACTACCGAAACTGTAAAGTGACTGCCTCGATCTCGGTTGCAGGAGTAACCTTGCCTAATCCAGTCAAATGGACAGGGTGTTTACCACCACAGTGTCTAAACGGTAACTTGGACGGTGTCCTACCTCAGTTCAGTGACTGGGTAAGTGACAAGACCAATGGGAGCATCTCATTTAATCCTGAAGAGTGGTCATCAGAATGTTCATCTGACATAAAACTTGATACGGGAGCATATGTAGCTATTACCATTTTCAGTATCATAGGTATTCTCGTAGCAGCTGGAACACTGTGGCACCTTATCCAACCCATCATTCTAAGTCTTAAAGAAGTTGATGATAATGAAGCATTGGAGCTGCTACAATGCTCCAATGCTAAACGTCAACGTAAACAAGATAAAGCTAAAAGTGATCCATTGGCGATAAAGATAATCAGCTGCTTTGCTCTTCAACGGACGATTGGAGAATTAGTATCGACCGAAACTAAGCCAGGCCAGGTGCTGTGCGTAAATGGAATTAGAGTCATCAGCAAAAATTGGATAATCCTAGGCCATTGTGTCTTTTACATGTTCAATGAAATTTCAGATTTCAGTTACCTGTCTAAACTGATGAAACGGAGATCATTCTCTATGGTAGTTAACGCATACCCCTGTGTGGACTCATTCTTTGTTCTGAGCGGGTTCATAGTGACCTATGTGTTGTTGAGGAAGTTGAGAACCCACGGTATCTTTACTCCAGTACAGTGGGTAGTATTCTATCTGCACAGGTACATTCGACTTACTGCTCCTTATCTAGTGATGCTCCTTGTGGACGGTTTCTTATATCGTCAAATGGTGGAAGGAACACTCCAGCTGGATATCAATCGAGCGTCAAGTCATGAAATGTGTAAGGAATACTGGTACACATACATCCTGTATGTAAACAACATTGTTCCCTGGACCCCAAAACACAACACCTCTTGTTTTGGTGGAAGTTGGTTTATTGCAAATTACTTCCAGTTCTTTATCGTGACCCCCATCTTCGTGGTGCTTCTGAACAAGAAACCAATGCTGGGTGTAATGGTTACAATTGGGGCTGTTACATCGTCCTGTGTGCTGGCAGCTTCCCTTACAGCTTACCTTAATCTGGGTCCAACAATGTTACTGGGAAACGCAGGGAACTACTTACTGCTGTATAGAGTTCCGTGGATCAGGGTGACAGCCTTTCTGATCGGTGTGTTGGGAGGTTGGTTTTATTGGGTCTTTGGAGATACCATGACAGACAAGATGAGGACACTGAATGCTTGGAAGAAGTTTGTGTGCGCGGCTCCCATATGGGTAGGTACAGTAGCAACACAGTATGCGGTAGTGTTCGGACTCTACCAAGATATGCTGAACGCTATAGAGAAGGGAATCAACCCCGACCCTTCAGAGAGGATTGTGAGCGAAGTGGATAGTGTCTCTTATCAACTACTGTCGAGAGTGACCTGGTCTCTTGCCTTGACAGCACAAATATACCTTTGTCAGTGCGGACTAGGTGGTGTCATTAACTCGTTTCTCAGTTGGAGCGGGTGGAATGTCATGTCCAAACTCACTTACTCGGTTTACATGGTTCATGTAGGTTTCCTTGGAGTGTTGATGTCCCAGCTGAAACATCCGTTTTATATTGGACCTGATTTCGAGTTTGTAGTGTTTTATTTTGGTGTTACTGCTGTGTCCTATTTGGGTGCAACTGTGCTATATGTTTGTGTTGAACAGCCGGTTGCTTTTCTGGAGGGTTTGATTTTCAAGAGGCGTTCATGAGATAATAAAAACAATGATATACTAGATCTTTTTCTTATTGGTGGAGTTGTGCCTTAATGAAGGTGTAATATATAGTAGTGCATGCAACTGAATTCATTTTTCATTTGGTTCGGTTTTTTTTTCTTGACTCGGGTGGTAATTATGTGCACTGGTTCTATGACTTAATAAAAGATCAGATCGCCCAAAGATAAGTAATCAAACAAAGAAAATTATCATATATATATATATATGATAATTTTCTTTGTTTGATTACTTATAGTTATCGTATATATCCAAAATAATAAGTATATGAAATAAATAAAAGTCCTACCACAGCGGTATCAGAATGTTTGAGGAAGTTGTTTCTCGGAGTTGGGCCTACAATTAATTTGTCTTCCCACCCTTGTGGAACGGGACATGCGTCATACTGAGGTCGTTCCACTGCTGAGCTCGATTGTGCTGGTACCACTGCTGATAAGGCATGTGAATTTAGTTGGTCAACATGTTTACAAGATCTAAAAGTTTCTGTAGTTTTAGCCAGAAGCGTAATATTTATTTCCTTGATACATCCCGTGTCACAAGTACTGTAGACAGTAAAATTATCGATCGACAAATACAATCGTTAGAAAAATATTTTGCTAGATCATCGTAGTTAATCAAAGACTTACTCACCAAAAAGAGCTATCACAAAAATAATTGCCACAAAAATCATCACAGTACAAGACATTGTTGAGAACAGTCCTTACCCGGATGTTCTGGTTCTAAACGAGCAAAAAACACACAAAACCAGTGTTTAACAAGTACAAAATGTACCCTCGCGGCCCTGCCCGGTGTAGGAAATGTTTTACCGGTTATAGTCTTCTCTTGTTTTATACCAATCTGCAACTCTTAATGTTTGATGTCATCGCGCAGTTTTAAATTCGTATTGCTTTCATTCTTCATCTCCTGCTTTCTGCTCCACCAGACAAATGGTAAGTCACGGTCTGTTGCAGCGTGTTCTACACCCGTGATCGTCGATCTGAGATTAAATTATTTGCATATTTGGTCAAAATTCAGTAATTCTGCTCAGACGGCATTTAAAAAATCTGTCAAAATTCGTATAAGATGAAATTAATTCTGCGTGTGTCTGGCAGGTTCAATTTGTTATAACGAAAAATTGGTTGAAAGCAGGACTGAGATGCAGCAAGTGGAGACCGGAACTGGTAGCGTCTCAAACATCCCAGCAAAGCTGTCAGATGGGCAAAGTATTACAGTCATCTGTAAAAATGCACGACATGTTTTCGTGAATCAGATACGCAGTAAACCGGGGGTGTAAGTTCTTCTTTGAGTAGTCTTCGGTAGAAATATATTTTACCGTCAACTTGATTTGATGCTCAAATTTGCACTAAAACTTTAAAAGCTGATCTATACCACTTTATGTCATGACGCATAAAACACTTTGCACCTGCCAGAGTCTGGGTGGTATTATGTCACGTGACACTGACTATCCTCTCCAGGGATACTGACCTGATAGACGAGGTGCTGGCTGTAAACCCAAACTCCCTTCACTTACAAAAAGGAGAGATAGCTGTTAGATGTGAAGGAGGAGCTCTCAAACCAGATATATTTACTGGGATCTCTACTTGGTGCGCAGGTACTCCTCCCATCCCTTTATTCTGGTTATAGACTACAAAGTCAGGGTAATACTATGATAGTATAACTTGATTGCACATAATATTATGCATGGAACATGCATTCGACACCACAAAAACACACAACGTTTGGGTTTTAAATCATCTATCCTCTGATCTGTTAATGTTATGTACATATATACCCACAGAGGGATGCAGTCCTATACCGGAGACCATGCTGACCTTCCACCAAGTCTCATACTCTCCTACCTCCATCTCCATCTCCCCAACTACTCCCCCTATTCTTAAGAGCATCAAGGGGTACATAACTGGTAATAAGCTTTACTTATCTATAAACTGTTAAATGTAAATTACTTGAAGTCACCGATCATTGCAATGATTGTAAAACCATGCAAGTGATTAATTGGTTAGTATCACACCACTCACTCACTCAGACAGAATCAAATTTAAATCAAATCAAATCAAATCAAATCAAATCTATCATTTAAGTTAAACAATTTCGACCTGTGATGTTCTGAAAGGCATAATTTAATCAATAATGCCCTCACCCCGACAGTAAGTTGCCGAGAGAGTTACGCTCCAGCCGTTCTTCAGACAGGAGCCCAGGATACCCGGTGTTTGGGTGATGGTTATGACTCTCCCGTCACCAAACTTGTGACTTGCGTCTGTAGGTTATTTTCTAATACGTCAAACTAAATTGTGACCTCAGCTATTCAATCATCAAGGTGGTGCATCGTATGTGATCGTTCCCAGGCCCAAAGCATTTTTAATCGCCCAATTTGGGTAAAACTGAATAACTAAATGATTTATTTTGATAGCTGGTTGTAAAGACATAACCAGAACATTTATGAATGGGGAACTTGAAGCAAAACCCGAAGCTAGCGAGGTGGAGGGAGCTCCCACTTTTAACGTTGGAGCTGTCATCTCTGTATCTTGTAGATCCGGCTATCATAATCCCGTGAGTGCACTTATAATCATTAATTATTATCATTACTTATGTCTTAACATTTCATTAACCACTTCCTCAGTAACTGCGTTGAGACAGTGGTTGTAAAACTGAAATATGGAATATTGATAGGCGGGAGATGATTATTATTTAGGTACCAGCAATTTCTGATCTTTTATTTCAGGGAGAGAGATTTGTAACTTGCACTTCTGATCAAGAATGGTCTCCTGCCTTGCCTAAGTGTATATCCGACTCAGACAAGTCCCGTAGTGTGCCACAAACTACACCCTCTTCTGTACTTTTTATTATAATTTTTGTTTGCAAACATGAACAATGGATCATGGAATGACTGATCGTAGCCAAGGAAAACAAAACTTAATCAAAGCTTGGTATAACAAATTCTGACTTTTTGACATTTTTACTTTTTTTTCTAATAAATACAATTAACGATACTGCTTACTGATAAATATTGATTTTCTTACTGAACAGCCCTGAAAATCAATTCAGATTCGCTATAATTGAAAAGACCCTTTTTCGAATTTAATCCAAAAATAATTAGATATTCGATCAATATAAGTAGTTAAACCTTTAAGTTCCACACTTACTGAAATGTCATTTGATAAGTACCGAGTAGGACCATGTAGAACCTTTGACAGTAAGGATGGTCGGCAGCTGAAAGATTAGATGTCGAGACAAAAATCCATATTCAGCAGCATTCTCCTTTTCCTTCTCCTAGCAGGTGATACAAATATTTTCGAAACTCTTACGTGTAGAATTATTAAAATATTAACTATATCAAATATCCATTCAGTAAACAGATTTAGAAAGTTCTTACGAGATATTGTAAAACTAAAATGTAAACTCTTGTAGGGACGTTATGTACAGACTGCACATCGGATAAGATAACGATCTCGGTAGATCAGATCAAGGATTTTAAGACCGGAAAGAATCTTCCTTCGACCTTTGCTGATGGTGACACCTACACAATTGTGTGCAAGTACCCTGCAACCCAGGTGTTCACTAACGACGTCAGAGGACAGGCTGAAGTGTGAGTCATTTAATTTATACCGCAACTTATTTTCAAAAGGCTGAATTTTAGAACAAATTCGCAAAGGAAAAAAGTTGAAAAGCCTGCACTTATGATAATTTCAGTAATCAGAGCAGAATAGATGAGTTCGACAGTGCAACAAACTCTCACGTCGGACAAATTGTGGTCAAATGCAAGAATGGACTCTTTTCACCGGATATTTTCTTCAAAGTTCTTAACTGGTGTGCAGTAGGTTGTTCCCCAGTTCCTGGTGAGTGGACTACAACCTAGATTTACAGTCATCTGTCGTAAAACTTTCATCTCCTTTGTTTATTGTACCTAAACAATTTAAAAATTACAATTCATCAATTTACAATTCATCAATTTCAAATTACAATTCATCAAGTTTAAAATGACAATTCATCGTAAAGTTTTGATCCCTCAACTTTCTTGTACAGAAGACACGAACCAGCACTGGAAAGCTAGCTACTCGGACGGTTCTCTTTCAACAGCAAAGAAGTCAGCCCCCATCATTCCGAACATTGACAGTTATATCAATGTTCAATGTAGAGAAGGGTACGCTCCTAGGATGTATCAGTTAGGAGGGTTCTCCACCAGGTGTCTAGCATCTGGTTATAGCCCAGGACTTTTAAACCTGGTCCAATGCACAGGTCAGTTCATCCATAGGTCTTTTTTTTTCACTGCACCCTCGACAATGATATGCATTATTTTCAACTCACCCTGTAGATCACCTATTGGAACATAAAAATGTTAAGAATTAAAGCAAATGTATGATTAAACTTTGCATTGTTCTCAGCTGGTTGCTCAGACATATCTGCACAAGTTCCAAATGCTCGAGTAGTGAGTGAGAGGAGTGCTGTGTCAGGTGCAGCTCCCTATAACATTGGTTCTGTAGCTACCGTCATCTGCTCCAATGGATACACCCTTCAGGTAAGGGAGTGCTCTATTATTAGATATTCTAGATTCGAATTATTTATGTCGTCATGCTCTATTAGTATTAGACAGCAGTATACAGTCTATATCGTTGTCGTACGGTCAATTTGACTTTCGACTGAACATCTCATAATGGATTGGTACTGGTGGGCGAAATAAATCGAAAATGCCAATGGCAGGAACAGTTTGAAACCCTGGATCCCTCAAGACATTACATAATATGTTTTGATTCGGAGAAAAATGAGAGGATATAAAATTAACAACATCACAATATACTTTAGGGTTCCCAGCACACGACGTGCACCTCGCTCCAGGAGTGGTCCCCGAGTGTACCTGTCTGTGCTATAAACTCGGCGTTAGGACAACTTGGCCATCGGACAATTGTTTCAACAATGTTCTTCATCATTGTTATGATTTTTAGCTTATAGTTGGGGCCTCAATACTTTGGTATCGGCTTTTACAAGAGTTTTAATTTTTAAGGAATTTGAATATTCATGATTGACGGCATTTTATAATCATGATTTGATGTCTGTTATTATTTACGGTATAACTCAATGGTCAATTCTCGGTATGCTACTATATATAGTCTTCATGGCAGGAATTTATTTGCTTTTAAAATGTCAAAACCCTTGTATTCGGTCCTCGGTCTCGACCAATTTCTAAATGCAAATTTTGTTAATTTATTGGGACTACAGGAAAGCTACAGTCTGTTCTCTGAATTTTAACAAAGGCAACAGATTAAATTTCCCACCCGTTTAATTCTACCCAGGCTTTATTGCCAAATAGTACCCCATTATTCAGAATCAGAATAATGGAATTCACGGTGACAATACAAGAGCAATTCAAAGGTTGACAGACCATTGTATTGACTATCTTATATTTTCGCTTGGAATATTTTGTTTGATTTGTTAGTTTAGGAGAGAATCACGTCAGAAAATCTATTATTGCCCCAGACTTTTCGTTTTAATAAAATGTCCCCTTTTATTTATTTGTCAGACGTAAACAGGGCTATTAAAATTTGAAGATTTCCTTCAAACATGGGATAATTTATTGGGACTACAGGAAAGCTGCAGTCTGTTCTCTGAATTTTAACAAAGGCAACAGATTAAATTTCCCACCCGTTTAATTCTACCCAAGCGCTTTATTGCCAAATGCCAAATAGTACCCTATTATTCAGAATCAGGATAATGGAATTCACGGTGACAATACAAGAACAATTCAAAGGTTGGCATACCATTGTATTGACTATCTTATATTTTGCGCTTGGAATATTTTGTTTCATTTGTTACTTTAGGATCAGAGAATCACGTCAGAAAATCTAATATTGCCACAGACTTTTCGTTTTAATAAAATGTCCCCTTTTATTTGTCAGACGTAAACAGGGCTATTAACTTTTGAAGATTTCCTCCAAACATGGTCACATTAACGAGTCATTTACAGAACTACCGGCATTTTAAATTTGAGGCAAATCCTTGGTAATATAGATTTTGTGTTCTTAAAAGTAAAATGTCACTCTCTGGCGTGCACCTGTGCCCCAAATCTCGAACCTACTCGCTATATAGTAGACCCCCGTATTTAAACTGAACCATAATTAGGTGGGAGCCAGCCAATAGCTGACCCTAACATATACATTGTGCAAGTAACTGGTCTACTACATGGGCAATTAGAGCCATCCTGACGTTGCTATAGGGATATACTGGGATCATTTTATTGAACTGTTTATCCCATATACGGGATTAATAGCGCGATTACGCGAGCAGGGAGAGGGCAGTATCATGAGAGTGTTAGCACCCACGGACTCACTCTCCCAACCAGTATGCAGTGCTTTATACCTACCCCACTTGACACTTGACAGCTCAGTACAGTATGTCGGGTCCGACTAGTTATTAGAGCTGTGTGGCACTACTTTTTTAATTTAACTAAATAGTTTAGTGCACCGTTCCTTGTAGTCGACTGCAGAGGTATAGAGAGGCTGCCTGCTGCTGTGTAGGACTATATTTGCTTGCAGAGGAATTCAACAAAGGTAAATGAAACTTGATTATGATGTGTATTGTGTATGTCATGAATACGCAAACTTAAAGTGGCGATTTCGTTTTTAATTTGTTTTATGCGGATTGCGGCCGGGTATAATGATAATGGGAGTTTGACACGCAGTACAATCAAGCAAATGAGTGGACTAGTTCAGCTCGTTACACTGATTATAAATCTATTAGACTGAATCTATTAGCTAGGTTTGATTACGCAACATTCAGTTATTGTACAGTCGCAACATTCAGTTATTGTACAGTTAACAGTTAACAGTCGTGCTGTTTTGCTTGTGAAATGTGAAGCCAACTTTTCGTGTTCCTTGTCAAATAACTTAAGATGAAATAACTTAAAAGATATGGTAGTCTTTGATAAAATGTCAGTTGCTAAGTGGTAATTATCACAAAATTTCGTTCTTGGCTGCGAGGATACCTTTCTGCAGAGATCAATATGGCCGATAAGCTGAAAATGATCATACCAAACAAAGGATAATGCCTGCCACACCGGCAGAACTGTCAAAATATCATACCAAAATTAATAGCTGTAAAGAAAATATTGTCTTTATAACGCCGTAAAATCGATGCCACTGCCACAATCATTCCGGGTGTCAATTTCGCGCTATATAAATATAACCCGCTCATAACGGATAACCATGATTCAGCAGACAGAGTGATCGTCTCAACAACTTTGTAAAATTGTTCAGGTCAGTAGACGTTTAGTGAGAAATCATCAAGTTGATACTTTAGATATAAACAGTTCATGCAGCTTCTTGTCTGGACTCAAGTCCTGTTGATGACCACAGCTTCAACCCTGATACGCCCTCGGACCAACAGAAACGCTGCTTTCACCCTCGATCATGTGTCTCAGACTCTGGATTCGCTGGAAAAACTTTTGCAATATTTTGATAAGAACAGGGGCTCGCTTATAGTGGATTCTATGTGGGCTATCCGCATGATTCAAGGTAAACCCATTTGATAAACAGTAAAGAAGTTGTTTAACAAATACAATGCATGAACGATATGATTGATGTTGCTTTTCCATTTGCTTGTTGTAGATTACTATCTTTGCTCGGTGACCATCAGCTGACATTTATTAGGTCTGAGTTATCTCAGACCTAATTTCATCTTCATCTTTCCAATAACTTTGCCTTCTACTGGCTAAAATAATAGACAATTACACCGACAATCAACAGGTGGTTTAGAAGACACCGTAAGAAAAGCTCACCAAGATAATGAAGCAAGCATTCTAGAACGTGTGTCCGGAATAGCAGATTATGCGAAACAAGTTTCCGAGCGAGGACTTTTCTACGCAAAACGGAATGCTGCAGTGCAGTTTAACAAGTTTTCTGAGCTGCTGAGCAGGCCTTTTGTATATGAAAACTTACTGGGAGGATCTATCGGGAGAATTGATTCAAGTTAGTAGAATTTAAATTCTATAAATGGTATCTTAAGAAAAGTGGTATATCATATTATTTAATAAATTTAGAATAAAATATGCATGTCATGTACTGAGTTTATAATAATAAAAGCTGACACCCTGAACGTTGCATCAGTCATAATATTTTGCGGCTACACATGATGCACCCTCTCCACCGTTCCGGCGGCCGGCTACAGTAGAGGGGGAAGATGGGAGGACGTCTGACAAAATTGATACATGATACTAATAAATCAATATCAGGTTTAATATTCTCCGAAGAAAGTCGGCTAAACATCGAGCCGAAGGAGAGTGACGACTGTCTGATGGGAACTATAGGTAGTGGACATTATAAAGGACTCAAATGCACGGTAAGAGCTATCCATATTATGCAATGCCATTATGCCTTTGTTCACGGAATAGAAATATCAACTCCATTAGCCAACAACCTTTCGATTTGATTTACTTTGCAGCATGATTTGTACCACGTGTTCTCTGTGCGTCATTGATTTTACTGTTGCATGAGTGAGATTGTCGACAAAATCCAATCTAGTCGCAGTCTTATATTACGCAATTCTACTTTCTACTTCTATAAACCTCCATAACCAGAAACTGATGGTTGATACACATAACACGGTTTATTACAGATAACAGACAAGTGTTGGCGCCAGATAACGGACAAAGGCCAACGTGAATACTCCATCACCCACCAGCTCCTATTTTTCTTCCTTATCAAGCACTACAACTGCTCTGAAGCCATCAACTCCAAGGGAGGAGAAGTTGCCGTGGCTGAACTCACCAAATCTTTCTGTTCTAATATTTACAGTGAGATGGAGGGTATATTCTCGCGAGGAGTGGACCCTGGCGTGGACCAGGACCTGGTAATGGAACAGGTATATTTGTGTAAGCAGCTGTTTTGATAAATATACCGTTTACTCTCACTTTTAAAACGGTCTCATCAAATGTGTCAAGTTTGAGAGCGAGTCGCAAATCATCGAGCCAGATAATGCAGGGCGATTAGTGGTTATCAAGTATTACTTGATGTAACTCTTGAAAGTTTCTCAAACCCTTTACAAGTAAATATCACCCTACGTCACTGATTTGCCATCTTTAGGTTTATTCACAGTTGAGAATTCAACGCTGATAGCGATAGCATTATCGGTATTAAACCCATTACCTAACTTACCACCAAGCTGTCTCCCAGATCATGTTCTGTGGAGGCGCAGGATTCGTGGAGGATTTTGTGAGACCCAGTGTCCTAGAAATGATGTTAGACTGGCAGAGGGATGATGGCTGTTATGCTCCCTACGATGGTTCTCATCTTCCTGAGGCTATAGCTCTCCACTCCAAGAAATCTCGGGAGAGGTTTAAATTATTCATGCTAGCTGTTTGTTGCATTCTGCCCATATTTCATAATCATACTCATGGCCATACATTAAAAAAAGAGCTTTAGATTTTATCAAAATTCTGGCCAAAATTATTTATGACTTTAAGTTTATGCTCTCATGTCTATATAAATTATTGGCACAAGGTTGGCGGGCAAATATTGTTTCTTTGAATGTTTGGACGGTCCGAGTATGACAATTGAAATATAAACCGTCCTCTATTAGGAATTTCAGATAACATGACTTAAAACCATACTTTCAGGGCACTCCAAAGAAGAAAATTGATCGACAGGTTGGCAGTTGATTTCAACAAAGAGCAAAATTACTTCATGATGAGGAAACCTTTGTCAGAAGCCGAGCTTCGAGGTATGTGAACTACAATTATTATACGTTCAATGCCATTCTAGGATAATTCATAATTTTCTAATTGCGGCGGTCGTGCTTGCCAGCACTGTGATTAGCTCGACGGAACCTTAATTAAAGGTAGCGCAAATTATTGTAAAGCCAAGTCAAAATATATTTTATGTTCCAATATTGTATAATGACATGGTTTCTTTGTAAGCAACTATCTATTGTTCGTGAAATTGACTTGTGATGCACCTTGTCTGCCCCATGAGACGCTGCTTTGACGATCATTGTAAAGACGAGGGCATTATACCTGATCATTATACCTGATCATAACCGTATCTACAAAGTGGTCGAGTAGTAACGAGCCAGTCTAAATAATTATGATAATTTCTTTACCTAATTGATTCTCAAGCACCAAAAGTCTACTGCAAGTTATCATGTTCTTGAAATCAAGTCTTTTGATACCGCATGAGGTCATGGAGTGATACAGTACGCCTTCGGCTCTCGAAAATGTTAGAATTTTGGGCTAAAATCAAGCATCAGTACCATCCGATCCTGGTAAAATAGTTGGCCTATGACAGATGTCCCAGGATAAATGTGACAGTGACTGCATAGACCAAGTCTGACATCAGGTGTCATTGCTTGCTAGCCAATCTCGAAATATGAATTTTGAGACAATGAATGATTTTGGCAGGAGATGAATGAGTGTCATCTGAAGATTTGATATGTCACTTTCTACGTATACATCTGACTCTTTCCCTTGTAAGATAATCACACAGCTGCGTTTCTGACCCCAGAGAAACGGTCACCAGCTCTCCCTCGTCACAAGCTCTCTCCCATCTTCAAACAAAGTGGTTTCGAACTTCTAATTTTCAACGTTTAAAATACACCAAATTCGAAGCGATCCAAATGATGAAGTCGAGACGAAGATGATAGTTGAGACAGAAGGGCAACGCGTTTGCGTGATATTAGTTAACCACTAACCAGACTGGTTATCATCTACTTTGAGTTGCTATTACACAATCTACTGAGTAAAAATAATCCTCTTCGAAGACAATGCATTATGCAGCACATGACGATTCGAAATCACCACCTTCCAAAAAAAAGATTTGGATTATGGGAAAAACAGTTAAATTTGTGTGTTGACATAGCAATAATATAACACTTTAACTTAACTCACTCTACTCCACAGACGGGTGCATGATGCACATGAGCTCAGTTGCTGGAGGAGCTCTCACAATATACGTCCGAGCAATGTTACAATACAAACTCTACACAGACTACAACTTTATCCAGTATCGGATCCAGGACGTACGCTATACGGCTCCGGAGACCTACATCATCATATTCCTGGCAGTTCTCGCTATCTTACTGGTCATTAAGTTGGGGAGCGTTCCACTGAAGCTTGCTATGAGAGTAATTAGTAGCATACGCTTTTCGAGAACCAGTAAACAGTTTCATTCAGTTTGACGGTTCGTAATTTATTTTAGCTGAGTCTATTCAGTGCTCGGGAATTTCAAATCTTTTTTAGTCGTTTGATGCACTTTTTAATCACTTGATTATAATTATATAACAGAAAAACAACATTATTGCAGAGTATAGAATAATCATAAAACTGTGTATATTAACGCATATAATTATAAACGTTGGACCATATTTATTTTCAGAATTCATCCTGTATCTAAACATATTACTGAAACTAAAATAATCAATTGTCTTTCGTAATCTAAAAGTCTAAATGATTTAACAAAGATTGTTATGTTTTTTACTAATAGTAATAAATAACAGCGGATAATCACTTAACAACCCATCCTAGTTGCAATATTATTCACTCAAGCTCTCTTCAGAATTACCACCGCTCAATTCATCTGAACTTGAACCCTCAGATTCTTTAGTGGGTGCTCTGAAAGTGCTCTTTTTTCTATGCATACGTTTCTTGGCCTTATTAGTCTGGAACGGGAAGGTGGTACAATAGTCAAATATATTTTTACGGAGATGATACGGAATGTCCAGCACTTGCTTGAACTTGCTCTTGAACCTTTTTTTAATAGCCTGATGCAGAAATCCTGACTGTCTAATGGCTTCTTCATCGGCCTCATTTGTCTCTTTTACCATCAATTTGTTCATTCTTCTCTTTATCGTGATGTGGTAGAGTAGGAATAAAGGGTACAATATCAGGTTGAACGGGAACATGAATGGATGGGTGCCCACATATTTCTGAACGATCACGGAACGAGCGTACTTCCATTCCGTTTCAGCGTTGTTAATCACTTTGACGTATGTTTCAGTCAACATGGCGATCAACATGTTCAGGAATAGGATCATAGCTGTTAAAATGTAGACTCCCCACAGTAACTGAAACAATTGAAGGTGTTTAAATCATTATTCAAGTTCCATTTAATCCACGGATCAACATTGCGGAAAACTCTGCAGTCACATATACGCAGTTAACTATTGCAGTTGTTGTAGCTATTGAGTATAATTGCAGTTAAGTTGGCATTCAGGAGATCCAAACAGGAGGTGGTCTCAGGCTCTCAAATTAACAACCTGTCTGATGTTGACCTGCGTCAGTGCGTCACATGCTTAGTGCTTACTGTCAGTATGGAGCAATTCAGCAATGACGCAGGTGCAACCCCTGTTGACGCAGTCAAACAACATGTTTATAATTAATATTGTAATCACTGCGTCATCACAGAGTTGACATATTTAGTTAATTGTGGATCAGGTTATATATATGAGAAGTAGCAAAACTCCAACTCCCTCTTTCTATTATAATATCAAAGGTTCCAACTATAAGTCGTGGAATTATGTACATATCTCGATAAATATCACAGTCAGGACATAAAAAAAATACTAAATAGCATAAAACGTCAGCATAAACAGACCTTGAGATAAGAATCAGCATTGTTGTTGTAATCTATTTTAATGTTATCAGGCTCGATCAGGCCAAACGTTGACCACAACAGTGTCATGAGAGTGGTACTGTAGTCGGAGAACAATTCTGGGTGTGTCAACGTTTTGTTCGTGATATTTTGTCGTTCTTCCTCATAGTGATACGACTGCAAGGTGATAGTCCACATTGATACAGAGAATCCCACAATACATAAAACCAGGAGTAAACACACTTTTACGACGTCCTGAAAAGTATGTTTTTATTTATTGATGTACCCCTACAAGTACAATCTACATTTCCATATTTTAAATTTGTCCTAACCTCTATATTAATATTATTATAGTGTAATAGAAAGAGGGCAAGCATTTCAGATGTCTATTTATCGTATCAACCATAATGGAAGGTATAACTTTAAGACTTACCATCATCATTTTGCCGATGGCTCCTTCGAGTGGTCCTAGAGTGTAAGTTATATCCAACATTTCCAACATTCGCAGCATTAATCCTAAGAACGCAGTTGCGTACACATATGATGACCACAAGGGAAACCTATAAAGTAGAAACAATATTTGATGATTGGTGGGATTTTTTGGGATTCTTACCCTTCTCAGTATTAATGTAATGAATCGATCAAAATATATCATCATGTGAGAAACGTTATAAATTTATCTTCCAAGTAGTAAGTGTATTCAATTAAATTATTGATTTATAATCAAGTGTAGTAGTAACTATTAGACATACTTTGCAGCATCATATATGTTTGCGTAGGCTACAAATCTAAGGAGCACAGTGAATATGATACAGCAAGACACGGACAAATCCACCACATTTCCAGCGTGTTTAAAGAAATGCCTGCCTTGCGTTCGGATCTTGTCCATCTCTACCATAAACCGAGCTGCAAGACACATCCACAGCACAATCTGCGATGAGGGGCGGTTTTGATTTGATTTGATTGATACAGGGATTTGATCATAATACATAATATGTGATCGCGTTCAAACTTTTTAACTGCACTACATTTCACTCGCTTAGATCTCAACATTGTTGTGAAGAATTAATGAGTCAGGCTCGCTCTTAAAAGCACAGTCTAGCCATTGTATAATGGATTATCATTAAAATATTTGTTAACCCAATCGAATAGTTTAACTTTAAGCAAACATACCCACTTTATCGAAAATAAAGCATAACCAGAAATAAAATTCAGCAGGTGATTCTGCATAAGTTAAGAAGACAAATTTATGATTTACCTCGGCGGCGCTCGTATCAGCATAAGAATCAGTAATGGTCACACACGTCCATGTCATGACTGAACAAAGAACAAAGAAGTTGAACAAGTCCACTATGTAGCTGACCACTGGGACATGAAGGTGGTTCCAAATAGTCATCAACTTAGTGTTGGATATCCCAGCATAGTTGAGTAAGTCAAACCCTCGAACCAGTGAGAAAAAGGCATATACCAGGAGGACGGGCATGAACAGGTGAAGAAGGAAGAGCTGGCCCAGCTTTTTGAGGGTGTTCTTCGTCCTTCCCCTCTGAACTCCACCGTACCTAAAATAAAGAATATTCGAGGTTTCAGTTGGAATATTTTTGTATATTAAGAAAATATTCTGTCAGTCATTACTTCGATAAATAAGTAATGTCAATCGAGAATGAATGAGAAACGGAAATATAATACTAATAGTTACCATGTGTCCATGATGTACTGCTGACAAAAATGGTGTGAGATGAACTTCATCTTCTTCTTCTTCAGAGCATATTGAAGAAGATCAATGTTTTGGTCATGAACCTGTTGGTCATGCAGGAGGAGGAGCGCTTCCCACATTGTCCGGCATTGGTCTAGATAGTAGTACGCGAAGTCATCGGTTTGGCTTTCCAGGGAATCGCAATCACCGAGATATTCGTCTTTTTTATCACCTATAGTTGATAGATTTGTAGCTCATTGTAACTTTAAAATTCCGGTCCGATGAAAATTTATACGGTGCAGTGTTCGTATCAATAACGGCTCAAAATATGAAATTATAAGTGAAATTATTTGTAGATCATTAACCTATCTTGTTGATAATAGTTCCCACTTTAAATGCCTCGAAAATGGGATTTCGGGTCCTCAGCAGAAATTTTGGTTGAGACAAAATGAGGATTGGCTCAAAACTGAATCCGTAATGAGATAACCTGGGAAAATGTGTTGGGAAAAAAGATAGAAGGAAACAGAAAGATCAATAACTTAATTATCACGAAAAGAAAAAAGATTTTGGAATACAGCCAAGAAAATATAAAGAAATTGATCTAATTTACCCAATAGTTGGGGCATTTAGCATGTCTTTGCTTCTACGTTTCTGGTAGAGAGAAGGTCTATTCAGACCGACCATGCAAAGAGCTACACCAATATCAGCTCCGTAATCTATTAGTAGCTCTATCATACGTTCATTATGATGCTGAAAAAGGGAGAATATTTGGCAAAGTCACTTCATTTTGGCAATATTATCAGAACAGTTACATAAAACAGTACCTCCAAAAAACTTATTATTAAAATTGAGAAGTTGGATACTTTCAGAATTTAAGATTGCCTACCCTAGCCCCGATAGAAAGTGCAGTGTCGCCAGAACTCGTAATACAAGTAGGGTCGGCTCCGTACTGTAACAGTACCTTAACTATCTTGAAGTTACCGACCTTGGCGGCAATCATTAGAGGAGTCACCCTGTGGATAATTGTTTTAAAAACAATTATCGCTGGATTGCTAATGGGTATATTTACATATTATAATATATCAAAAATAGTAGCCTACCACAAATCACTGCGAATGATAACTGATAAGTGTTACTTAATCTTAATAAGTCATTCCCTGTTGATAATCCAAATTGTATTATACCTGAAAGCATCCATCATATTTACTACAGTAGACTTGTCCTGAGTAACAATCAAGGCTTGAGGGTTTTTTAGGAACGCAATGCGGTGAGAACGAATGATAATCTTGACTAGACTCTTGGATTGGTAAAGTATTGCCTTCCTCAAGTTTAACGAACAGATTTCATGGTCGAAGAAGCCACACCTGCAATTAATTTTTGTACGTCGTACGATTGAAATCACGATTTTATAAATGCTTAAAGCATGTAAGCCTATTTCATGAGTCATTAGATAAAATGTTTATATCCTTTAACTTTTAAGGATAGCTGAATAACAACTAATGTCATTCCATGGATTCCTGGAAAATAGTATGGCATTCTTTGAACATTGAAAAGTGATTTTTATAAAAATGAGAAAAAAGGTATGTAAACATACGGTTCATGGTACGCTTTTTTTAGAGAGTTGACCCTCTTTCTTTCAACTTCCAAATCAATGTGATTCAAATTAACTTCAGTGTGCTGCCACTCATTGTTAAGCAGGTCTTTCTTATCTGATGTCACTGGTCCAGCGATTTCACTTGGTTTTGTTTGGTTGTTATTCATGAACAGCAGGTTGCTGATCCCAAGCAATGCTTGCTGGAAAACAGTTCATTTACATTATTGCTAGATTTAAGTGATAATCCAATTCATTCAGTCAAACTTAAAACAATTCCCAAATAGAAATTATAGCTGTCTTAAACCAATGTTACACAACAACCATGTATAAAGAAATATTAAATCCTACGTCAGGCTCAGGTAGTTTACTCTTCCAGCTCTTTGGTTTCTTAGGAAATTCAACGATATCAACTGCGAGGTCTTCACCTTCCAGTTCACCCCATCTCTCTCCAGCTTTGTTCAGGTCATCAGCCTGACAAGATTAAACTTGCTGGTAAACTCAGAAGTAGAATATAAAACTTTGTTAAGAAGAAAATAACATGCAAAAACTGCCAAGAAACATATTATCAGTACCTCGTATAGTTCCATGGACATGGGGATACCATGAGGTTGTGGAATCTCCGACATGCTGTTAGCTGGTCCCTCTATCGTTGTAGTTAGGGGTGTCTTTATTATTACCTCCTTATGTGTCTCCATGTTCCCCAGAACCTTCAACGCCTTCATAGCGTTGAACAGGGACATTACGGTTCACAGTTGTCACCAGACAAGAGCAGACAACGTGTACACACTATACAATCTAGGAAACTATACTGTCTTGTTTGATTACAGCACTTGAAGCTGTCTCATCTCTGGAGACTTTAGTGTAGAGGCTGACTAAATGTTACGTCACAATGACGTCACAATGACAGTAAGACAGAGCTGAAGTGTTACCTACAACCTTGTATCAGGAGGTGTAAGTTGGGAGGGTTTGATATCTGAGTTAACAATAAAAGGAGGTGTAATGTAAAGTATAATAGTATATATATATATTATAGCTGGTATAAGTGATATAACGGTAGTTAAATTATAAATTAATAAGATATAAAATTATATAATCATGATATGGTTATTATGGAGTGGTGATAATTTGTGATATATGGGCATACTCATCCTATACCTGGGTCTTCCTTGAGCCTCAAGAGGTCTGGGTTTATTGTGCTGCAGATGACTGCTTCCACAGTACTGTTTAGATGCAGAACAACGAACAATCCCTCTGAGGTTATTGCAACAGGGGCAGCATCAATTTCTCCTCTAGTCACCAAATCCATAACCTCTCTTGACTTTTCGTGTAGTCGCAAATCAATATCCTCCCCAGTATATGAGAAATTGTAGTAACGAGCCAGGAGCCCCTTATCGGTGAAAATCAATCCTGTCCAGGCAAGATCGGGAACAGGTCTAGTAGCTTTCAATAGATCGTCCACCTAAACATTATGATGTACATAAAATACCTAAATACTTAATACGGTAATCATAATTCAGATATATTGATTAACTACAGCGGTTAGGCATGAGATCGAATCAGTGAATTTCAAATATCACTTACTTTTCTTTGAAGGTAAGGCGTTACAACAGGAGAAAGGAAGGAAATTCCGAAGGTTTGGGAACACATTTCAGCCGCAATAATCCAATTTGCTGGCTCCTTCAAGAACAATATATCAAATTCCAAGGCGTGTGGGACTTCGTAAAGAAAGAAATTTCCCATAAAACTCCCCGCGACTTCACTTTCGATATCCATGCAAAGAACAGCTCCGGACAAATAATCTCCATCAACTAACTCCCAAGAACCATTCTGGTGAAGAATAGCAGGGCTGTAAGAATATCGAAGGTTACAGTTATCACAATTAAACGATCTCAGATTGTTCATGTAGTACTTGGAACTGTTGAAATACATCCCAGTGCTCGAAGAATTGCCCCAGGAGAGTTGACTAGAGGAGTGATTGTAAATTAGACCAATCCAGGCATCGGATACTCCTTCAGAAGTCATCAATTTATGAGCCTGTGGGAAAGATTTGTTTTTAAGCAGAAAATCCACAAGTTTTCTTAAATTGAGGCAAACTTTACGTGGATTTTGTAGCTTAAACCAACGAAATTTACTTTGAAAAGACCTGGCGATGAATTGTATATACTATATATTCATTCAACACAATGATTATGTTTCTCTAACAATAGTTAGCTTTAGAAAAAGTTACCTTTAGATTGACCTCCTTGGTAAGCAAAAGTGCAGGAGTTGCTCCGTTTTCATAACAGATCTCTTCCAATTCATTAAATCGTATTCCAGTTTCACTTTGTAACACCTCTAGTTTGAATGAGTTGAAATGTTCCCTTACTATATAGTCGATGTACATTTCCTGAAACAGGCCAGATTCGAAGAAGTCTCCTTCGTTCTCATTTACTTCGTTCTCATCTCCTTCGTTCGCATCTCCTTCGTTCACATTTTCTTCGTTCTCATCTCCTTCGTTCTCATCTCCTTCGTACTCATCTCCTTCGTTCTCATCTCCTTCGTTCACATCTCCTTCGTTCTCATCTCCTTCGTTCCCATCTCCTTCGTTCCCATCTCCTTCGTTCTCATCTCCTTCGTTCCCATCTCCTCCGTTCCCATCTCCTTCGTTCTCATCTCCTTCGTTCCCATCTCCTCCGTTCCCATCTCCTTCGTTTTCATCTCCTTCGTTCTCATCTCCTTCGTTCTCATCTCCTTCGTTCACATCTCCTTCGTTCACATCTCCTTCGTTCACATCTTCTTCGTTCCCATCTCCTTCGTTCTCATCTCCTTCGTACTCATCTCCTTCGTTCTCATCTCCTTCGTTCACATCTCCTTCGTTCTCATCTCCTTCGTTCACATCTCCTTCGTTCTCATCTCCTTCGTTCCCATCTCCTTCGTACTCATCTCCTTCGTACTCATCTCCTTCGTTCCCATCTCCTTCGTACTCATCTCCTTCGTACTCATCTCCTTCGTACTCATCTCCTTCGTTCCCATCTCCTTCGTTCTCATCTCCTTCGTACTCATCTCCTTCGTTCCCATCTCCTTCGTACTCATCTCCTTCGTTCTCATCTCCTTCGTACTCATCTCCTTCGTTCTCATCTCCTTCGTTCACATCTCCTTCGTTCTCATCTCCTTCGTTCTCATCTCCTTCGTTTACATCTCCTTCGTTCCCATCTTCTTCGTTCTCATCTCCTTCATTCTCATAAGTGTCAGTGACATTTTTAACCATATCGTAGTTGCCGGTAGGTTGGTCTTTATTTCCCCCCGTCTCGTCGATTAAACTTACACTAAAGTTGGAGCAAACAAAGCCACTTGCTACGTATTCAGGAATTTTTGGCTGATACTCGCCAAACTGAAGCATGGTAAAATGGAGCGAGCTTTCCTTGGGATCGTTAATTGTGCCAGGTTCAACGTTTCCGTCGGTGACTGTGCCAACCTGTGAATGTTCTGGAGAGCTCTTTTCGATCGACCTATTTGCTGGAGACCTGCATGGAATTTATGCCATTATATTCACTAATCAGTGTGCAATGATACTAATATATTACAGTTCCATCTTGAGAAAAGAAGTTAAGTACTTCATTGTCATTACTTCATTATCATTCATTTTCATTAATTCAACATATTTATGCTTACGGAAATGAGTCATTGGAATGAGTAGAGGGAAGGTTGTTGAGAAAGAAATTATCTGCTGAGAAAAACATGTCTGTGCCGGTGTCCCACAACAATCCTTTTAATGCACCAGTTTCTAAAAAAGTTAAACCTGTCCACGCATCGGTAACGTTAGCCCGAAACAACAAATCTTGAACCTTGGAAGTGAAAATGTTAAAACCATGAAGATCCTGGAATCAGTATGACCTTTACATAAATGGGCAGCGTGTACTGAACACTGAATATTCATTGTTACGATTGCGTGCACGAAACAAAAACTATATAATTTCTTTGCTGTAACAAGAATGTAGCAAACTTTGGCCAAATTTAGTTTACGTGATGGTGACTGTAAGAGATTGTTCAAAATTTGCTAAGGCCAAATTTTAGCTGTTTAATACCACCTCATCCCCGCACCCTGTCACTGCGAGTTCCTTCCTGTCACCAAGAAGTAAATTAGCATTGGCCAAAGTTGGGCTACATATTAGTGACACTGACAGTAATTCATTTAAATACTGGACATACCTCAGCATGCTGCTTTTCAGATAGAATAACAGCCGGAAATGATCCCAGTTCCAAGCAGAGGTTCCTTGCTTCAAGATAAGCGATGCCTTCCCTAGAGGGGCTTTGGTAGAACTTGTACTTGAATATAGAATCATGAGATTCTAATAGCATGGTCAAGTTCTTGGCAAACTCATCGGGACCACGAACGGAATAGATCAAATGTTTCCAAGTGGTCGGCTCTGTTTGGTTAGAGGTTCCGTTCCCAGAGATTTCACAATTCCCCTCCTTCGATTGAAGCAAGACCAGCAGGAGTGAGACAAGGAGCATCTATAATTAAATTTAGATTATGTATGTAATTAATGTTTGATCACGATAGACATTATCAATATTAGTATTATATATGAAATAACAAGTTATCAACTTTTGCTTTGCACTGAACCATTTGATATGAAAGCCCAATTGGGGTTTACTCATGTTAGTTCACAATACGAGTACGACAGATTTAACAAAAATAATTGAGTTCATCTCAAGCAACTGACTTCATGGTAGCAAATTCCTAAAACACTGAAATGTCGGCCATAGCGCATACATGTACATTAAAATTAAAACACTGTTCGTAAACATTTTATTTAAATCAATCTGAGCTGAAACAAAGGCTACCTATAGAATATCTACTAACGAATATCGCTATTCCAAGAAAGATTGAATTATTCAAAACAATTATTTGCGTTTAACTAAGCGGAGGCCGGCCGGACGCGCTATATGTGTGACTTCCAATTACGATACGATAACAAAAAACAAAAATACGACCTATCCAAGTTCTCAAATAGCTGAAGATCAATAGCTATCTCGGAATTGAATTATCAAACTTTTAATAACTCCAATCCCGATACCCCTTCTCATGACCAAATAAATCTAGGCTGACAAATCAGCGTACTGAACTAAATTTAAATCATGTGATTGTACTCATGGACCAATGACCATTGTGATTTTTAAGTGTTAAGAAATATATTGATCAAATTATTAACTTACCTGGGGACCTCAGGCTATCATGTTCATAAACATAAAGATTCGGCGGAATGACAGGCTGAGCGCGGCCCAGTAAATTATCACAATGCTGGCAAGCATTACCGTCGCCCTTATATTCACAATACTATTTACCCCCTATACTATTATATCCCCTTTATTGTTTTCAAGGCATTAAGACTCATCGAAAGTAGTTCAGCAGGACTGGTATATTTAAGTTCAAAACATTCTAATTCAATGTTAAAGATGACAGGAATAAAAAATAGTTATATGGAGGTTTTTAAGAAATTTGCGCAAAATACGCGCCAGCATGTTATACGAAATTAGGTAAAAAACCCAAAATCGCCATATTCAGGTGCGTTAAAAACCGTGTTAAAATTGAGTTAGAGATCTGAAACTATGCATTTTCATCTTAGATAATTGTTCAAGCATTCTGAAAATCTACCGGAAAGTTTTCCTACCTTGCTCCTTTATAAAGATATTCGCTATTGAAGTTTGTGCTTTTTTGAAGAATAATTTTATAAAAACACAAAAGTTGTGAATTAGTATTCTCTGGTGTTGGGCCATCCCTTGGGTTGTGGAGCTCAATTTTGTTTTTTATAAAAACACAAAAGTTGTGAATTAGTATTCTCTGGTGTTGGGCCATCCCTTGGGTTGTGGAGCTCAATTTTGCTTCCTAAAGGTCTAAATTGTGCTTTCAGCAATACTCATAGGCTAGTTTTAAAGTTGAAAATCGAAAAGTTGCACACGTGGGGACACGCCCAAATTCATTTAAAATAGCTAAAATCACTAAAAATTGTTATTTTCACGATTTTTACCAACTTTGGAGTCCCGTTGTGATCCAAGTTCTTTTTGAAATCTTCTGAAACTTTTCATGCTTATCAAACTATATATTAAATAACACTATGCAAAAATTTATGGTGATTCAATATTTTATGCGCACGCAACGTCCGCTCAAAGTTTGCACGTGCGAAAGGTGAGAATTTTGCTCATTCGTGATTTCGAATATATTCTGCTTTCCCACGATATTAAAATGGCATTATATATGAATTTAATGCCAACTTGAATGAGTAAAAAGTGCTATATTCAGTCTGTTATTGACAGATATGCCTACCTAAACACAAGGAAACGTTTTCAAAGGTAAAATTTCGAAATCGTTGAAATTACCTCCTTATTAAGTTTCGACTGTGTAAATTATCCTGACATTATAATCAAAAAGAGATGATATTTGACCAAAACCCATAATCATGGGTAGAGTGAACCGCTGCCAGTGTCTCTCTTTTCCAAACAAAAGAAAATGATATTAATTTGAGGAACCGTCCGCAAATGCAAATTGATACCGAGAATGAAATCGGTCGCTCGCTTTTCCCATTCATTCACGGCTTACGTATTGTAATAAAGCTTATTGAATGGGAAAAGCGAGCGACCGATTTCATTCTCGGTATCAATTTTCATTTGCGGACGGTTCCTCAAATTAATAATAATATCATTTCCTTTTGTTTGGAAAAGAGAGACACTGGCAGCGGTTCACTCTACCCATGATTATGGGTTTTGGTCAAATAGTAATACACACAATTCAAAGGACGAATGACTTTCATTAAATATCCACAGTCTGCAATTATTGACTCTAAGTTTTGAATGTCAGGAATTTGGTAATAGAGTGAATAGACTACAATATTGGTAGTACGGTGGTCCTCATTTTTCTTCCACGATCGACTTAACGAGAAGGCTTTAGCTCTTTAGAAAGGAATTCATTCGCAATAGCCACAATTTTATTTGATTCTCCTTACAAATGTTAAAATCTAAAACGTTAGTCAGAATTGAATTTAAGGTTTCATCAGATAATCAGACAAGCAAAATCACCGATTTAGAATCAAAAGTTATCAAAAACAATGATCAGTCTACAAATGCTTCAAATCGTGTTAAAATATATCTCATAACGAACTCGTGAATATTTAATGGATTTCTACTTGAACTAAGAATTTGTCGACACAACTTGACAAAATAAATGTTAATAACAAGCATGCTTGAACAAAATTATAAACCAACTTATAAAACATACATTTCTGAACACTCAATTTGCGAGCGACCGATTTCATTCTCGGTTTCAATTTGCATTAGCGGACGGTTCCTCAAATTAATATCATTTCCTTTTGTTTGGAAAAGAGAGACACTGGCAGCGGTACACTCTACCCATGATTATGGGTTTTGGTCAAATTAACATTATTAAAATCATTACCTGGGGACCCCAGGCTATCATGTTCATAAACTGAAACATCCGAATAGAGATTAGGCGGAATGACAGGCTGAGCGCGGCACAGTAATAAAATCATTACTATTATAATTTCAGCAATGTAAAGTATTGTGCTGCTATTCCTGTAAGTTTACTCAGCTTCATTAAAACGTTGTTGCATCATTGCACACAAAATCTTAACTTGTGAGTCAAAAGCGTCACAATGACAAAACACAAAGAGTAATATTAAACTTTATATGTAGGGAGCGAAAAGCTGGCTATGCTTGCTAACGCTGTGATCGAAGCGCAGATTTCTGTCTCTGCCGATGATGGCTGTGCAGAATTCAGGAGAAGACGCTATTGGAATAAAGGATATGACCAAATCAGTAGGGTCATATAATTATATTTTCTAAAATTGTCACGGTTTGTCAAAAGTGATCAATACAATAATAATCAGACAAATATTGTGATGCCAAGTTGTCCAGTGTGATATGAGTAGGAAGATTCACTAATAGCATTAGCTTACCTTTCAGTTTCACACGGAACCTAATTGCGGGCCTGAGACCTCTAATTACATAAGAAGCATTACATCCATGACGTAATTGCTTGCTTTTGCTGTCACAGGTTTCTGTTGGTTATTTTAAGATTAGTCTGATTTGTTTGGAATTTCTAGTGCATTGATCATTTTACATTAGCTGGCAAAGAAATAGAATTAAAAAGCTTCAAAATTTGTGAAGCTAATGCTATTACGGGGTCATGTGACGAATTAATTCACCGCTGATAACCTTGCATTTTGTGGCACTTGGCTTGTGCAGCTGTTCGTCTTAGTGGTAGGATACAAAATAAAAGACTTTAAAATTTTAGGTTTTTCTGGAAGGGAAATGTAAAAGAAACTTATAAAACTATTTGGTACGATCAATAATATGTAATCCACAGAACTCTTTTAGATTAAACGGCACTGTTTTTAGAACCAACGGCACTCTTTTAGAATAATTAGAACTCTAACTGTCCTACGATAAACTCGTGTGATATGTGTGTTTTTTAGGAACGATGACAAATGATATCAACAGGAGTTAACTTAACATAAAGGTGTTAGGATGAAATAAGACACATGACTTGTTTGTAAATGTACCATTGGTCGACTAGGAGCATGAGATGGTCACCAAGTCCGTGGTTCTGTCTGCTATGTTATAGATGAAACAAACTGCCCCATTAAAGATGGATCTAAGTTTGTTTAATCTGGTCTTGGGTAGATTCATGTGCAGAGAATTACAGTAATCTAACTTAGATATAACCAGTTGTTTCACCAACATCAATTGAATGCCTTCATCCATGAGGTATAAACAACCAATAGTTCTTAGGTTCATCATTGTCCAATGTCCAGCTACATTTCCTTTTCACATTATTGATCTTTCTTTTCATATTTAAAGTTTCATTAAATTTAACACCTAGACTCTTCCAGCTGTCTCCTTTGCACTCCGTAGGTAGAATTTCGGTGCTTCCAAATTCAAAATTGCAGTCTGACTCTGAGTTCACACTTTTTTAGAACGTGGCTCTTTCCTAACACCAGTAGTTCTGTCTTTGTTTCGTTCAGTTTCATAAAATTGGTCATCATCCATGTTTTTATCTCTGCGAGACATTTGTTTGTTCTGTCTTGGACGTCAGTGAACTGTACCACACAGTTGACAGGTATGAAACTAAATGCTGGGAATTGGGAGTGTCTATGATTTGAGGTGCTGAAATTGTGGAATCTGAACGTTCAAATTTGAGGTGAAGGTATAACTCGTGATAATTTACAACAAATAAAATATAAACTATGTAAATACTACTGAGCAATTACTTCATTAGGATTAGAACGTGATTACATTCTAAATTTCAACTCCTATCTAATTCTATTCTTAACTAATAATATGTACCTATTAAATAAATATACCTATCGCACAACTCAAATAATAATACTGACGAGAATTGCTTTTTTTAAGCATAAAGCAAGAACTTTAAAAATTAAATGAAGCAATATCGGTAATTGTCAAGAATGAAGATAAAATGCTCAAAGTGGTGTCTGAATGAATGAGTCTAGTAGTAATCATTAATTGCCGGAGAAAAGATCTAATTGTCCAAGTGACGATCTTCAGAGACAGTTTTTGTGCTCATTTGTTGTACGTTTAATTTTTTTTGTCTGATTTCATAGTGGTCGAGAAACTCATAAACGAAACGAATGATATTGTTAAGATTCAAGAAAATAAATCTAGTATCTACGCGTTATAGTGAGTAGCGTATAAAAAGCTTTTAACCTAAAACTGGACGTATCAAAAACAGATAGATTGCTATATTAATATATCTAATCACCAAAAAACATTATATGTGCCAATGGTAACCAGTCAGTGAGGTCACTAATAACGTTAAAAATTTAAAATTTCAAGAATAATCATCATCAATCAGGCACAACCCATAGTTATAATATTCAAACAAAACTGGAGAGAATTCCTATTTAAGGATTGACGGCATTTTACGTTTCAGAAAGAACCTCTGGGATCAGTATCAAAAGTAATAAAAGAAACGTTATAAACCCCAGATAAATAAGTAATTCATTACTAATCAATTTGCGATCAATTAATAAACGATTAATTAATTATGGAGGCGTATTTGAGCACTTCCATTTCGACTCTGTCCTCGTCGTGTTAGATTCAAACTTCTCAAAGCACACCTGTTGTGACAAATCTGACCGCCACTGCGATATGTGATTATTCTCACAAAGTTCGTTAATGTATGAGCTTTTTGTCCTCTTCTGTCTCTGGCACACGCAGTCTGGATTATTGTCTATGACGAGCAACACGTTGGTGTTGGGTAAGGGACTTAACGTTACGTTTTTCTTACAAATCCCACCACAATCCACCGTGCCCTCCAATGGTGCGGTATTTGAAAAATTGCGGAAGTAAGTCTTTTCGTCTTCGCAACACATAACGTATGTAGCTCGACGGTGGTTCGCTGTGCCTTTGTCTAAGAATAAGTCTGAAATAAAGAAGACAAATAGTTTCCAAATACTGGACATGAATTTTGTGACGGAGCGAAGAGGTGAAAGATAAGACCGAGCTGAACTCTCCACTTGGGGAATTGTTTTCTTGCATAGTTTTTGACAATCTTTAACCTGAAAATATTAAGATTGAAGCCCTTGTTTTAATACAAATATCCTCAATTTATATGCTAAGTTTTGATGAAGATAGCACACTGAACAGACGTAACGAGATCGATCGTAAAAAATATATATTTATCATTTAGACTTCAAATCCATGAAAGATCAAAACATTTAAAAATAATGGACCTGATACTGGTAGTAGAATGAGGATTCGTTGAGGATGAAATTAGTCACATTGGAAGTCTTATCGTAGAACCTTTCTATTGGAGTTGGTTCATACTCTTCGTCTGTGCTGAATATGGTGAATGCATTCTCGTCAAGAAGTGTTATTGTGGCTTTCCTCTTTTTTCGAGCCACATCAATAAAGTAACGGAGAGCCTTTAGTTGCACCTAAAAAGGGAAAACGTCTAGACTGAAACTATAAAACTCACAAAAACAGAAATTTTAATGTTCAGTTTTAAAAAAGAACAACATTCGTTCTCTATGTTCTACCTTAACTCCGACTGAAAGGGGTTGGACGATTTCGCTTTCTTTAGCGATTCCCAAGGAGTAACTGATGTTAAAGTAACGGCTTCCGTTTTCTTCTTCGTCCTTGCCCAACAGACTGAAAATATTAGCAAATCAGTATGAAATAATTTTAACCTAGATATAATCACATTGCTAATTTCGGCATCAACTCACCATATCTGCTCGAGGCAGCAGTTGGACAAGGTTACCTGACTAGAAGAGTATTGGCAGGGATTCCTTTCCGGGAGTGGATGAAGGGCTGCATCTCCACTGGATCCATCACCACGCTGTCGTTTGACATGTTTCTGAAACGGAGTAACTTGATAGTTTCGTTGGAATTGCAAAGTAACAGATTTAACAACAACGTGATAAGACTAACTCTGATATTGCTATCAATAGAATATAATACAATAATACCTTGGCTGTTGAGTGCTACGGGCGATAATGCCCGATGCCTTGTCAATGAAACAAAATATGTCATTTACCATTGGACAGCACGAAAAAAAAAACACCTTAATTGGCTCAAACCTGTAGGTCCGAATGATTCCCGCATTTGTCACGAGATAAGCATCAAGTATACAGTGTTCGTTAAAATTGCACACTTCAGCCCGAGTCCAATTCCTGAACTTTTCCGACTGCCACCAGTCGCTGATGTTCTGGGTCAGTAAAACCTCCGCTGCCATGGTGGAGTACCGGTCCGGATAACACGGATCAGCTTCCAGCTCAGCCTTCTCCGCCTTTGTCAACACCGGCTTTATCGTGTCTGCAAGATCAGAGGGTGCCTCTTTGAGTCAACTGTGTTCTACCATAAAATCAATATTGTATCGTGAATGCCGATAGTGAATGGAAAAATAAACAGATTTGACTGACTGTAAAACTACCTGTAAGGTTTTTAGTACAGAGTGGATATTTCTTCCATCTTAGTCTTCCTGGTACCTCTTTCTGTATCGCCTCCATCACCAGGGTCTTATCAAGGGCCTTGTTGCTTATGTCAACTTTTATTTCCTGCCTCTCACTTTCTGGCACTATTATCCCAATACTGAACGGATACCCATCCAAAGAGGTAAAAAAATACTCCGTGTTCTGAAATTGGTTTCATCAGCGCGGTTAAACGACAAAAAACAAATAAGATATGATTATCCTCATTCTGTGGAAATTTGACTGGTGGTGTGCACCGCCGCTGGGAGAAGCATTAAAATAGCCAGTAGATCTGTCATGAAATTGCACTGAGACAGATTTAATATTAATTATGCCCCCTACGTGGAGTATCGATTTCGTATAATGCGATGAGCAGATTTGAATAATGATAATGCAGAAGCAGACTGACGAGCTACTGACGCTTTGGATTAGCATAAGAATGTGATTATTAGCTGATAAGAGTGTGATTATCACGAAGACCATCCCGTAGCTTCACTAACTGATTCTCTGCTAATATTCCTGATCGGATAGTTTCAGTAATGACCTTTTATTTAATTATTAGAGTTGGCGAGGGTTAGTATGTCACCAATTTACGGGACAACGATCGATTGGGAAGTATCAATATGCGATCAAGAAACTTAGGAATAATGGTATTTATAATAACTGATTTAAGGAGGGTTCACCCTGATTTTTTGTGAAACTTGGTTTCGAGATAGCAGTTGACCAACAAACTAGGACCGGTGACCGAACTTTTGAGGGGTTCCCGAACCCCAACCGCCAAACGGTGCCCGCGGGGCAGCCATTTGGTCCAAATTAGGCCCAATTTAGCCAAATACCCTGAACATGCCCAAAATCCAGATTTTAGGTGCTTTACTTGTAGCTAGTGATCCCCTGCACTCGTATATGAATTTTAATTGAGATTGGACAAAAAATGACTGAGTTATGAGCTAAAAACCATATGACCATATTTGGGCATACGCACCAAATTTGATCGATTTTGGCCCATAAATTGGTCAAATATCCATACTTTTGAATAAAACCAACTTTATATGGAAGGTAAGCCTATACTACACATTATCTATGATTATCAGCTCAGTATCAACCTAACTGTGGATTCTGTGTTCAGTAATCGCAAAAAATGAACAAAATTGCCCATATCTCAGTTCGCGATATTTGCAAAACTGATTTCGCTCAAAACAATAGAACTCAATAGGGTTTCAATATTTTTACATGAAATTTTCAGAATCGTAGAATCGCATTTCGACCTTAAGTTTTGGGACAGAATTTTGAGTTAGGCCTTTTAAAAAAATTTGGCGGCCGAATTCCAAAATTTGCAATGCAAAATTCAGAATTTGGCCGCCAAATTTTTTTAAAGGCCTAACTCAAAATCTGGATTTTGGGCATGTTCAGGGTATTTGGCTAAATTGGGCCTAATTTGGACCAGATATGGGCGTGGCTGCCCTGCGGGTACCGTTTGGCGGTTGGGGTTCGGGACCCCCTCAAAAGTTTGGTCACCGGTCCTAGTTTGCCATCTCGAAACCAAGTTTTAGAAAAAAATCAGGGTGAACCCCCCCCCCCCCCCCCCCCCCCCCCCCCCCCCCCCCCTTAAATGGTTTTCCTGCAGTATTTTCCTGCATCATATTTCAGGTTTTCTACATAAAGCTCAGGATTCGGGGAACATATTATATCATTATAATATATCGATCAAGCAGAGAACTAGTTCATGAATGACCTTACTCCTTGAAGTAACATTAGACCACTTCAGATAAGAGATAAGAATTATAATTTGTTAAAGTTACAAGAAGTTCCAACCCCCACGGTACCCCAGCTCTACCACGAACTCATGTATCTCAAGATGAATGTGCCCTGTCGCACACAAATAACCACCCAAACTACTAAAAATCATACCTGATAATTCTCCCTGCCACTGATGGTATTCTTGAAATACACCAGTGATCTTGTGACGATACTGCCAGTGTTCCGGTTCAACATGGACCTAGCTATCTCCTTGATCTTCTCCGGATCCTCTGTTATTTCCATCTCGTTGATATCCATGTCCGGTTTTTCTGTGTAGTCGTCGATAGGGACCATCCGGGGGTGAAGGATCACTACACCTGGTGTGGTTTCCATAGTTACCACATGAAACTTACACCTTAATACTAAATAGGAAGTTTTTGGAGAGTGGTTAAGTAATTTCATTATGATTGAAAGTTCGGTCGAAGAACGTATAAAATGAATAGCTCACATAGAATAGATTAAACAATTTTTTTTGTGCAAACTTTTTTCCCTCTTCAGGTAACAAGTCGCAGTTAGGTGATATTTTTCTAAAACAGCTACAGTAACATTTTTTTCACAAAGGCAGTGCAGGCTAGATATTAAATTAAGGTGATTGTTAGATGGTGTTAAATCGTCTGTAAAATGAATCTGAACGGCGCCTGGTCCGACTAATCCCCAACACAATGAGACATTTAGATCTATCGAGGTGCTAGAAGCAGGTGAAGAACAAAAGCAGGTGTAGAACAAAAACTTGGTTTGGTATAAAAGTGGAACCAGCTAAGGAAACAACTATCAATCTATCGAGATGAAATTCTTTATTGTGTTTGCTTTGGTTGCCCTTGTTGCCGGCCGTCCTGATGACGAGAGACGCCCCAAGCCCAGACCCAGACCACCTCACCGTGGACCTGCAATCTATGTCAGAAAGTTCCACCATGCCGTGCAGAACGAGACGTACGAGTTCAAGTTCGCAGTCGCTGGAATGAAGCCTCTCAACGAGTCAGCTGTTCATTTGTACAAGATCTCGAAGGGTGATAAGCATCCTGTGCTGAATGAAACAGACTTCGATATCTCTCTGAAGACACTGAATGAGGAGGAGATCAAGGAGTGGAAAGAAGAACATAAGGATGACCACAAAGATGATGACAAAGATGATGACAAAGATGACGACAAAGATGACGACAAAGATGACGACAGACGTCCTCATCCTCACCCTCATCCTCACCCTCGACCCCACCCAAAACATCCAAAACACGCCATCGTCGGAAGTGTGAGTGTTGTTGAAGTCAGCTGTGATGACCAGGGCTCTTATCTGGTCCTCTACGGAAAACCGCACCATCATGACGATAAAGAAGATGACGAAGAGGATGATAAGGAGGATGACAGTGGAGATCTCGAGCGTGACGACAAGGATGACGACAGACATCCCAAGCCTAGACCTCATCCTCCTCACCCAAAACCTCGCGGCTGGTTTGTTATTTCGGTGAAAGGATGCCCAAGAACACATGAAGATGAAGAATAAATAATGGAGACAATAGACTTCATAGATAACAGCACATTTACAATACGGAATAGAAAAATTTCAAAATAATGTTTAGTTTTAATATAGAGTTTGATTTCTTTGGTGGAATGTCACAAGGCGTTTGCGAGGCACTTTTATGTTGAATATTACATGAGACGATTCGGATCTGAAAAGCAAAATTCGCAAGCTATTATCGATCTTCTGATAGCCCCTATGTCAATCATGGCAAGGCCCAAAGCATTGCTGTCACGACTAACATTGTCAGATCACTTAACTAAGACCCAGTCCCATTTCTTTTAATCCGATATAACCTGTTACCTGATTGCAGAAACTAGACCTACCATTATTGTTGATCATGAACGCGTACATGATTCCCGAGAACATGCCCGTCATAATATTCTTCATCTGAGGTATGTCCACATCTATAGCAGCTACCCCGAGAAAAGGTTCTCTCTGAGATGATATCTGTTTTTATCGTGAGAAGGTGTTCATAAGTTGACATAAAAGCGACACAATTGACACATAAGTTGATACATAGGCGACACAATATGTTGACACAAAATGTACATACGTTGAAAACTTTCATATAGGTAATAACAGAATATCTGAATAACTTCCCAAGACCCAACTCTCATTGAACTTACTCATTAGCCAATCAATCATACATAATTTAAACCACATCAAAATAGTGACTGCTTTCCCTCCGCTGCTCGAAATACCTGTGAGTTAGGATCATGATCCAGAACAACAGATTTTCCCACGGTCATGACGAAATTCTGACGATCATACTCGTAGTACACAGTGGACCAGGTTGCTTGAATGTTTGCCGTGTTCAATGATAACGGCTGCCTGTAATAATTACAACTCGTCTTACAATCACGTACAATTATCATTTCAGGACGTATAAGATGACTGATAGTTGGACGATAGTGTTATACAAGATGATTGTACAGCTCCTTTTATAAGTTTAGTGCCCGTATATAGGCCTTATAGAGGCCATATCTAATTGGCCTTCATCCCGCAAGCAAAATGTTTAAATGCATTAGAATCAAATTGATCTCAATCTAAAACAATCGAACCAAAATTCAAAATCCATAGATTTTAACAACGAAATACAGCTGGCACCTCGAGTCAACCTACCCAAACACAGCTAGAATATTAGATATAGCTGGCACAACGTCCCCGTAGTCGTACACCTTGCTGAAGTACCCGTTATTCGCACACGCTATCTTCTCTAGTTTTGTGGTATCACCCTGGTTTGGAGCTCCGAACGCTAGGATAAAGATCCGGACTTTTCCGTCCGGATTCCGCTTTTTTAACAGCTCAACGTACTCCTCCCTCACATAATCACTGAGATAAGATAAAGACCCTTGTCACAGCTTTAGAGATAAACACTTGATATTGTATTGATAATGATATTACTATATTACTTTTCGGAACTTACTTCTAACGCGTAATAACACAAGTGGTACAACTGCAAGTCCAGGCCTTTATTAGTTGACTTCTGATAACTATAAAAACCTGAAGATTATATAAATCTAAGAACCTGAAGATGATGATTGAACGCTGACAATCACATGTTTTATTGTTTCTCGCAGAGTTCTCCAGCACATCAAACGCCGTGTTGAGGGCTATCGAGAAATTAGATGCACCTGAAATATTGACAAGTCAGTGCAGAGCAATAACAGGTAGTACACACTCCAATTAATCTGCAGCAAATCAGGAACATGCGAGGAAGTTTACGATAAATTGTCTGGTAGTTGAACGCTCTGGTCTATATCTGGAGCATCTAATCCGGTGATGGTACAGCATGACTATCTTGCTGACCAAGCAAGGATATGACAAGTGTTAGAAGCCTAGTGAGACATGTGATGATTGTGATTGTCGTCGTGCCACTGCTAAGTGTGGGGCAGACCTGTCATAGAATCGCCGATGCTTGTCAATCAGTCCTCACATATACAGTCGACCTAATTTCCGATTAGAAGCCAGTTTCTATACAATCTTGATCCGCAGGTGTCGAATACCAAGTAACAGATCATATTATAGTATTGTACACGCCCCTCGTGATAGGTATATCACAACAAAAGCAAAAGTTACAACCTGTAACAGCTTATATTCGATTTTATCTGCATCACCAGGAACAGAAGTATTGTCGAATAATTGAAAACTTGGGTGTTATGATATGATGATGATGAGATGTGCTATCTACAGCCCTCACGAGACCATGTCTTCAATCCAATCAGCCTGCACACACTAACTACTAGGTGCTAACAGCTATAGGTGCTAATATCAAATTATTAAATGTAGTGTCACTGTCTAGTTCATGGGACAACGGCGCAAGACAGGTAATGTGTGAGTTCTAATATCTGTGTCTACTGATATAAACAACAGTTTAATATCTACTTCTATATAATATAAGCAAGCGCCATTCGTTTAAAATTGTAGTCAACAGCAACAAGTCTGAAAGATAGGTATAATTCACAGAAACGAAGATATTAATATAAAGTTTGGATGTACTGAAGCTGTGATAATACACAAATCACAACTACTAATCACTAACCAATAGCGTCAATCTTATCAATTTCCTCGTAGAGATGGTTGATGTACTTCAACCTGGCTCTCTCCAGCTGAGGGTAACAAGACAGGGACTGTGTGGTTAGGTTGAAGGTGTAGAAGGCCACGTAGTCCTTATCTGACACTATCTGTAGCAGTGTTTTAGCGGTGTATTTTGCAACTCGTAGTGCCCACCCGTACCTGAGAAAAGAAGAAATGTTGGGAACTGTCAACTGAGGGATGTCTTCGAGCGAGTAGATCAGTTTTGATACATAGAAAAGTTCTCAGTGGTCTAGCTTTTACGATTAAATCCAACCAAAGATTGATAATTGTGTAGATAACGTCAGTGTCACTTACATGCTCCCAGAGGTATCCATGAGGAAGACAACATCTCGAGGCTGCCCTGCTGCCTCGATATACCACGACCTGAACCTACAGTCGTACAGGTCCGTCTACGGGAGATGTTTTAAAGTTACATTGTTGGAATTTTGATAAGTTTTCGTGTGAAATTTTTGCGCTACCTGACGTAAATCACAGGAGGGCCAAAGTGCAAAAAAACTGCTGCTAACTGCTGCTAACTGCTGCTCACTGCTGTTAAGTAGTTAGCAGCAGTTTCTTTTCACTTTGGCCCTCCTGTGAAATATGTAACGCCCATAGTCATAATTTATTGACAAAAGGCTTATGAAAACAAAAATAAGATAATCAGCATATTGACCTGGTTATTAGGCAGTAACCAGGAGTATGCTGGAAAATATCGTAACAACCCAGAAGTAGACCCGAAATACTGAGCGAATATGAACTTGTCCCTTTCGTAATTCTTTACGAAGACTTGATCCAATCCATCAGTCAGATGGATTGCACTGAAGATAAGACAGTTGTTAGTATGGTCTATGAGTGATAATTTAACTACTAATCATATGAACATTAGTTACTAATCACATTATAGCTACCTAATACCTATATAAGCATTCTTGTCTAAATTTTGACTCCAGACTTTAATAATTTATAACTGGTTCCAACCTCTTAATCTCGTTAGAGAACTCGTACACATCCACCGGAAAGTGAATGATAGTCTCCGTAAGATTAACCCTCGCTTTAAACTCTTCATAGTATGTCAGGTTGATCTTCTTCTCCATGTCCCTGTCTTTGGCCAGCAGGTAGCTGCACGTGGGAGGGTCACGTGCTTGTTCAAGACGACCTGGACTCTTCTGACGCACAAAGTCTGCGATCTTGTCTACCGCGTCCGTCTTGTTCTTCAGAATCGTCTGGGATTAAATCGTGGTGAGAACTGCAGATAATTACCGGTGTATATAATTACGTGCGGAGTTTTATAGATCTCGCAATGTTTCTACAGATAGTCTTGTAAGTTAAACTGACGGGTAGTCTAGGTGGTGCAAGTTAGGGGAGTTGGCTGTTGATACAGATATTGCGACAGTGAGAAAATTCGGTCATTAAAATTCCATAGAAAAGGAGTTAGTCACAAACACTAATGATGTCGAGAACGACTAGTTCGGCAAAGATTTCCCAGATTTAATGACTATGAGTCTATGACTATTAACTATTTAACAGTATTTTTTTACTTTAAAAACGTCAAACGGCAGACTCCGGTTCCCTCCCGACTTACCTCCAATTTTAATTGTGCATCCTTTAAAAGTTTTTTCCCGTCAATTTCTTCATATCTGATCAGGTCTGAATCTGCACTAAATGCATTCTGGGGAAACGTGATAATAGGTCTTTAAAGTAACAGAATCATCGCTAATCGGTTGAGCTGTTTCCGCATATTCCTATCAAAATACCAAAAATCAAAACAGAGAGACTGTCTAACTATCACAATCTTCAACAGAACAAAGTTTCAAACCCTTACCCTAAGATAATCCAACTGTGTTGTCGTTTTAAGAATCTCCATGAGTTTATCCTTTATTTGTCGTGCGATTGTGATAGATTCGTTACTGCATATCTGAGCCGACGGATCGCAACCAAACACAAGCACTATACCGAGGACCGTGACAAGAACACATCTTGTGGTTTTGAGCATCGAGACACTGTGACATTGAACACTGTAAGGTTAGGGGAGTTAGAGACAGTGTGACATTGAACACTGTAAGGTTAGTGGAGTTAGAGACACTGTGACATTGAACACTGTAAGTGTAAGGTTAGTGGAGTTAGAGACACTGCGACATTGAACACTGTAAGGTTAGTGGAGTTAGAGATAGTGTGACATTGAACACTGTAAGGTTAGTGAAGTTAGTGACAGTGTGACATTGAACACTGTAAGGTTAGTGGAGTTAGAGACACTGTGACATTGAACACTGTAAGGTTAGTGGAGTTAGAGACACTGTGACATTGAACACTGTAAGGTTAGTGGAGTTAGAGACACTGTGACATTGAACACTGTAAGGTTAGTGGAGTTAGATACACTGTGACATTGAACACTGTAAGGCCGTTAGTGGAGTTAGAGACACTGTGACATTGAACACTGTAAGGTTAGTGAAGTTAGTGACAGTGTGACATTGAACACTATAAGGTTAGTGAAGTTAGAGATACTGTGACATTGAACACTGTAAGGTTAGTGGAGTTAGAGACACTGTGACATTGAACACTGTAAGGTTAGTGGAGTTAGAGACACTGTGACATTGAACACTGTAAGGTTAGTGGAGTTAGTGACAGTGTGACATTGAACACTGTAAGGTTAGTGGAGTTAGAGACACTGTGACATTGAACTCTGTAAGGTTAGTGGAGTTAGAGACACTGTGACATTGAACACTGTAAGGTTAGTGGAGTTAGAGACACTGTGACATTGAACACTGTAAGGTTAGTGGAGTTAGATACACTGTGACATTGAACACTGTAAGGCCGTTAGTGGAGTTAGAGACACTGTGACATTGAACACTGTAAGGTTAGTGAAGTTAGTGACAGTGTGACATTGAACACTATAAGGTTAGTGAAGTTAGAGATACTGTGACATTGAACACTGTAAGGTTAGTGGAGTTAGAGACACTGTGACATTGAACACTGTAAGGTTAGTGGAGTTAGAGACACTGTGACATTGAACACTGTAAGGTTAGTGGAGTTAGTGACAGTGTGACATTGAACACTGTAAGGTTAGTGGAGTTAGAGACACTGTGACATTGAACTCTGTAAGGTTAGTGGAGTTAGAGACACTGTGACATTGAACACTGTAAGGTTAGTGGAGTTAGAGACACTGTGACATTGAACACTGTAAGGTTAGTGAAGTTAGAGACACTGTGACATTGAACACTGTAAGGTTAGAGGAGTTAAGATTTAGAGTCTGTGACGGTTCATGAATTTTAAATGAGATGAAAACAATCAGTGCACACATTTTAAACCACGCTACTATTTTAAGTAAAGTTATAAGTAAAGTGTAAGGAAATAAGCCCGACTGCAATAAGGCTAGACAACTTTAGAAGTTTAGAGTTAGGGTAGAGATAGGGTAAGGGGTAGGGTTAAGGTAGACTTTAGGGATCCTAACCCTTACTCTAACCTTAACCCTTACTCCAACCCTAACCCTTACTCCAACCCTAACCCTAACCCCAAAGTTGTTTACCGTAAAGTCTAGCCTTAGAGGCTGGGCTTCTTGGATACTGCCCAGTTTAATCTTAGTCGAACTACAGCGAATACAATCAGTGACTTATGGCACTGTTTCTTCAGACAAAAAAAAACTTTGATAGTCTTAAAACACCAAATCCAATCTACGATTGGTCATTGGATAAACACCGAACTGCACAAAACGTAACATAAAACCACAGCAAATGCCACACGCGCCCTGAACAGCGCTGGAAATGAAAGTTTGCTGTTTCTTTCATATAACAGTGAATATTTTCTAATGCTATTGAGGTTAGAGACAACATATCATATAAAAGTGTCCGTGAAATTAGACTTCCAAGCAAACTAATCAATACAATGACAAGTTGATGTTCCGAGCAGCGGTTGGCACGAATTGGTTTTGGAAATTCCTGCCAGAATCCAGACAGCTCCATCTAATGGCCACCTCACAGGCAAAAACACCAACATTATGGACCTAAAAACACCGATATTGCTTCCCAATTTCCCTTCTGACAGTACGCAGTTAGAGAAAAGATAGTTGCTATCCGTACAGCACACAACCAAACTAACGAGTCGCACTTCTAGAAGTCAACAGAGTGTACGAAATTTGGAGCAAGTAGCCGTGCAGCGAGCTATAGATAACGAACGACATAGGTAAATGAATGAGAAGCCGGATGGAACTGGGGTAATTACTTTAAATATTGATATATTTCGAGAATGCAGGTTTGCAAAGATCCGCGACTTTAAGGTACCCCGAGATATACGTCTCGAGAGGTTTGATGCCAACCACTGGTACGTCGACATGTTGGTAATGCTTTAAAAATTATCCATCCTTTTTCCTTTTTGACGTCAGCGAACGCTTTTTGTGGACTGTTTTATTCAGAATTACCCAAAGCTCTCATGTCATCGTATACTCATGTCGAGTACCTCATGAGACGCACCAAATATCTGCGTTTACCCACTTGTACAAAGCCAAACCCTGAAATGGGCTGCTCCATTAACTACGAAAACTCGTCTGCAGAATTTAAATTACTTCCACGTGTAATTCAAGGAGAAATTAGACGTTGCAAATGGCACTAGACGTATGAACTGAGGAATAAATTATCCGCGAGTGATTAACTATCTTGTGCCGGCAAATTTGGGCAGATATGTCAGACCGACCAAAGCTGTACAAATCTCCTTCTGATGAAATTTCTGAAGAAACCCGTAAAACTATAAACGCAAACCAGTTGTTGATTATACGCCGAATAAACCAGGGCAGAAAAGCAGAATATTTTAAGTTTTGGCACCGCGATACCATTTTAATTCTGCAGACGTCAGATTGAGCAGCCTGGTTCATTAATGAGGCGGGATAATTACGGAATAAAGAGCTGTCAAACATGCCAGTAAAATAATGAGGATCTGGGAGGCAGGAGAGCAGTAGGACGGAGTGTGAGATACGGACAAGGAAATCAGGACAATTTGAGAATACTAATCATTGTACAAAAGTAAGTAGGACTGCTACAAATATTGTATAAAATACTGAGAAGTAGGACAGCTACAATAATTGAGTTTTGAAAAAAAAACACTTCGCTCCAAATTAGAAATGTATATAAAAGGCTGTTTGACATTTTTAGTAACACCTGATAAATACAAAGGCCATGGCCCGAAATTTGGACGGATAAATTGTAGATGATGCAGAAAACAACCGAGATACAATTGACAAAATTTACACAAAGGCTGCATGGCCCGCAATTTGGACGGAGGAATTGTATAGATGATGCAGAAAATAACCGAGATACAATTGACAAAATTGACCGGATGAATATTTCCGATGGACCAGCGACCTATTTTAGGAGAGGCTGGAGAAATCGTACGATATTTGCTGTTGTGACACAGTTCATCGGAGCTTCCTGAACAAAAGCAGCTCTCTTCCGATTAGCTGCCACCGCCCACCATCAGCAGATCAGATATTATATCCAGACACCAGATGTGAACGTGTCAAAGTACAGTTAGCAGTATATATATGCATTCCTTAAATCTAATTATACAATTATCTAGCTGACCACCAATCAATCTACTAAGATTCGGTATAATTGAACGGAGTCCGTGATGACTGCATGATTAATTAACTAAACTATAAAATTCCTCCTCGTTTATTTTTCTGCAAACGCACGTACAGGAATTTTATCAGCGCCTGTTCCAGCAGTTTAAAACGAAATCCAGGGAGGTTGTCGGTACTCTTAAAGAGTAGATAATTGGACGGATAACTAGATAATTACCTGGTACAGGCTGCGTATAAGATAGATGATAATTATCAAATCACAAAAGTTGCAGTGAAGCACGAAAGTTGCGGTTAATCACGAAAGTTGCGGTTAATCACGTGCTATACGTGCAAACTGCCTGTGGGCCAGACATTACTCCTGTAATTTCATACGTGGGTTTAGGATTGTGAACCGCTATAGTAAGGGTTAGGGTTAAGGTTATAGTCACGTCTAAGGCTTGGTATTGTAGCGAAACACTGTGAGAAACTATTTCGGAGTATCAAAAGTCGAAAATTCCAAACTATGATAGGTATGGAGCTTCCAAATGAGGACAGGCGAGTATATATAAATGATGTTGACAGAAGTGATTAGATTCGAGGCTTCATCATGAAAACATCAGTCAAATAAATCATTACAAAAACTGACTTAAAATACGAGTTTTTACAAAAGTTATTCGAAAGTACTTGATGTCTCCGAAAATAAGATAAATGTTTCTAATCAGTACAGTAATAGTGAGGAAGTTTCAAGCGAAGCCGCCTAAGTTGCACAGGAAAGTAATAACTTAGTGACAAAACGACTAGAACGCTTAACATCAAAGGCTATGAAACGTAGACATAGATAACAGTAATAATAATACTGCAATTATATCGCATATTACCAAACTTTGCGATGGTAATTTAACGACATAGTGATAACCAGCTTTCTCCATTCTAATGTTGAGTAAATCCCCCTAACCCTGCTTATACCACCGTTTAATGTGTATCACCTGATATCATTGCGACGTTTAGACTTTAAATTTAGTGACCAGGTGCACGCTTAATTCCCACAAATCCACGGCGAGGAACTGTACGTGTACAGCAAGCTGCAGAATATCCGCCTCGTGTGGCCATTGGCCAACTATACTGACGCTGTAACTGATACAGATAATACTTGAAAAGCACGAAACTGTTTACGGACATTCTTGGAGGACAGTTGACACTCAATTGACTGCAGCAGCAGTACAGTACAGTACGAAGAATACCACATATATTAGTGTCACGCAAAAGTACTGCACAAAAGTGCCAGCATAACGACTAGCTTTGACAGACAACACTGTCCTCCGCACGCAACTCCTCCGCACGCAACTCCTCCGCACGCAACCCATGAGACGCAGTAACCTCACGCTACAGTGTGAAAAGAGAACCCCCTGTGTACAGGATTAAAGGTGATTGCTGCAGGGCGGTACTTACTGTTGACAGAGCTGTGGGTTATGTTTAGCTGTATCCCCCCTCTAACAAAGCCCCCACAGCCCCATAATGAGATAATGTCAAATTGTACCCAGCTCCCGGCCGCCGCTGTCACACAATGGTTGAGAGAGT